AGTAGAAAATTGCCGCAACCGAGATGAAGTAGCCGCCAACCAACAGATTTGATTTTACAAAGCGTTGTACAATGAGCAAAGTGATGGCAAGTAACAAGGGTATGGTCCACAGGGCGATTGTATCGCTTCGGAACAGCTGCTTGAGGGTGTTAAGATTGTACTCCAGATTTCCAGGTAATCGAGCAGAGACCTCGATGCCAGTAGCAACAAGAAACCAGCCGACACCCCCAATGCAGCCAATGAGAATATGGCGCGGGAAGAATCCAATCAACGATCCTAGCTTGCAAGCTCCCATGAGGAAGAACACCACTCCAGTCAAGACGGAGCTGATAGCAAAGGACAGTATAGTGGTGGCAAGGACGGCTTTCGGATTCTGGTCCCCCACCTTCTGGAGTATGGTAAAGGCCATCTTGTGAAAAAAAGGGACCACCTCGATCATTTCGGACCCAATGCCGCCTCTGAAGATTGAGCCGCCAGAGGAATACACGACCTGGGCCACAATGGTGCTAACATAGAACATGGCAATGCCATCCGAGCCGAGGCCGTCGAATATTTCGTTCCCCAAAGGAAACAAAATCATGCCGTAGGAGAGAGCATCGAGAATGTTCAAGAGTAGACCCAGGAACACCGCCGGTAGGAGACTGACCGGATGGACAACGGCTTCCCGGTATATGGCACGGGCACTCCACGTTTTGGGGTGAGAGAGTGTATAAACACACGACCGAACTCTTCTCGCAGAGGCTCTGCATTTGTGAATGATCCCACCCTTGTCCGAGCCATACTGCCGCTCGATATCCGGATAAAGGCCATATTTTGTAGGATCTGTCCGCCGGTCTCCAATGAGGGCTGTATGCTCATCTGGTTGACTAGGCTCAGGCCTGCTCAACGATACGGGACGATGCGACGTTGTCTTGTCGGTGCCACCCGTGTGTTGCTGGTGCTCCTCCTCTTGACTGATAGAATTTTGTATCATTGCCGTTAACTCGGACACAGCGGGATCACCGGGGTGGTCGTGGTCCGACCCTGCTGGAGTCACCGGCTCGGAAACTTCTTCGATAACTTCGGGGTAACCATCGTCAGAAGCGGCTGAGGAAGACGGAGGGGAGGTTCCAAGGTGAGAGGCGGTCTCGGAGAGAGCAAAGGCAGCAAGCTCTGCAGTCTGGTCTCGTAGGCCAGCGGACGAAGAATACTGAGCTGGGTCTAGCTGGCCATGAAATGAACGGACGTAGAAAGACCTTGCAGGAGTTTTCTCTGCGGCTTGGCTGGACGTAGAGCTGGCTCGAGGGCGTTCGATCCAGGGACGGTCGGAAACGGCCAAAGGACTGTTCTCTTCGATGCCCTGATCACTGTGAGATGCCTTCAAGGGAGAGCTGGGCATCGGAGCTGGTCGGCCCTTTGAGAAGTTGGAACTATGGCGGGCATGTTGTTTGCTCGAAGAGGTTGTCGACATTTTTAGTTGCTCATGAGGATATCATGTTGTCCCGCACTTCACATGCAAAACTCCACTACTAGTGCCCGGCGCTTTCCAAAGGATGACACGCACAGCAGGACTGGGCCTGAGGAATAGACACTACCTATCCCAATTCGCGAGGACTAGTCGGTAGCCTGTAGTTCTCCCTCGTGTGACGCGAGACAGGCAGGCAATGAGGAATATAGAGCGGGACGAAACAAGCAAGATGCAGTTCTTGTCGTCGCAAGCTCGCTACTCGTGTTCCGGATGGAGATAACTGTGTGGATTCCTGTGGACTTTGACTCGGGAGCGGCCTTGTAGGCTTGTCCCTGTAAACGACCTGGCTCTTGCAACTTTAATCCATAACCATGTCAGCTGTTGGAAGTAAAAAAATTTTCTTCCCTCCCAAAATTTCTTTTTTTACAGGACAGTGGAGACGGGAGGCAAGAGGGCATGGCGGGGCTGAAGAACGAGGATCAGGGCTCGGTTCTGGGAGGCTTCGAAGCTAGTGGCGGAAGGTCTGGAAAGTGATGGAGAGTTTGATGCGATTGAAGGGACTGAAACTGTAGCTAGACCATCCACTAGCCCACTGAGGATTTCAAGATCCGTGAGGAAGGAGGAAGGGAAAGAAAAAGTCCTTGTAACCCTCGAATACGAGTAGAAGGATGGAGCACCTGAGGCGATGGTAGCACTGCGAAGGGTAGAAATTGGGAGTGGATGAACGATGCAGGTGGCACTATTTCCCCACCGTGGTTGGCACAGGCCATTGGATGCTTAATTCTCCCACTGTGCCTGGGGAGTTCCCCTCCTAGAGCTCCAACCATCTGTGCACAAGTTCAATGGGTTCAATGGGCGCTGTAGGAGAGATGTACATATGCACATCATTCGTCTGTTTTTTCCCTCATCATGATCCTCAAAAACATCAACGGTCAACCTTGCTCCACCGCGCCCCTATAGGGGGATTGGTAGGACCAGACCCAGCCTCTCTGCCCAGGTATGTTCTTGTAGTCTATGGTCTGATGTAGGTTGTGACGTCCTGATCTTCTCCAGGCAAGACTTAATTACCCCGACTCGACATGGAAAAGTCATATTGAGTCAGACTTCCTTCAAACCTCCGCACCCTGGTTGATGCCACAGACCTTCCAGTCAACCAGCCTCTTCTTGGTATGAGTTCCACAAGCTGCTCCTCTCTTCGGCGAACATCTGCAGCGACTTCCATCGGCGCCTTGACACAGATCATGAATAATGTCCGGTTTATGAAACTGTGACAGATCAAGCTCGCCCTCGTGCTCGCGTTGCACTGGCTACTGGAGGTAGATTACGACGCGAGGTTCTTGTACTAGAGGGTTGGGGTATTTTCACGAGGCTGTGTCGAGAAAAACCACAAACACGTCGAGGGCGGGGTAGTGGGAAACGTGGAATGTCGAAGCCAGTGGAACGGTCCTGGTCTAGAGAATACGGCCACCAGTCGCCATATAAATCGACTTACCAGCCAATGTATCCTTCGCGGTCCCCTTGATCGCTTTGACCGACCGCTGAATTTCTGCATAGGATTCAGCGTCCCAGCGCTTGGGGGAAGTTTGCTGTGCCAGTGCTTTTTCCCATGCGGAGCGAAAGTCTCACCTGTGAAAAGTCCAGAAGTCCCCGTAAAATCGGTCAAGTGCGGCTGAATTCTCTGAGCAAAATTCATGAAGCAAGTCAAGTCAATTGTAGTTGTAGTCATTGTTGTAGGGATACCATGCGTCCACGGAACGGGTCGTCCAGGGCTCATTGCTCTTCTTTGGCAATGCGGGAAGAGACAAACCAAAGCAGCACCTATGTCTACCACCAGCGAGGAATTGAGTACGTGCAGATGTGTCCTTTGATCCGGTCGGGTGGTCGGCCAGTCGCTTCTCGACCACATCCATTCCTCGCTTTGACAAAGTAACATCGAAGTATTGTAAAAGGTCCGGCAGGCAATCTTGAATTAACAGTCACAGAAGTTGAGTTTTGTTTAGCTCCATCGAGAAGCTACAACGGCCTCCGAGCTTGACGATAGGTATCGATCAATGCTGAAGTCAGCATCTCCCGCGAACCTTGATTTCTCAACAGTAACCACTAGGGAGTTGGTCCTGCGTAATTCCCGATAAGCACTGATAAGGTCCAGCGTTGGGAAATGAGAAGAGGGGTGCAAATGGTCTCTTTGTACCCGAGTTACGAATCCTCATAGATAAGAGGTTTCTCGTCGAGATTAAAAAAAAAACTGAAACGTTGAGACGACGCTATTCAGAGGCCCAACGATCTAGAATGACATGTGCGTTTTTGTCTGGCATATGCATACCTGCTTGCGACTTGCAGAAAGAAGTTTTTAATGACGCAACATGCTTCAAACCGAATGTGGTATGGGCGGAGGAGGGGATGCACTGAGGGGTTGGTGGTGCGTCAGTGGGGTATATTAGTTTCTTTCCTCCTTGGGGAAGCGAATTCAGCAAGTGAGAATACCTATCTTACAAGACTTTGCCTCGCGTAGCCATGCAGGCCATGACACATGACACATGACAAGGAGTATACGGTGTAAGTCAACGGTGTCCGGGGTACGTATACCTTTGGAGAAGGGAAGACATCGGAGGAGTCCCCAGCCAACCTGTCAACCAACAAGCCGCACACAGTTGAGTTAATTGTTGGATGCGTGTACCAGTATGTATGTTTGGAGAGATTGCCACAGTTTGGAGCAGTCAGTCAGTGACAGACAGACAAGGTCAGGGTTTTTAGAACTGCATATTGCGAAAAAAGAAGGGCCAAGCCTTAGCCCTTGTCCTTGTCCTTGCTCGTGAGGGGTCTCTTCTCATCGCTCATCTAAAAATGCCTTGTTCCCGAAGCAATGATTGATCAGGAAAAGGCAAAAGCAATACCACCCACGACTTGTCAGAATGCTCCTTACTCGACGACTCCTCTTCTTTAGCTTACGGCATGCCGCATAGACCTGGGGCAAGATAGTGAACGGAGTAAGGCCGAGCAAGTGCAATGCTTCGTACCTCACTTGCACAGTGTTGGGCTTGCAGCTCTGGCATTTTGTTCCGGGCCATGTAGTTGAAAGTAGGTGCTTGGTAGCGCGACGTTAAGCCTGGTGGCCCTAGCAGCCTTAGGAGCCTAGGAGCCCGGTGGTGACCCCCTCTCTCCCAAAGGCCCCGTCTAGCCCATCAGCTTCGGGGCCCTAATGCCGTAAACAGCAGTGAAGGGCTCCTATCTGGAAAACTGCCACACTGCTCGCGTGCCCTCCCTCCCTCTCTTCTTGCCATGTCCCGTCTAACCGAAAGTCAATCCTGCCTCATCGGCGATTTCTACCTCGCTGGGAGCATCAACCAAGGAACTCGCGAATTACTTAGGATACAGTGCTGTAGTGTACATTAGATGCATTCCATTCCCAAAGTAAAAGGTACGGCCGTGATAGCACAAAAGAGGAGGCTAGACCTGAAGCCTCTTTACCACCATGAGATACCCAACCTGTCGCCCGCTCATGCCGAACAGAACCCGTGGTGCATGACCTTTCCGGTCTTATCCTGAACGCCCTTCATAATTGCAGACATATAAACAGAACCAGTGCAAAGCCAATGATAAAGGCGGCTGTTAGGCCGCTGATCAGACCCCAAATCAAATTACGGCGTAGGTGTGACTCGTGCAATGTCATCAGCGAGTCCGAGTCGGATGATTCAACCGAAGCTGTCTCTTCATCAAACAGTAGTGGCGTCGTCTCACCTGGAGGCCTTTTGCCTCCAGTGAGAGGCTTTAGCGGCCACCAGGACGTCAAGGCTCCCCACGCCTGGGACAGCACAGGAAAAGTAGGCTCATTTGGATCAACGTAGATTACGTATGAATCCTGCGGATTGACATCGGAGTCGCCATCATCAAACTCGTTCCAATATCGGGCTCGAGGTGGACTCGACCGAGGCACCACAATCCGTGCTCGCTTCCGTGATCTTTTGCTTGAGGGAGATTTCGATTCCGCAGGACAAGTTCCTTCCTCGATGGGTCGGGCCTCATTGGACGTGATGGATGACTGTCCACGGGTGGTTGTGGAGAAGAGACTGTCTGCATGGCCTTCACTCGAGGACGGGCCCGAAGACAATCCACTAACATCGGTAGCACTGACCCTAAGTCGATTTGTTGTCTTGAGTCGGAAGAAGTGGGTTGCCTCACCAACACTGGGGAGGGGTAGCTTGGTAATGTCTTGCTCCACGAGTGATTGCCATGGTGATGGGGGAAGGTCGTCCAGTGCTGTACGAATGGCCATGTCTTCAAGAGTAAAGCCGTGGACTCGATATGCCAAATGCGAATCATCCAACACGCGAACGAGGGCAGGGGTCCGTGCAAATTCCCACCGGATATGTAGGGTGGCATATGGGAAGGTCTTGCTGGTTTGGGGCAACGGTTGTAATTCACCGAGGAGATCCATGTCCACTGAACCAAAAGAGATCGAAGTATCGAGAGTCGCCCAGTTCGCGACATCGGCAGTGTTGGTCATACCAGAGTAACGCGTACGGTGTGTTTGAACTTCAGCCAAGGGTTTGACATCTCTGTGCTCAATAAGATATTGCCGAACTGTGGTGGCTTCTTTGGAACCATTTGTAAGAGGCGCGTCCCGGTCTAGGGCAACACCGAGGTCTTCGCGGTCGATGAGAAGGGTTCTTTCACCAGACGAGGTAGGGGAGAGTCCGGCAAGCGTAACTGCGGCGTCCTTGTCACGGGTCCAGTACGCGCTAAGGGCTATCTTCGAGGGTCTGACCGAACTCTGATCCTGAACAAACCTCTGCGCATTATCAAAGAAGACCATGTGAGTTATATCGCTATTGGCGGTATTGAAAGATGTACTTCTCCGTGATACTAGTGATCCTTCGGAGCCCTTCCGTGAGGGAGTCGTTGAGACAGAGTCATCCTTCTTCATGTATCGCTGGACGAGGGCCCGCGCTTCATCGAGGTTGTCTGGGTGAACCCAGTAGAAAGCACTACCAGCCGCCTCGCCATAGGGGACGGTCATGAGCGCAGCATCAAAGGCCGGCGGACCCTGATTCAGAGCACTATTGATTTTAACAATAGGTGACCGTAGGCTCGACGGCGTGGTTCTGTGTTGTTGTTGAGCGGAAAGTTCTTCTTGGTGATGCCGTGGATATGTCGGAGTGGCCAGTTTCTCGGTCAGGATAGATGTCAGTTCAGCCAGTTCTTGAAGATAATCCGAGTAGTCTGTCTGCAGTTGGTTGGAGGAGAAGACCTCAACATCCATGCGAGTCTGCAATGTGGTGGAACCTGTCCATTTCGCATACTTTTTAAGGATTTTGCGGAAAGCGATCTTCTGTGCAGAAGCGTAGCGGGCGACCTTCTGGATGAGATCGCCGAGCTCTTCGCATTCCTGGGTGAGTCTTCGATACTTGCGGCTCCGGATACCGGCGACAGCATTGACGTCTGAAGCCTTTTCATCGTCGATTGTCCGGAGGGCGGCGACCTGCTTTTTGAGCGAACTCAGTCTCCGGTCAATTTCGCCCCGTTTCATCCGCAGGAACAGAGCGACATTATCGTACTGGTCCTGCAAATAATCAAGCAGGACCTTCTCTGTTTCCTCCCACCGACTTCTGCCTTGCACGGGAATTTCAACCGGGCCGGTCAGATTGGCGGACGTTCGTTGTTTGATGAGCTGTTTCATGCCATTGTAGTTGAAGTTGTAAGGAGCCCATTCGGGAACCGACCTCTGGTAGAAACTGTCACCAAACTTCATGGTGATTGCTGAGACCCGCGGTCGACCGGGAAAATCGGTTCAGCGTAGACGACTTGCGAGGTTGTGCGTCTGTGGCTGTTACAATCGCCCCAAGGTGGCAGTTGGAGCACATATATTTTCCCCTTTTCAAATGACCAGTGCTGATGGTTTCATGGGTATGATAGAGGTGGGACGGAAACAGGGCAGACAGGGTTTTTGGGTGGGGAATACCAATGGGGAGAGAGACTGAAAGAGAAATAACTGGTTTAGCACGAGCAGAAACAACAAAAGGCAAATGGATTAATTACTGAACTCTGATGGATGGATGGGATGGGATGGATACCTTTGGGAAGAGGAGAAAAGTATTAGAGAGCGAGTGGCCAGACATTGCCAGAGGCTAGCCTCCAACATTTGATATCCCGGCAAGCCTGGGCAGCTGGAGCTGACTACGAGGTCGATACCTTGTTCCTGGTGCCACTCTCCCTCCTAGTAGTTACTCATATCTCCGCTGTGCAGCGCCTGTGGATCCTTATCCTCCGAGCTCCGCCTCTGAGCGTCTGTTCGCAAAAAGGAAAACCACTGGTGCCGTCGCCAGATTCTCGGAACTCGCATCACCAGCAGTTAGATAGAGTTTCGTCAATTGTTCGACTACCATCAGGCCTTATTACTGTCTATCATTGAAAACCATAATAGGATATCCTCTCTGGAAAGGAACATGTTTCCCAGCTCCATCCGGATTCTGGGGCGCAACGGAAAGCACCCTTATCGAGTGGACACTTGGCGGCCGGTTTCACTTGGAAAGTCGAGAAACTTCTGTACGAGTAGCCATGGCCCACGGTGCACCATGGGATAAAATCTTTGCATGGAACGTCATCACGTACGGCAGCAACTGTAACCGCACGCCTCTCGGACGTCGATACTCAATTGTCAATTGCCCCTCACCATAAACGGTCGCTTGCATACTGTGCCACCAGTGCCTTCGATTAGCTTTTGATAGTGATACTCCCCTCTCGTTCTTGTCCTAGCACAACTCCATCAGCAAGCACCTACCTGGTAAGCGTGCAAGCGTGAAAGCGGGCAAATTGGTATTGGAGAGGGAAAGATTCTTCCCCGAGACATCCTTGGGGACCCAGCCACGCTAATAATGAATGCTTCCGCACCATGTGAAAGTCTCGACGCCTGCATAAATCAGTGGTGCCTGGACCATCTCCTCTTATCCCCTGTGTTGCTCGATATATTGTCTGGGTTTTGAGTCAATAGCTGAAGGAATTATTTTCATGATATGCGCACTGCCAATAGCCGGGAACCGCGCTCGTCTGGGGAGTGGCCTGTGCGTATCCTCAAGGTCAAGGTGGCTGGGAACGGTGATAATTGAAACTTTCTTACGGAGTAGTCCGTAATAATAATGCCGTAACAGGTAGGCAAGTAGTAATTAAGTAGGTATTAACCAATGCCGCCACCAGCCGGTAAAGATGAGCTGCGGACAGTGCAGAAGAGGGTTTCGGGCAATGCCAGAAGAGTTGGGGGTGCTTACTCGTACCTTTCTCCTACCCACCACAGCCTTTGTAAGCCCCCCAAACACCATCCTTAACCACAACTCGTCCAACCACAGTAGGTCCCGCCCGAGCGCCGACTTTACGAGGTGCCAAAAAAATCGAGTTGTCAATACGAGCGCTTAGTTAGAACCTTTGCCCTACGAGCATCTTCAGCGCCTCCACTGCCCGTACTGGCACTCCGCTTTCCAAATTTTCTCAAGGCCTCTCGCCCAGACAATTCTGTCACCCATTCCCACTCGTTCCGTACCACCGTACCTACCCACCCCTCCAATCTTCACCTTCTCGGAAAATCTTAGCTACTAAGGAACGAGTACGCTAGCGACTTTGCCTTTTGCGGATCTCGCCGTCTACACTAAAAAAAAAATTAATTGTAGTTTCACCATTTGAGAGCCAGACCACGGTACGCAGACGCACACGGTACTCCAAAGTGTGCTGTGTGCCTAATATCATTTCGTGACCTCTGCGCACATGCTGTGGTGGCTGAAATTGCCGATGCGATAGATACTACCATGGCCGACTCGGGTGGGCTTCTCTTCACCACGCTATCGACCTCGACGCAGGCCTTCCTACAACCGTCGTCCTCTCTCCACTCTGAGATCTTGGCCTATGCGAAATCGATCCTAGACCCATTGGCTGTCAATGTCTCAGCTGCGCAAAAGTTGAGGAAAGATGGCAGCAGGAAGAAGAGAAAGCGGAGTGACGTGGAGCGAGAAGAGGAAGTTTTGCAGTTGCGGCAAATCTATACAGAGGGTCTCGCAGTAAAGCAGGTATGGGAGCAGACGAGAAGGATACTGGATGCTTCTTGTAAAGAGACGGAGAGAGACATTGCTGCCTACAGAAGTCGAGTACAAGCAGAGTCGCAGGAGCACATTGCCGGTAATGGCGATGGGTCGAATGGAGTAGTCGTATTCGATGCCCTCGAGAGTGAGGATGAGACATCAACAGACGGAGATGTGCAGGATGACGTGCAAGAGGACGAGTACCTCGACGATGAAGAGGATGATGCAGAAGAGTTGGATGATCTCGAAGACATAGAGGATGCTGAAACAGAAGATTCTGCTTCCGAGGCCGAAGCACAAAATCCTGAGACATATGTGCAGGATCCAAACGGCCTCAACGATGGCTTCTTCTCCATCGACGACTTCAACAAGCAGACCCAATTCCTCGAGCAGCAGGACGCACTGGGCGAGGACGATAACCCTAGTGACGAGGATGAGATCGATTGGGATGCAGATCCCTTGACCATGCCTTTCCACAAGCCGAAAGACACTTCTGCCAGCGGAGACAGGGGAGAGACCGCCCTTTCGGGGTCTGAGGAAGACTCAGACGAAGAAGACGGCCCGACTTTTGGAGACACTGACCTCAATGCCGAAGACACTGAGGACGAGATGTTAGGCCAGGATGAGGAAGCTCTCGATGACAACATTGCCGGTCTGCAAAATACCAATGATATTCGCTACGGCGACTTTTTCGCACCTCCGCCCAAGAAACTATCAAAAACCACGCGGATGCGAGCACTCCCGAAGACCCAACCAACTAAACAGCCCCCAGCGCGCGCTGAAGACTTCGAGGAGGCCATGCAGCGAGCAATCTCAGATGTTCGACGTGACCTGCTTGAGTCGGAGGAGGAAGACTCGGACTTGGGGTCTGGAAGTGACCTGGAGGGTACCGGGAGATCAGGCCAGAATATGTCTACGCATGAAAAGCAGCGAGCCGCCATCGCAGCTGAAATCCGCCGCCTTGAAGCGGCCAACGTGGCGAAAAGAGACTGGACACTCTCTGGGGAGGCACGCGCCGCGGACCGCCCTCTCAATTCTCTAATTGAAGAAGACATGGAGTTCGAGCGAGTTGGTAAACCTGTCCCAGTGGTCACCGCTGAAGTCTCGGAAGATATCGAACAGCTCATCAAACGACGTATTTTGGCCCGGGAATTCGATGAGGTTGTTCGCCGGCACCCCGATAGTTTGGGAGCCGCGAATGAAACTCGGAGAGGCCGAGTAGAGGTCGATGACACGAAGCCTCAGTCTGGCCTCGCGGAAATTTATGAGCAGGACCATCTCCGTGCTACCGATCCAGGCTACGTGGACAAGAGATCCGCGGCGACAAAGAAACAGCACGAAGAAATCTCACGGCTGTGGAAAGAGGTGTCAAGTCAATTGGATTTGCTGAGCAATCTACATTTCAAGCCTAAACGAGTGGAGGTAGAGATCAAAGCAGTCGAAGACAGACCTACCATCAGCATGGAGGATGCGAGACCAGTTGGAATGGGTGTCAACGCCGAGGAGAGCATGCTTGCGCCTCAGGAAGTGTATCGACCTGGTGAAGAGGCAAAGAACAAGGGCCACTTAATTGTACGCAAGAGCGGTGCAAGTGTGAGCAAAGAAGAAATGACACGAGAAGAAAAGTTGCGGAGGAGAAGGAGGGAGAAAGAGCGGAGGAAGAAGGCACACGGAAGTGCATCAACTCCAGGGACCAGCACGAATGGTCAAGGTAGAGAGGGCGATACCAGGAAGTCGAAAGCCAAAGCCAAAAACCCAGAGAAGGCCGACATCTTGTCTGAGCTCCGTAAAGGAAACGTCAAGGTTGTGGGCAAAAAGGGAGAACTGCAGGACCTGGGCAGGAAGAAAGGGGCCGAGGGCGGTGTCGCTGCTGGTGGTACCCTAGCAGGAGGGGCGCTGAAGTTGTAGTTTCCACCCCTCTTAAATGAGTGAGATAGCTCGTGGTGCTCATTGAAGTCGTTGATCCACAAGTTCGAGGGTTTACAAGTATCCCCACCACCAAAAAAGAATCCGGGCTATGTTCGGTAAATTAATGCCCACTTCACTCCTCACAAGTACAACTCGATCATGTTCGCTTAGCAATTATACAGCGCACGAAAACCTGTTTGTCGTCAACTTGCTTTATCCTTGGCCAGTTCTTGTAGATTCTTCTTTCAAAAATGGGTATAGAAGATCAGAAGGAGGAGCGAGAAGTCCTCGAGTCGATTTTTCCGGACGAGATTACAGGTTCGCACTCTCTCAATTGAGACGAAGGACATGTGGACAGAGTACCTAACACCCGCCTTCATGCTAGACCTCTCTGACACGTCATACCGGATATCCATAACGCTGGACCTACCCAGCGAGGGACACGGTGAAGACCCCGACCCTCCAGTCCTCTTACTCAACGTCACCTATCCCGAAGCCTACCCAGATGTCGGTCCTCATCTGGACATTACGTCGCCTCCCAATGCGCCAAAGCATCCGCAACTCGACGTCGCCGTGGACAAGGCACGACTCCTCGACGCTCTGCAGCCCACGATAGAGGACTCGCTGGGCATGGCCATGGTGTTTACGCTGGTCACCACTCTCAAAGAGGCCGCGGAGGTGTTGATCTCCGACCGGATACGGCAGGCCGAGGAAGTCAAGGAGATTGAGATCCGGGAGAAGGAAGAGGCGGAGAACCGCAAATTTCACGGCACCTTGGTCAACAGGGACAGGTTTCTGGAGTGGCGGGACAAGTTTCGCAAGGAGTTGGAGGAGAAGGAGCGCCGGGCGAAGGAGGAAGAGGAGGCCGAGGACAAGAAGAAGAAGGGAGGGAAGGTCGAGGAGAAGAGACTGACGGGGAAGCAGCTCTGGGAGAGGGGTCTGGTTGGGAAAGGTGACGATGAGGACGTTGACGGAGAGGATGCCGTTTCCGCGGTGGAAAAGCTCAAAGTGGACGACTGAGCGACGCCATGCACGCATTGGAAGAGGAGGGGGATTGGTGTATCGTCGCCTTTGGCTACGCCGATGGGGACAACTGGGAGACCATGAACGACGTTATGACGATCCTGAGATTCCAAAAGCTGGCACATGCTAGCTTGCATTCCTGTCTGCGCCAAAGGACTGAAAATATCTTCTACGAAAAGGATTCAGCTCGTCGGCTGTACGACCAGCGCTTGCTGTCGATTTCCCCTCTCGACCAGCAAATCCGTCAATGTGTACCTCTAAATCGAGGATCCCGGGCATTCTCTCATACACCAGTAATTTTCGACTCCACTTGTTGAATCTCTGGATACACTCGTGTTTCAGTTCGAGATGGGGATGCGTCGGTATGGTGGCTTCTTCATCACCGAATTCGTTTTCGTTCGCGGTCGGCATCCAGAATGCGACACGGCCACCATCGACCAGTGTTCTAGCGGCGAAGTCCAGGATATCGTCAAGCATACGCGCGAAGGAGTAGGGTTTCTTTGGCGCGACATACCCAGGCAGCGTATGCGCCGGGACGCCGTTGACCAAAAGTTCCGTCAGCGGTTTGGAACTCTCTGCCAGACCGGATCCTTCGCCGTTAATTTCGGCTGCCTCCATGCGACTCTGCCTCAATTTCACTCCAAGCACCTTCAATCCTTCACGTACGCCGTAAGGAGGATCACAAACAACCCCATCCAGCCACCGACCGTCGCTCGACCTGGACGATGTCGCAGCACAGCGGAACGGTGTATTCGTCAAGTCGGAAGTCAGACAGTCCCCAAACAAATGCGTTAACCCATACTTTTGAAAATTTGCTCCAACCCCTTGGATCAGACCGGAGCCTTTTCCGCGAAAACTGCGGCCGTCGATGTCTGATCCCAGAACAACAGCTCCCAGCTCTGCAGCGGCGACCATGAAACCACCAGTTCCCACAAAAGGATCCAGAAAAAGCTTTCCAGGGCTCGCTAGGGCCATAGTCGCCGTCAGCAGCGCCAACTCTGCGTCCATTGATGTTGTTGAGATATACGGCCGCTTTTTGAGGTCATGCTTCTCTCTCAGCCAACGACGCGAATCGCCAATCTTGCGGGCGAGAAACACTCTTCTCAGACTTGTACCTGCTACTTTGTCGATTGCTGCATCACAGGCTGACGTGTGCTCTTGAATGTCACTCGGGGAGATCCAAGGAAGCCACTCTTCCAAGATGGAGAACTCGGCTTCCGGATTCTTCATCTTGATCTTGCCCCTGAAATCAAGGTATTTAAATGAGTCGATAATCTGTCTTTGTTGGTCCACATCTCTCGTGCTACAGTAAGAGTCGACTGAAAACTTGAATGATACATGGCGAAAGCGATCCCACAGGTGGTGACTTTTCCGTTTCACATCCACGTGAAGTTCTTCATAATCCCGTCCCTGTCCCCATATTTCATAGATGCACTTTGACAAGACAGAGCGGCTTTCAAAGTTCTTTATTCTGGCCTCAAGGCTCTCGAAAGAAACGTCCTCCACCACCGGTAGGGAACCACCCGTGCCATGTCGTGGGCCGGAGGCAGGAAACCTCACCACACAGAAGGGAGAAGTCTCGGCATAGGACACAATCTCGCAGGGTAATTGCTCGAGTGTCGAGAGTGCCTCGATCTCCGGCCGCCGAAAACTCTCATGCGCCTGGACGAACCGAATGAGGTATTCCATGTTAATGTGGAGCAATGGTAGAAGTCGCCCTGGAAAGGTGGCCGTATGGATGAGTCTGCCTTGGGTCGCCCACTAGAAATGTACCACGGCTGATCTAGATGGGAGGCTCAGTCGAGGCAGAGTAATGTTCAGGTAGGCAGAAATGAATCCAATCTGTTCATTGGGTTGGAAAACAACGAGGCAGACTTTTGGTCAGAAATCAATTGTGGATTTCGAGTCACGAACCACACACCAAGTCGGGTGCCTTGCTGCAGGGAAAGGCTTGATGTCATTTGAATTTGCTGTGTCATTTGAATGCACAGCAGCGTGAATGGCTCGTCATTTAACGGGTTTGACAATGGTTGGAATCAATCGGTGTCTCGTCAGACAAATCCGAGATTCAACCTCGGAACAACGACTGACTGACCCTCTTTGATATCTCGCCTTGGCATATATCAGCCTCATGTACTCGCCGAGTGTATTCCTTCGAGTACCTCTTATATATATATACACCCCGCAGCGTCTCCTCTCTACATACATCTTTCATCACTACATTCTGGCTACGCTTGTGCCTTTATAAGACCTTATAGACTATACACGCACTTTGTTAGATTTTCCCCGTCTTTACTTCCCACCAGCGTCGCATCAACTTGACGTCCACATTCACGTTCACATTCGGCATTGACCGTTCATTCCCATCCTGAAAGACATCTTTTTCCATCTAATCTATCCATCTATCCGTCAAAAATGTCCGACCACCCCCTCCTGATCCACGAATCCAGAACGCACTCTGCATCTCGGCCCGACCAGGAGGACTTTTCGCCGTCGTGCCCGTTCTGCGCCATCGCGGCCACGTACTCCCCGACATCTCCTTTGGGGAACCCAGAGACGATGGCCAAGGCCCTCGACCCGGAGGAGCTCGACCCGCTGTCGTTTGTGCTCTACTCGAGCGAGCACGTCGTGGCGTTTTTGGACATCATGCCCCTGACGAGGGGGCATGTGCTGGTCGCACCGAGAAAGCATCGTGTCAAGGTCGGGGATTTGAGTCCCGACGAGGGCGCGGAGGTATGTCTGTGTCTGTGTCTTGTTTTGACACCACTCGGTTTCGAGTCGTTCTCCTAATCTGCCATTGGACTTGATTCACATGTTGGGGGGTTGGGGTGCTTTATGGCCCGGTTCCCGTCCTTTTGAGCAGGACAGGCTCACGTTTCCAAACCCTCATGGGCATTCACGACCATTCACGGGCGAAGCTCACTCCTATAATGCAGATCGGGAGAGTCCTCCCCCTTCTCACACGCTCCGTCATCAAGGCCGTCCTCCCAGACATCCCGCACGAGGAAGCCGACTACAACGTGGTACAAAATAATGGTAAGCCCATCCACCCACCCACCTACCCATCCACGAATTCCCACCGTTTCTGTACATTACATCACATCACCTTCCTCTACTCTACCGTATCCCTACCCCTCAACCACGATCTATCATCCCAAACCATATCGTTTACCCGTGTCTCTCTTTCTCTCGACCATAGGCCCCGGCGCCGCCCAAGTCGTCCCGCACGTCCACTTCCACATCGTGCCCCGACCCCCCCTGAACTACACGTACCCGCAACCATCATCATCATCATCATCCTCATCGAGAAAGAAATACCCGCCCAACCGCGCCCCCTCGGGCCGTCAAGCCTCGGCCATCCTATTCGGGCGAGGCATGCGCGAGGACCTCGACTACGACGACGCCGCGGTGTTGGTCGAGGATATGAGGGCGGCGATTCGGGAGGAGTGGGAAAGGACCTTTGGCGCAAGGGAGGGGGAACAAGCGACGACGAACTCGGCGGAGACAGTCAGTGGGATGAGGAGCTTGAACCTCACTGGTGGCACGGAAGGAGGCCAACGCGGATGCCGAAGTGGTAGGCGTCTGCCCTGGAAGGTCTAAAGAAGGAGAAGAATAGGATCAATCAGGATTTGTGTCTGCTCTGTCTGTCCCTGCTCGTCCTTGTCCTTCCTCGGTCACAAAGGCCCTGTTTTTATCTTCAGCCCTGCGGTTCAGGTTCAAATTACCACCACCGCAATCGAAATGTCGTCTGACAACAACCCATAACGCATTTCAAACCGACTTATAACACCTCCAGATATACGAGCTCGGACTGACCGCAGCAATCATTAGTGGGCAAAAAGCGCCAATTCAGAGTCAATGTATGATGCAATGTATGAAAGGAGGTAACAAAGGAAAATCTCAAGTACAGTCGAAATTCGCAAAGGGGCTCAATGATCAGCCAGGCAAGTTATCAATGCAAATACAGTTGCAATTGTGATAGCCATGTTGGCCCGACCCATCTAGGACCTGGGACCATAGACCATGAGATACAGGCATGCTCAAAGAACACGCCACCACTCCGCTCCTGCTCGATAATCCAAAGAGCACAACCCATTTTTCACCACGCTTCGTATCCAGCCCCGTTTTCAGAGTGAAGACCTCCCAGTCTTGGCTGATGAATGGGACTTCACGTCAAACAACTCAATGCACGCAAGAGACAAATTGCAACTTTGTAAAATCCCGGTTTCAATAAGCAATAAACGCCAGGTTCGCCCGTTTCGCCAGTCAATCAAGCCCGCGTCCGGAATGTAAGCCTATCCACAAGTCGAACGCCCCTGTAGTGTGTCGCAACAAAAGCTGGAAAGATGCACCGACGGAGATTACGTCCCCAAGTCCTCATTCGAGAGAATAGATCTCGTTGCTCGGTGCCAGGTACACGTCGGTAAGAGTTCGCTGTGATGGGAGGTTGCTGTGTGGTTGGACGTGTTTGGCTTTATCGATATGGTGGTAATGATGCTGAATGTGAGTCTATGTGCCAATATCGTTTTCAATCGTCGTGGTGATAGAGACATGAAAGCATGACCCATTGAAGAGGGCTGCCCGAAAAATTCGTCGTGTACGACTTCCCCATAAGATCAAGCCGAAAGGTGCTTGCCCCGTCTTCAAGCAAGCAGGTCCGTCAATGGTAAAAGTGGCAGACTATTGTGCAACCTTGGCACTAGGGATGGTGAAGCCAGCGGTTCGGCGGCTTATCCCATAGTCCTTAGCCCATTTCCTGGCCAAGATTGATGCTTGTTTCATGTTAGCCTTGAGACGACAACTACTTCTGAGAAGCGAACTTACCCTTGAGGAACTTCTTCGACGCGTACTTCTTGAACAGGGCCTCATGCGAAACTGGAGCTTCTAGATAACTGATCATGAGGTCGAAGACGGGAAGAATCTCATCCTCGTTATAGCCCGCGAACTTGGTCAACGTCGCATCCTGTCAATGGGTTAGCAAGAGGTGCAGGAATGGTGACATCGGAAACACGTACCCATCCACCACGCTCAAGTATCATGCGAGCAAGGTACATGGCGGCGGCAGCAACATGGCTCTGCTTGTATTCCAGGAATCGGTGGTCCACGAGACTGATTTCCATCAGGTACTTTGCGAGTGTGCGAGTCTGAATGTCATAGTTGTCGGCCTTTGAAATCCGTCTCAGGAAGTTCATCGGGTTGGGATAGCTAAGATCATATTTGAGAGTTGACAAGGTGTACCTCTCAGCACTGAGAACCTCTTCAATTGTGAAGCCATCGTCGGCGACGTGGACAAAGTTGCCAACGTGAGGAGAAAGGACCTCTTCATATTTGGAGGCGATGAACATGGCGGTAATGCCCACGAGCTGGAGTTTGTCGAGAGGGACAACTTTTTGAGAGAGAAAGCGATCGACGATGTTGACAGCCAGGAACAACGTTTCGGGCAGAAGCCTAAAGCGAGTGTGCACTTCAATCAACCAATCGACGAGGATGCCTCTCATCTTCCACTCAAGGTCGTCTTGGTGATCCATGTAGTTCGGGTTGGGCTGTGTGGTATGTTCCAGGGCGAAGTAGTATTCGAAGATCTCGCGGACGTATTCGGCGCACATCGACGGGTCATCCAAGTCTTCCGCATCCAGTTCAGCAACAATATCGGTGATATCCTCGGTCTGAGCTTGGGCTTCTTCGACGGCTTCCTCCGTGCATGACTTCTTGCGAGGAGGTTCATCGACGTCTGGAGTAACATCTTTCGAAGAAGGCGCAGTGGATGTGGAAGCTTGCGTCCGTCTTTTGCCAGTATTACCGAGGACACCTGAGCCACTTCCTGGTTTCTTTATTTCCCCTGAAGAGACCTTGGGTTTGAGATTGTTGTCCTTGACTCCGAGGGCGGCTCTCGAGGAGTTGGTACGAGAGAGCTTTTGGACGCCACCGGCAGCTGGTTGAGCGACCTTGGACTGCAGCCCAACTTTGCTTGCCGTGGCCTTCTTTCCGTCCAAAACAACTTCCACACCTTTTGCGGCATTGGTCACGTCTCCTAGCGCGCGGCGTCTCGTGGCTCCATTCAGTGTTCCCCCTGCGGATTTCTTGGTTTGCAGAGGCTTCTTCGCGACTGAGGTAGTGTCATCGGTGCTGGACAGACCGGCGGCCTTTGCCCGTGTTAGACGGGTAGTCTGCGCCACTGAGTTCTCATCGTTTTCGTTAGTGACTACTCGTTGCCGAGTACGGGACTGCTTCGAGGTCAGCGGGGGGTGAACAAGACGCGTAGAGGACAACATATTATTGAGCAGGAAGACTCACGACAGGCATCTTGTTTGCGTGACGCCGTGATGTCGAGGGTAGAGACAACAAGTGAGATCACGAGTGATGAAGAACGTGAGGTGTTCGAAGCACCACTGAGAAATGTGAGATCTAGACTGGATTAGCAACGGTGTGTGTGAGGAATCCAATACGATTGGGGAATGACGCACGAGCTTTTCCCGACGTGTCTGGACGGCTTGCAATCTCGACGAAAGGGTGATCGAAGGTGTTCTCGAGAATTCGTAGAGGCACGTCGTTCTCGATGGGATTTTGAGGTCAGAGTGATCTGCCGGTGCTTCCAAGGCTATTGGGGCGCGTTGTTGTCCGAGCGGGCGAGTTCAAAGTGGTACGCGAACGACGTGAGAGTCAGTCGACACTGAAGGAAGACGGGTGTCAGAGACAATTAAAGGACAAGCAGAATACGGCTCGGAAGACAGAGGAGTTCTCGAAGGACAACATCAGAGGTAGAAAGGGTGGTGGAGGAGGCGTTTCGTGGAGGTAGTGGTGGTACAAGCACAAAGACAGGTACAAGTAGTAGTAACAAGTTGATGGATGGAGGTTCAGAGGTCGCAGAGATGCTTGGGAGCAGCGCTGGTGGAGCTCCTGTTGTTTTTGCTTGGCACCAACTTGGACGGGGCCGAGTTTTGCAGGGCGATGGGTGCTTATGGCGCGTGCCGTGGGCGTCGCGGTCGTCAAGCTTGGGTGCGGGGTGGGGGAGATGCGTACCTCTTTTGTTCCTTTCTAACCCTTTGGTCCTTGTAACCCTTAACCGAGCAAAATGTAGTGGAACTGTGATGCAGACCTGAGAATGTCGCGATCTACCAGGTGTCAAAAAAAAAGTCAACAAATGAAAGCTCAATGAGACGGTTCGGAAAGGACAAGGTATGGGGGGGTGGAAGAAGAAAAAGTCATCTGTTGATGGGGGAACTGAGAGCTTTGGCTGGGGCCATTTGGGGCACGTACTAATTAATTATCCGGTAAACTCGTAGGGAAGTCGCGCCTGGCGTTGTTTGTTCCGAAGCTGCAACAGGCGCTTTCAGCTGGTTTGGTTTTGCTGCCACGGCAACCAGTTGGCGGCGGCCTCTCCCGACCTCTACCGACCTCTACAACTCTGTAGTTACCACCAATCACAAACATCGATTCGTGCCATCACTCGTGCTTCGAGTAGCTACGTGCAGTATGTACATGTGTTTGTACTCTGCGCCTAACATGCTTGACCACAAAATTCTGTGCCCAATAATACTCAATACGACGTTCTCACAATAGCAACCTTTTTCATCCCAATGCGATTTCTTCCGAGTCCCCTCCAAATTCTACCGCCCATGCGGAAAGTTGCGTTGAAACACAGCCTTGACACTCCCGTCCAAGATAACTCCGCCTGGTACTTCTTTGTCATGGATCAATCTTCCATTCGTCTCACCAGACTCCCATTGAGCCAGCAGATCGTTGCTCTCCTTTGGCTTGATATCCGGGCCAGCTGTTCCTACCGTGATATGTGGGATTGCATTGGCACTCCGCCATGAAGGTCCTTCAGCACCGGGATAAATGCGCACAACAAAGGCCATGATTCGGTCGTCCCAGACCACTCTCTCTAGCTTGACTCGTGCTTGCCCAAGACCTGGTGCCAACTCATTCTTGTTCTTGAGATCTTTGCCTACCATGGCTTTGCGATATTCTTCTGTATACATTTCCCACAGTTTGGGATCTTTGGTTGCAGATGCCCGATGGATCAACGTCACATGAAATTCATTTTGGAGGCGCCGCGACTGTTTCAACATACGGTACATCCGCGCTTCATCGGCTGAAGCCTGGTCGAATATTGAGCCAAGAATGGATTCAATATTCCTCGCAGGCACTGATATGCTGAAATATTCAAGCTTGCCCATCAATTGGTCTAATGTCAGCGGCTTTTCCTCGAGCTGATGTGCGCCGGTCGTCTTCTGCTTGTGAGCTTTCTCTCCACCCGCGGGCTTTCCGAACGAGAGGTCGTGTTTGATCGTGACTTCACTACCCATCGCATAGTCAATCGCTGATTGCATGTCCTCATCACTCGGCATGTCTTCCGGCAGAAGTCCGGGGTAGGCATTGTAAAGGTGGGTGATGACTGTCTCCAAGTTTTCGAGAGACGACGCACAGACATCCAGATCGATGACTTCGTCGAAGTCAGCATCTGGCGGCGTGCTCCTGTCGCAGCCCTGAAAGCGGTCCAAGAACCCTTCCATGATGCCAATGATCTCCTGCGGACTCTTGCTTCCTGCCCGAATAGTTTGATGATTGTCTCCACGGTCAAGCACGCGCTGGCGGGTCACTCTGCGAATCTCGTCGAGCATCCGATCCTTCGGCTCATGAACGTAGTGCAAAGCCACAAATCTTGCCTGCGGAACCACTTTGCTGACGTCTTCCATAATTTGCTGTCTCTCCCGGCGTTGATGATTGTTACGGTCAGCGACCACCACTTTATGGGCTGCCATGGCATTGACCACAGCAGCGGCAAATCGGGCTGGTCGACCTCTTTGTCCCTGGATATTGTCGTTCTGGACAAGTCCAAAGTCAAAAAGCTTCACCAGCGCAGTCGCCACAGTAGTCTTGCCGCATCCGATCGAGGCGATGGGAACAAGGACGATGTCACTGAGAGACTGATGCCCGGCGCCATCTCCATTTTCACGTTCTTTTGCGATGATGTCGGACCCCTTCTGGCCAATCTCCGCAAGAAAACCATCACGCATCTTGATGATTCCGTGGTTCTTGTTGTACTCTTTGGCCAACGACGGATCTCTGGCTAGTTGCCGGCGTGCGTATTTCAAGTACTCCTCGGTAATCTTCTGGTGCTTCTTGTACTTGGGTGGTTTCCCGGAAATCATGGCTTTCGTACATTCACGCCATTGCCGGTACATCAAGTAGGGTTCCTCGAATTTGTACTTGAAGAACCAGTCTGGTGCCATTGACCGATCCGGACTTCTCTTCTTGCATCTGACCACGAATCCTTCAGTGTCTCGTCCTTCCCAGGAGCCAGTCTCGGCGCATTTGCTGAGAAATTCTTTCACCTCTTCGAGCGATTGCATCATCACATACTGTGCCTTTCTGAAACCCCATGTATCGGCGAACTCGTGAACCTCCGGCCCGGACAAAGTGACAAATTCAGGAAGGTTGATGTTGATGCCATGGAGGTATAGCCCAGCCGCTTCCGGAGGATATTCCAGAACGTGTTCTTCGAACGAATCGTCACATAGCTCGCCGACTGCCGTGGCATTCAAGTCTCTCAGCGCTTTCGCCAACTGCCGCGTGTTCTTGCCCACGCTTTCGACATGTCTCTGAATCCACTTCTCTCCCACAGTAGCATGACTCTGGTCGACATCAGAGCGTGCACCCGTAGAGTGCTTGCTGCAAACTAGTAAAGTACCGTCCTCGAGCCCGGACATGAAAATGATGCAACCGTTCTCCTTGACACTCAGTTCGTACGGCCCAGTGGTATCCCTTTCAATATTGGGCCACTTTGTCTCGGGGACTTCATCAACGTTGAAGAATTTGTCATATCCTCTGACCGCGATTTCTGGAGTGCCGTCTGATCTCCTAGTAGTAAAGAGTCCACGAGCATAAGTAGGAAGGTCATCCCGCTTGTAGTCCCAGTCGTTGAAACGCCAGGAGTCAACGGTGATACCGTGGGAGCCTTCGACTTCGAACGTCGCCTTCTTGCAAGAGAATCCGGATTTGCCTTTCGATCGCCCTGCTTTTGATTTGGCAGCTTCGAGGGTCTGAATTAGCTGGCTAATTCGGTGAGGATCCTGCGCCATCTTGGCTAACTGTGCGCCACGATGGTCACAACGATGGTCACAATGTAAGTGATTAGACCAGTGAGGCAGTAAAGGCACAGGAACCGAACCAAAAGGCCGACGATACTCGCTAGCCGTAGGGAACGAGGCTGCAGAACTGATGGGGCGTATGGAAAATGGAAAAATCGAGGTGCACGGAATTGCCAGAAAATTTAGGTCATGATAATCGCCTTTTATTTCACGCCAGGAAGGCACGACCTTCGATGCCTCGATTTATGATTGCAGAAATTCACTTCGGCCCCTTAGATGGTTGAGTCATTCACTACTAGTGAAACCCAGAAGGATGTGGACTTCATTTCTCAAAGGATGAATTTCGAGAATCCATAGTGGGTCAACAGAAGTGCTCAGCCTGATGCGTGGTGACCTTGCCGGGCACTTTTGAACTAGCCTTGCGGCCACACGTGGCTGATGTTCGCTCGGATTTTTCCACCACTTAAGAGGTTTATCTCAGTGACTCAATAACTACTCCTTCGCTTTGCCAAAGCTGAGGCTGACTCCCCAATTGTGACACTCCCAGGATTCCCACCTCGTCTCCCATCACTAGAGTCCATCGGGGTCAGCTATGCTCCAATGCCAATCTTGAGTTGTCGTCAACAGGACTTCCCCCTCTCTTCCATCTATCATGTCGAAGGACCCCAACCTAAATCCGTTTCTGCTCGCAGCAAACACCCCGGATCCTGACCACCGACTCCTGCCTTTGCTTCGCTCCAGACCAGAGTTAGCGTCTGCGCAAGATGCACATGGTTATTCGCTTCTACATGCCGCGGCTTCTTATAATCATGCGGATCTCTTACGGACGCTGGTCAATGAGTTCAACGTGGATGTGAACTTGAAAGATGAGGACGGGGAAACATGCTTGTTTGTGGCCGAGACGGTAGACATCGCAAAGTGCCTGGTGGAGGAGTTACACGTGGACCTCACAGTACAAAATGACGAAGGTATGAATGCGCTCGAGAAGTTCGAGTCCGAACAGGATTTCCCAGAAGTCGCAGAATACCTCCATACCCTTCCCTCACTAGATCCTACCGCGACATCTACACATTCTGGGTCGATCTCCAATGGAGCTTCCCGCCCTGCACCCCTTCCACCCAATGTATCTATCAACATCGGCACCGAAGACGACACGTCACGGGCTACACTTGACCAAGAACCCGACCCTGAATTTAGGCGAAGGATAGAAGAGCTGGCAGCCAAGGAGAATTTTCACACCGCAGAAGGCCAGAGAGAACTGCGCGAGCTGATCACGGACGCAGTGAGAGATGTGGGAAATGAAAGCCGGGATGTCAGGAGACGTTTCGAGTAATTGCAAGCGCATCGGATATCTGCAACAGCGGACCATGTAAAGCGACGCCTCAACCACATCCTCGGCTGTGCATATATCACAGATGGGAACGAGCATAGCCGGGCCTAACCGGCGACATGGTTGTATGTTGCTACCAAGGAGCTTGCAACATGAAAACCCATGTCCTGCACAGAATTCAGTCGTTCATCCACGCGGTGACTCGACTGGAGCCAAATCTAGCCGCAAAGCGCAAGCCGCTGCTTCCCATCGGAAAGTAGCTGACTAAATACCACACCAACGCCACAAGCTGCACAATCGAGGAAATGAGAGTGAGGATCGTGGAGTGGAGCTGACATGGTTGTGTCAGTATTGTCTTGCAGCATCGCGACAAGGTCTAGAGTTGTACTTACACCCACGGCGAAATAGATGGTCATGATGATGGAACCAAAGTAAGCGGCTGTAAATGGTAGACGAGGGCCTGAGAGCAAATGTGTTGTGTATTGTACCGGTCCCATCAAAAAAGCCCATGAGGCAAGAAACATCAACGAGCCAACCGACCATCTATCATGACGCGTCAGCCACACGTACGACTCCATTTAGACACATGCACAAATCCAGGTTCTGATTGCCAAATAGACACCTCACAGGGGTCTTCCCGAGCGTGGGCATCAAGCTCAAGATAGAAAATAGCTGACATCATCATGGGGTGTACGCGCTGTCACATGGCCCCCCCCAGACGAGCGCGTGGTGGTGTGCAGCAAATGTAGTAAGGGCCCGGAATGACTTTGGGAGACTTACAGAATTGCGAATTTTCGTGGCTTTAGAGACAAGACAGGGAGCAACGCAAAGCAGATAATGAAACATGCCAGCGCTGCGAGATTGCAGCCACCGAAGATCAACAAACGGTCCCATCGGCTTACTGTCAAGTCATAAAAATGTCAGTCATTCCTGTGCGTGCGGATTTGGGTTGTTCTGTATTCTTGGACAGGAGTCATGCGCGAAGCCAACATACATGCGAACCACCCCTCCTCTTCCTCTCTCCTCGTCGGCGCCGGTAGTGGTGCACCTGGAGCCTCGTGTGTGGGTAATTGGACGTAGCCTTTGCCTCCGAACGGATTGAGCGACGAGATTTTGGACAACAAGGGCTTTGACGACGACGTATTGACCGGGACGTCCGGATCTCTTCTGGACCACCCCAAGGAATTCATTGATTCTCGAAAAGAGGAGGACGCCATTCTGACCGGTCAATCTTTCTCAGTTCGAATAGCTTTGTCGGACAATGATTCCGTCCGTAACGGGCGTGACACCGCTCGAGTGTCGATCTGTCCACTTCCAGGTCTTTTGGTCCTTCCAACAGAGACGCCTGGCTCCTCTAGAAGCTTCGAGCTTCTGTCGTGCCAGGCTGAGGAGCACAGACACCAATTGAGGGAATGACGAAGGTTGGAATGTGTTTTGGCTCTAGCGCAGTGCAGGGTTCTCGCTTGTGACCAGACCCAACTCAAGGCGACTTCACGGAATGACACGACCGAAGGAGATGTAAGAGTAATGCCGTGCAAGGACAATTCGCGCTAGGGCGCATCGATTGAACTCTTGTGTAGGGAGCGCAGATGGAATAGGCACGATAGGCAAGGCAGGAGAGCAGGATTCTGCCGGCTGCCTGCAGAATGTCTTGCTTTGCAAGGTGACAGCCTCCGGAGTTCACCGAAGTGGCAGAAGGCGGAAGGACGGTTCGAGATCGAGGGAGAGGAGGGCGAAGGTGGGAACTGCAATGATAGCAGTGCGCGGTGCACAGTGCACAAGGGCACCAGTGTGGTCAAGGGTAAAGTCTCGACGAAGCCAAGGCGTGAAGCCAAATGCAGAGAGGTCCGGTTGTATCGAGCGGAAAGCTGGGGAGAGGGTGAGCGACCAAGACAAGTCTGACCACAGATCCAGCGCTTGGGGAGCTCCCCACCGTTGCCACCGTTGCCAGCGTCACCACCGTTGCGCTAAAAATGCACCAAAAGGCGATTTGGGCCAGGCATCCAATCACCGCTCCACTTCGTCCTCCCTGACAGACCCCTCCATTGCCCACCTTTCTGCTCGAGGTATTGCTCGCATATCCTTGCACTAGTGTTGACCTGAATTACTCGTTCAGAGAGGATGCTATGCCGTGAACAGAATCGCGAAGTTGCTCGTATCCCGGACAGTGGTCATCAGCCCAAGGCCAGAATGTCCGCCGCTAAACAAACAGCCCTACCCCGTGCATTCGCTTCATCAGCTTCTCATGGCCCTGGCCGTTCAGGCAAAGCGTAAGTCTTAGTAGCAAGAACTATCGGTGCTGAACCAGGCCGGATAAGCCAGAAGCCAAAAGCCCGAGCCCAGGGCGCGAGCAGCCAGCGGTTCGTCCCATCCGCATGGGTTTGCAGTATGGGGCGCCGTGTCCCTAACTTTACTGTACCCATCCTCTGGCAAGTCAACTAATCCGCAAGAGAGCATTTCCCTCTGTGATGCATCGGGCACATCCGTCGCACCGCGATAGCTGCAGAGAAGGGACGCTGCATGAGCCTATGCCGATCTACCCTGCATGCTTGAATGCAAAGCATGACAAGGTTGTGATATTGGCCAGCGTTGAGCAAAAGGACGAACTCTAAGCAGTTTCCGGAGATCTGATCGTTTGGTGTCGTGTCGCACAGCATTCCAGGCGGGGGTACGAACCTCCTCCCAACCCGGGCAACGTTGCAACAGAACGTGCTACTCTTTTTTTCCGGCCGAGGATGGATGGAGCCGTGGGTGAGCGTGGGTGAGCATGGATGCGATTTTGGGAAAACAGTCATCTGCAGGCATCATGACCTTTCTGGAAATCCCACAGTACACAGGTCGCCAGCCTTGACGGACCCTCTAGTGAGCATTAGATTGTGGCTTGGCTGTTCGGAGTGATGTTGCTAAGAGGGGCACTTGACCTTGCTCACCATGATCGACTGATGTAATGAATGCCTTGATATACAAGTCATGCAGCTGAGCCGGACAATGAAAGGGTGTATGTACATAGCCATGCGGGCAGAGGAGCGAACTCTGTCCCAGTCTCATGAGCCCTTCCAACACGGCCACCCGAGACAGGACCAAGTTGGCAAACATAACAGATATAGTCAAAAGGAGGGTGGTCCCCCGTCTTGCTCCCTCGTCCCATGCCGCCTTGTCGCCCTTATGGGAGTGCGCACAGCCAGTAGACCGGAGGGGTTCACACCCTTTCGGGGTCCACCCGTGTTGCTCATCCCGCTCATATCAGACCAGGGTCCAAGCCCTGGGGTATGTATTTCGATTGGTCTTCCGGTTGTATCCGGCACCCTGCACGCCGCCTCATGTGGCTGCGCATGGGTTAAAAGGAGCAAAACTGGTGGAGTGCATACGCAACGGGAGTGGCAGCTGGAGGGTGCAATGGGCAGGCTGTACCGGGTACTGGTTGTCGATGAGCCAGCCTTGCATGCACATATAAAGAGATCGACTGATCCAGGTCGGACGTAGCGAGAATTTATCGTCCGTCTTCGATTTTCCCGGTAGTATCTAGAGCAAATCGGCTCATTTCGTTCGAGCGCAGGTGCGGGTTTTCCGCTGCTTGTTATCCCCCTTCCATCTCCATCGACCCGCCCTTCTCCAAGGGATCGTCCAGACCAGCTCCCTCCTGAATACTCTTCTGCTCCTATAACAAACTGCAAGAAGGTCGTACCGAAGTGCCCATCAACCCGTCGACCTATCAAGTGTCAACCTTAACAAGTCGCACAGTCCAATTGAATCGTGCTTGTGGCATGAGAGGCGGCAGCTTGACTCACAGACTCGACTTGTGCCGCCGTCCAATCCAGCCCCGCCCTGCGCCAAGGTCGAGCTTCGAGTCCAGATCGACTCGGAATTCCATTGGCAGAGCCGAATCGCGGTGACAAACCCAGACGACTCTGGGCAGCCACTCAGCAGCTGTCCAACCCCCCAGTGCCCCCCCCAGCGCCGCCACTGTTGCCCTTCGACTTCTCCGTCACCCTTCTCCCTGGCCTCTCCCACTCACTCGGTCACGGCATCTCGGCCGCACTCAAAATTCACTTCCCCAAGGTGGCCTTCTCGCACTGCCACTGCCACAAACAACCCTTACCCTGACGGTACCCTCCCTGTCTCTCCGTACAACAACCACACCGCATCCCACCTTCAACCACAACCACGACAACCCCCGTCGGAGCCTTGCCATCCCAGACACTCTGTCCTGATCTATTTCACCTTATCCCGAACAACCGCGATTACGACAACTTCTGACGTTGACGACATCGACTCTGTGCTACTTGTACCTGCCCGCCACGAAACCTCGATTGAGCGCAGCTCCCACCTTCAGGTCTTCTGTCCCACGGCTTTCCTCTGGCAGCCCCTCGCATTCAACCCGCACCCGCTATCTCGTCCACATCTCAGCACAGCTCATGCGCTCTTGATTCGCTTTGCGCCCGTCCAATCTTCCCTCTGACCACCTCAGTCGCCGTTCACCACATCAATCATTCAAGGCAACCCAGAAAGAGGTGGTATCGGCGATTTGGGTCAGCCTTTAGAGCCAAAAAGACTCACGCCGTCGGAGAACACCCCTTGATCTGTCTGCTGCTGTTCGAATTGGGACGGTCTTTCTCGCTTCAGACGCACGCTACACAGAGTAGCGAATATCACCGACGAAAACACGACGGAATAAGGCCGGACGGTGTGATTCATTGCTGACAGCGCATACTGCCGTCAGCCTCGTCCACGTTGCGACAGGGAAGTTTTCGGCACGGAAGGTCACTGCTTGACGGTGACAACCCAAGTCCATTCACTCTCGGTATCACTAGGACGGAGTTACCCTCGATAGCCGTGCTTCACCTTTCCTCATTCACCTGGTCAGCAAACCCCATGGCTATATCCGCTTGATAGCCACCTGGTTTCTTTTGTTCGCTGCTGAGTGACATCTGGGTCAAAGCACGCGAGCTGAACTTCTTCTATTCTTATTGCCACCTTATTCCAACCACCGACTTCTCACTCTTTCCTTTGTTTTGGATCATGACACATTCTTCAGCCGGTATGCCCTATATCAAGAGCGAGCCCGATGACTTCGGTAATAACCCTAACCGATTCATGTCATCGGCGAACTATGGCAACTCTCAGGGTTATGGCAACCAGTTCAACAACCAACAGGATGGCGGGAGCATTGACCCCTCCGAGCTCTCCATGCCCGCTACCAACTATGGTAGCATGCCATACAACTATGGTGGAAATCCCATCTCGTCCAGTTACGGCGTCGGGGTGGGACCCGCTTACACCGATAATGAGTTATTAGAGTCCCTCGACTTCGGAAACAACAATGGTCAAGGCATGTTTGATGATTTCACCCTGGCAAATCCTACCAACAGCAATAACAGAAATTCAGGTGCAGTCCAAATGGACCAGCAGAACCAAATACCCAATGTCTATTCTAGTACTCCGGACGGGCCTCCCATTCAGAGCCCATTCCTTGGAAACTTTGACTATAACCAATTCAGGCCCATGGGCTCCCTCCCGACTCATATGTCGCCTCACCAAGGTTCCCAGTTTGGAAAGCGTCCCAGCATGCAGGCGGCAAATCGGAAATCGTCCGATCAGCGAACCCCGTTGACTCCACGTACGGCAGGGATGGCAGGACTACAGATCGGAACTCCAGAGTCGGGAAATCTTGCCAATGGTCGCCCCATCCGCGCCCCGAACGTCCAAAATCGACACTCCAAGACCTTGTCGGGACAATACGACAGTACGCCTGGGAGCTTCCATTCATACCTAGATTCGCCGTTGTCATCTCCAGGCAATGGCATTCATCATGCTGGCATTTCTGAGACTCTTGGGACTGGTCATCATGCCTCTCTACCGGCAAAGGTTGATGGCGGTCTTAGTACCAGCAATACAGAGACTGCAGAGGCTAAGAAGCGAAGGAGGCGTGCGTCGCACAATGCTGTTGAACGGCGACGGCGAGACAACATCAACGAACGCATCCACGACTTGTCCCACTTGGTGCCACAACACCGCCTGGAGGATGACAAGGTCAAGAAGCAGTTGCAGAGTACTGGACCACTCTCGCCAACTACCGGCGCTGCGAGCATGAGTCCGCCAAATGCTAACAATGCCGCCACATCATTACTTGCAGGTGCTGCCGGTCGTCGCGCTGCCAGCACTGCCGGGAACATCACGATTGGACTACCGATTGAGGAGAAGGAAAAAGGCCCTAACAAGGGGGACATCCTCAATGGAGCGGTTGCGTGGACTCGAGACCTCATGTGGGCACTGCATCAAAAATACCAGCAGGAAGACGAACTACTCCAATACATCCAATCAATAGGCGGCCAATGGCCTTTCCAAGTCACAGAAGATGACAAGCGCATGCGCTCTGAAGTCATGGATGCCATGGAGAAAAATGATTCCAGCACATTTTCTTACTCCAGGACAGATGGCACTGGGCTACGAGTCCCACGACACACGAACGTCGCGGGTGAACGGGTCCTGAATAACCCCAGTCTCAGTCCTCAAAGCAATTTCGAACTCAGCCCGGGCTTCCACAGTGGCGGCAGTGGCACGAATAGTGGCAGTAACGGGGCCGGCCAAACACAATACTGGCACAGCGCTGGACATACAGGCATCAGCTTCAAAGAAGAAGATGAGTTCATGGACATGAATTGATGAAAGTGTCGCGTGATGATGCCTAGAGTCGGATGCCACCTCAGCAAGAGTGTGTCCGACAATCACGACGCCGACAGTGATGACCTTCAGCGCAGGCGTCAGAGGTTGAACATACCAGCCAGCATTGGTACCGGAGAAACATATGAGGGTGGAGACATTCTGCGAGCTGATGGATTTGAGCCCGAGGCTCTTGTTATCTCTTGTTTTTTTCTCCCATCAAGTCCATCAAGTACATTCGCCAATCTTTGGGATGCGATCTTTCATGTACTTGCCGGATGGGATTTGTGGTTGGGTCCATTCGAGCTGATTTTTGTCTTTTGTTTGCCTGGATACCCCCTCGTTCTGACATTTCGTCTTTTCATTTGTCACTCGGCGCACATTTGAGGCATTTGGTTCCAAGTCAAGGGCAGCAGGCAGAGCCAGGCCTGGAACAGGACATGTATTGTAGGTAGACACAGAACATGCACGCCGTGATCTGATAGCATGGATCATGACTTGGTGGGTAGGGAGGGAATGCATGATACTAGTAATACTCTTGAATCAAAGGGGTTGTGTCCGTCACGCCCTAGTTACTTTGATCATTCATGGTTCAGTGCATGAGCTGTGTCCTGGGTCTGCCATTCAGATGGCAGTTAACGATCCGCATGTGACCGATTGCTTATCCGAGACCCAGCATGCTCTAGCGAGAAGTGGCCGTTGTCGGGGGCCATTCACGAATCTCTTCCCCTGATTCTCCCGCTTCTCCAACTGGACGGAGCAGACGACCAACCACTTTTCCTTCGCCAAAAGTCTCCAAAGTCGGAGTTGACCCTCTCCTGCGCCCAAAAACATTTCCTCACGACTCAACCTAGAGTACTTGGTGCTCTTTGTGCTCTTTAAAATCCTCTTCAAGAGCAGACATCTGTCCATCACGGTGCTACTTTAGCCCAGTCTCTGTCTCTGCGCTGTCGCGTACTCTCCAATCCTCGCCTTTGGGTCGCTGTGTCTCTCTACTCCGCTTGCGCCAACCTCCACTCACGCCCTTTGGCCGCACCCATCTCAAAAGACCGGATACCGCACACACCGTAACTTATAAGCAAGATGACGGAAAAGCCTCTGGGCTTCGGCTACCAAATCGGTGCCGGAGCTATCGCCGGTGTCTCAGAGGTGAGTTCAGAACCAAAGAGACCACAAGAATTGAGGCATGCGTCTTTCCTAGAGCTCTCACTAATCAAAGCGTCTAGATTCTCATAATGTGAGTCTTGGTCTCGCATGCTGTACACGGACGCCGAAGCTGTGGCGAGACAAGGCAGTCCCGACTTTTTGCTGACTGCCTTCATCCAGGTACCCGTTGGATGTGGTCAAGACAAGAGTGTACGTACAATCACCAGATGGCGCAAAGCGACACCCAGCTAACCACTTCCCGCTGAGCCTACAGACAACTTCAGGGCCGAACGCCCGTCCCCGGCCAAGACTACTACACCGGCATGTTCGACTGCCTGCGTAAGATTGTCAAGAACGAAGGTCCCTCTCGGCTATATCGTGGCATTGGCGCGCCCATCATGATGGAGGCTCCCAAGCGAGCAACGAAGTTCGCCGCGAACGACTCCTGGGGTATTTTCTACCGCAACCTCTTCGGCGTTCAAAAGCCCACCCAGCCGCTCGCTATCCTCACCGGCGCAACCGCTGGCGCTACGGAGGCATTTGTCGTGGTCCCTTTCGAACTGGTCAAGATCAGATTACAAGATCGTGCATCTGCAGGGAAATATAACGGAATAGTGGACTGCGTTGTCAAGACCGTGAAAGCTGAGGGACCTTTGGCCCTTTACAACGGATTGGAATCGACTCTTTGGCGACACATCCTCTGGAACGCCGGGTATTTCGGCTGCATCTTCCAAGTCAAATCGCTCATGCCCAAAGTCGACAAGGCCGAACGCGGAAAGGCGATGCTGAACGACTTCATTTCTGGCACGATCGGTGGCACTGTCGGTACGATCCTCAACACTCCCATGGACGTGGTCAAGTCGCGTATCCAGAACTCGCCTAAGGTCAACGGACAGGTGCCCAAGTACAACTGGGCCTGGCCTGGTCTGGGAACGATCATGAGAGAGGAAGGTGGTGCGGCGCTGTACAAGGGTTTCTTGCCCAAGGTTCTGAGACTGGGACCTGGTGGCGGAGTCTTGCTTGTTGTGTACACCGGTGTGATGGACTGGTTCCGAAAGATGGGCGCGTAAATCATCGGCTGAGTGAGTGGTGAGAGAGGGAGGAGAGAGAAGGAGATTGGGGGTGTTGTGTGTGTGCGTGAGCGTTGGTGAAAAATAGAAGACTACCGACTCGGTTCTCCTTCATCTAAGGCGCCGGAGTTGAGTCTGGAGACGGTTGATGAGGGTCTTGGATTCCAGAACCAGACAACATGAAAGGGAGAAGATCTCGCCACATAGAACGCAGGGAGGGAGGAATGCTTTTTGAAGACCATTTTCCTGGCCGCTTGATCAAAAAAACACTGCGATGTCTCGGGTTTTGCGGCCATCAAACTTCCACTAAAATCCCGTCTACACGGTTGTGGGTTTTTGTTTTCCTCCTTTCTTGGAAATATTTTGGGATACTGGGAAAGAAAGACTTGCGGGACTTGCTTTGCTTGTGTGTACTCAAGTATTCAAGTAAGTATTGAAAGATAGAGCGTTAGAGAGATGATAAAGGGAGAGGAGACGGGCAATTAAGAGCGTTTAACTCCATTCTATTCTATCCTGTCCTGTCCTGTCCTACTGTATCATATGTCTCCCTCCCCCCTGTGTGTCTGTCTGTGTATGTGTGTCTTTGCTTGGATCTTCGATGGAATGTAAAAGTCAAGTTCCTCACGCACCGAACGTCCTCGTCGATTCGCGGTGCTGGGTGCGGCACCACTGAGCTCTTCGGTCCTTAGGAATGCACGACGAGTGTGAGAGAATGTGAACATAGGAAACGACAGGGGAAAAGGCTCTGCACTTTCTCAATCGAGAATTTATGTATGCGTGTATTCAGCCAGTACCAAGTTTTCTCTCGCGAATCCTTGAGTCAAAGCCGTAGGGACCATGGAAAAACGAACGTCATCAAACTTGATAACCAGGATGTGCCCGACTCGATGCTTCGTACACCCTCGCACACACGAGGTTCTAACGCCGAACGCCAAAGTCCATACCCCATGTCCATGCCGTTGTCCAAGTCCATGCTTATGCTGATAACTTCATATGATGTCCAAGGACATGCACAGCGACGCTTCCCAAGGTCGGGTTCGTTCCGGCCAGCCAGAAAACCCGCTCCCAAATTCACTTGGCGCGTCTGATATACCATCTCGACCTGGTACCTTCTTCGAGCTCGACAATGACTTTTGAAGGTGAATGAGGTTGTGTTTTCTTTTCGGGTTCCAGGTTGTGGTCTTGCGCAGTAGCATGGCTGCATCCCGGTTTGCGCTTGTCTGCGTCAACTCCGACGTCGACGTTACCGGTACCGGTACCAGTGCCATTTCCCTTAGGTACTTGTCTCTGTTTGTGCTCCATATCAGTCTTTGCAGATGGGGCCATCTCCTGGTCATTGACTTTGATAACAATGTTCCTGGCGGACGTAGTCGTGGGGCCAGCTGTTTCGTTTGCTTTTGGCCGTATTTGAAGGGATCCTTCTTTTTTCACTGGTGATGGATCGCCGTTTCTGGGTTCATCTTTAGCTTGCGATTTGTTGGAATTGAGTTTCTTCGTAGACTGATCCTTTGCGCTCAAGGACTTTTCTCTAGACCATAGTCTCTCCTTCAACGCATCTTCCCATCCTGCTCGGCGAGCAATTTCTTCCAAGACCAGGTCACACTCGCCCAAAAGTTCAATATCAACTTTGACCCCTTCACGCTGGCACCTGTCTTTACTTATCCAGATCTGTGGCACCGTTGGAGGAATATTGAGGAGCATTTCATTCACAGGCTCGACTTTCAGAGACGTGCCGACAATAACAAGCAGGTCTACCTTGCTTTTGTCAATTTTCAGTCGAGGAGCATAAGAATCTGCGATGTCCTCGCCAAAGAAGGTCATGTCTGGTTTGAGAAGGCCTTTCGGAAAATCCCTCTTCGCCGCCGAGTCTTCCGAGTCTGTATCTTCGAATTCGTCCCGCTTGCGTTTCTTTTTGCCGCTGCGTCCTCGGCCCTTGCTGCTAGTTCTCGGTTTAGGACCTCCATCGACCAAGGTGCATTTACAATAGGGTACTCCTCCTGCCCGCACAACGGGCATGTATTTCCTGGCGGTTGTTCGTTTCCCACAGCTCATGCAGGTGGCGGTTGCTAGGGTGCCATGACACTGGATCAGTTTCGAGGGAGATACACCTGCGGCAACCTCTAGACCATCGATGTTTTGAGTGTAATTTGTCAGAAGCTTCCCCTTCGACTGTAACATAGAGATAAAGGCGTGGGTTAAACTGTATTTTGGAATCAAAGGGATCGAAGTATCGTGGCTTGACTCGCTTGAACCGACACCGCCTTCAGCGGGCACGAGACCCTGCATCTTCGGAAACACTTTGGCAGCCTGTCTGAAAAACTCTTCCGGGTCAGCCTTGAAATTGTCGATGTGGAACAATTCCTGTGGATCGTCATAGACCGAATCAACGAGTAGGTTGTAAACACCATTGGCAGAACGAAAATCCGGTACTCCCAGGGAAGTGGAAATCCCAGCGCCCGTCAAGATGATGATATTCTTGGACGATTTGAAGAGTGAGACGGCGTGATCCAGCGTGAAATACTGATTCAAGCGGGGCCGAATTTGTGGAACTCTCTTCGCAGGTGAAGAAAGTCGTCGTGGCGGGAGGGATGATGCTCTGTCCATATTTAACTGATGAATACGGAGTAGTTTGGAAGGCGATGGTCGATCGGGTGAGATATCGAAGTAAGAATTGCCATCCCGATGGGCAGGGGAATGAGGTGCTGAAGTGGCCATCGTTGCACGATCAAACGGACTGGCACCCGAAGGAACCAAGTGATTGCGAGTTGGTCAGGGTCGAAGCTGCAAGTTGTTTGTGTCAGGGTCTTTGATTGCAAAAACAAGACATTCAGACGCACAGAATCCAGACTTCACATGGTGCTTGGTCATCTGGGTAAGGCTGTGGAATCCGTGCGCCCGGGTTGGTTCTGGAAGTTGCAGATCTCGAAGATTCGAACCAGGCACAATCGAGTCATGACTGCGGCCCTCTACACAGGCGTCCAAGGCGGAGAAAGGTCGGGGCACTTCTCTTCTGTGAGCGCATGCACAAGATTTAAGACAGAGAGAGGTGTTTGAGTGTCTTGTCGCAGAGTTTGCCTGAGCTGACCAGGAGATATGGTGGAGGGGGCCGGGACGTGGTTCGAATATCCCCTGAGCCTTGAGGCTGTGCTCTTCTTAGTAGGTAGAGACTGCGATATGACATCATGGTACAGCTGATCACGTGCACACGCCTCTCGACTCTTTAGTCTCGACGCGCTTCCCGCTTGAAGTTGGACGCGACTTTGGGCCGTTGTGTGGGTTGTGTCAACCTTCCATGCTCCACCACAACATTGACGAACTTCAATCCTTCCCTCCTTCCCTCATCGCAGTCCATGACTGACACGAAGACATCAGTTCGCCTAACATAATGCCCTCCGCCCTCTTGGGCGTCTCGTCGCAATCTAGGAGAAAGCTCAAAGCTTTCGCGTTCGACGAAAGACTGCTGGCTGGAGACGAAGACAAGGAGAACCAACAGGATCAAAATGCTGTCACAAAACCCAGTTCGGACCACCGTGACTATACACGCCAGGACCAGATGACCGAGCCTAGAGTTCCCCATACACCCGCAGTGCGCATCCCGATCGAAGACCTCATTGCAAATACCGAGGATGCATACAATTGCCCTCCGCCAGAAGGAACACCCAAAGATCACGTTCTCTGGCAGACACATCCGGATAGTTCAGATGCGTCAGCAGCAGCAGGTGCTACACAAAGGAGCAGGAAACGCGCTCATAGTTCCTCACCCGTCTCCTCGCAACAAGTCTCTGCGCACAGGGATGCCTTGAATCTTGACACCCTGAACAAGTCCCTCCGCACTCCCAATAATGATCCTACTCAGGATCTATGGAACAGATACACAACCGCCAACGGGTTGAAGAAAGATGGGAAAGAACCTAGCTTGCCGGCATACGGACATTTGCTTCCTTCGTCCCCTCAAACACCGAGCACCGCCAGTAAGGACAGCAGCTTGAGGCGAACACACAGCTGTGGGGTCGAATGGCCTACATCAAAATCGAAGCGCAGAAGGACAGAGACGACCCAGCACCATAGCCGCACCAAAGAACTATTTGCCGCTTCCCGCAAGGAGATTCTTCGCCGTGACCTTTCCAATAATACTCGAGTTGGCCTTCTGCTCGACAGAATTCAGGAAAGTTTGACAAGGAAGGTTGACGCAGTGGAAGACCCCTCAAGCTCCTCTCCTTTGCCAGACAGGTGCTCGCAGGCATTTGTATCGCCAACCAAACGGCCGAACGGGACCAGACCCAGGTCCAGTGGTCCAGACGCACCTCACGTCTCCCAAGTAGCTCAACCGAAGAAAACTATATCCCCGTCTGAAGCATCGTCATCATTTGAATTCAGCGACGATGGTCTCGATGTTGAAGCTTTCGAAAGTGCTGAACGGGCCCTTGGACAAGCCGAGGCGAAGAACCAAATAAGTCACATTGAACCAGATCGCAATGGCAACGGGTCGAGTACGCGTTCTCGTTCTTATTGTCACGATGAAGGCGGAACCCTCCAACTGGATGGTTCTCGAGACCAAAATGAGAGGCAGCCTAACGGGAATCAGGAGCCAATGCATCCGGGGGCTGTAGCTGCAGGATTTGATGAATTTAATGACGAGGATGACGACGACGAAGAATTAATGAATGAGATGCTTGATCTTGCTGCAAAGTATGATTCACAGTCGCAAGCAGTGGTAGCCAATCCACCAGGCTTTTCGAAGCCGACGGCACCCAAACCACAAACCAGGCACCTTGAAACACTTGACGAATTCGAAGACGTATTTGATGACGATGATGAGATTTGGGAGGACATTGCCAATGCGACTTATGACAAAAGCAGGACGCCAGTCACATCCAAGGATCATGTACGTTTTTGATAGACTTCAAGTTGATGACGCGCATGCTGATAGAATAAATAGACATCAATTGACAATCGAGCCATCAAACGTTACCTCGTTGTGGAAGTCCTTGAGAGTGAATACGAATACAAACCTGGCCGTAAAAGACCAGAAAAAGTATGCTCCGTTCCCCTGGCCAATCTCGAAGTACTGACGGGACCCAGATGCTTTCAGTCAAAGATGAGAGGTCCAACATGTGCTATATCATCTTGTTACGAGAATCCTGGTACGATACCAGATGTACCAAGGGGTCTTATGTTCATGTGATTGGCAAGTTTGATCGCACAGGTCAATGCGTGGTCAATGACGCTGAGAATATGGTTATTGTTCATCCTGACCACCTCATTTCCTCGACTGTTGTCGGAGATTCGTTCACTTGTATGCGTCGTGCCGTGCTGCAAGACAGGGTAAAGGCCACCAGCGCAGCCAGTCAGCCTCAGGTTTACGGCCACATCCTGCATGAAGTCTTCGGACATGCTTTGCGGATAAACAAATGGGATATACAATCTTTCAGAGAGATTATCGACAAGACTCTTCCATCTTACATCGAGTCGCTATACGAAATCGGTGTTCGAGTACAGGAAGCAACGGAATACCTTTTGGGGAAAACGCCTGAACTGATGGCATGGGCGAGTGTCTTTGTTGGTGATACTTTGTCAACAGATGCTCTCATCCGTGACCGCAACGGTCTTCTCGTTCCCACTACCATTAACAAGTTGCTCGAACTCGAAGAACATATCTGGTCTCCCATGTACGGACTCAAAGGTAATATCGACGCTACAGTCCAGGCACAGATGAAATTGCCCAATGAACAATCCACGAGGACTCTACTGGTACCCTTCGAGCTGAAAACCGGTAAGAAGGACAATGTCGAGCAGCACCGTGTCCAAACAGCGCTTTACACGCTGCTCTTGTCGGACAGATACGATATTGCTGTAACATGCGGCATGCTCTACTATATGGAAAGTTCCAAAACATACAGGGTTGAAGGCATCAGAAACGAGATACGCCACATGATCATTCAGCGAAACGAATTGGCATGCTATGTTCACGACAAGTTAGCCTTGCCACCCATGATCAAGAAACAACACCTTTGTAAAAGCTGCTATTCAAAGGCAGCCTGCTTCACGTACCACAAGTTGTCCGAAAATGGCACTGCGGAGACCAGTGGCCTGGGGGAGAAGTTCTACGAAGTTGTCGATCACTTGTCGCCGGTTCATCAGTCCTTCTTCAAGAAATGGGATGATCTGCTCACGAAGGAAGAGCGCGACAGCATGAAGTTCCGCCGCGAGCTTTGGACCATGTTGAGTTCAGAGCGAGAGGCACTTGGGCGTTGCTTCTCAGAAGTAGTTATTCAACCTGGGTCGGCACTTGAAAATACGGAAAGCTCCAAAATCAACAGATTCGAGTATACCTTTATCAAACATTTGCCTCGTCCTGGCTTCTCGTTTAGAGATTCACAGATTACCACCGGAGAACCAATTGTGATATCGGACGAAAAGGGACATTTCAACTTTGCAGCCGGTTTCGTCACGAATGTACAGCCTACTAGGGTCGTGGTAGTGGTTGACCGGAGACTCGAACGTGCAAAAAAGAGACTGGAAGGCTTCGATCCTGTGACCAACCAAGTATTCTCTGGTCATGTCGATGTGGCTGACAATGGCAACTCACACTGTTCGCAACAGGATGAGCCCATCCTCTACCGGATTGACAAGGACGAGTTTGCGAATGGGATGGCTACGGCACGGAACAACATCCTTCGAATGATGGAAAAAGATCTCTGGCGAGCACGAGAGCTTCGGCAGTTGATCATTGAGAATAAGCGTCCAGAGTTCAAGGTCACTTCCACCGCCTACTCACTATCCGGACCAGCCTCACAACAGAATCTCAATGTCGATCAGCAACGAGCCATTGAGAAGGTGATGAGTGCCAAAGATTATGCCCTCGTCCTCGGTATGCCGGGCACGGGGAAAACCACAACCATTGCTCACATCATCCGTGCCCTCGTTTCGCAAGGCAAGTCGGTGCTACTTGCATCGTACACACATACCGCTGTGGACAACATCCTGTTGAAAATCAAGGACGATAGCATCCCCGTCCTACGGATTGGAGCAGTCAACAAAGTGCATCCCGAGGTGCAATCGTTCGCCGACATTTCAGGAATTCCCAAACGCACAACTGAAGAGCTCCACGTCTCGTGGCACGAAAGTAAAGTCGTGGCAACCACTTGCCTTGGTGTCAACCATGGGATCTTCAATGCGCGGACATTCGACTTCTGCATTGTCGACGAAGCCTCTCAGATCACGTTGCCAGTGTGCTTGGGACCGATCCGCATGGCCAAAACCTTTATCCTCGTGGGTGACCACTATCAACTACCACCTCTGGTCCAGAATAAACAGGCTTTGGAGGGCGGTCTAGATGTGAGCCTGTTTAAACTGTTATCTGATGCGCAACCAGATTCCGTGGTCAACTTGGAACACCAATACCGAATGGCGGAGGACATTATGCTCCTGTCTAAGGAACTTGTCTATTCGGGTCGAATCAAATGTGGCAATGAAGTCGTTGCCAAACGAATGCTTGAAATCCTAGATCTTGACGGCGGGTTGGCTGCACATCATTTTACCGCGTCTTCCTTAGCTCAGGCCAGCAATCATTGTACACAAACTGTCTGCCTCGCCAGCTCCAGCTGCTGGCTCCGAGGCGCCCTCTCCCCTTCCTCTCGCTGCCTCTTCCTCAATACTGACACCATCACACCCCGGAATTCAGCACGAGAAACCGTGGCAGGTGCCCGGATCACCAACAGAATCGAATCGATCCTTACGGCACAGCTGGTCACCACCTTAATTCACTCCGGCGTTGCGCCCAGCTCCATCGGCGTAATCACGTTCTACCGTTCTCAACTGGCACTCCTGAGAACCGACGTGAAAGCCTTGGCCGGCTCTGTCGCGTCCAGCGAGGTAGAGATGCATACCGCAGATAAATATCAAGGGCGAGACAAGGAGGTGGTGATATTGAGTTGCGTGCGGAGTAACGACAATAATCATGTCGGTGAACTGCTCAAAGACTGGCGACGGGTGAATGTTGCAGTCACAAGGGCGAGGAGTAAGTTGTTGCTTGTGGGCAGCAGGAGCACTTTGGGAGGGAGTGGTGTACCCATCCTGGAAGGCCTGACAAGGATTATGGAGGAAAGAGGCTGGATACTGGAGCTACCAGGTGAAGCCAATGAGATGCATTCCTTCGAGAGTGCGATCACCCAGACCGACAACGGTCCTACACAAAAGTCCAGTGCAGAGGGAACGAGGGGTTCACCTTTATCATCGTCAGCAAAGAAACAAAAAAGATCAATCCTACAGACGAGCGGACAGGGCCACAGCTATCCAGGTTCAGAGAAGAAGGAGAAACGACACCCCCTTAGGAAGCCGGACAAGGTTGTGAGAGGCACTACACTGGTTGGCGGGCCTGATGGCGGCGTGCGGAAGCTTTTGGATAAGCGACCGGTCTTGCGGAATGTCTTGGATGAGCTCGCCGGCGATGGCTGTGGAATCGACTTGGACAAAGAGAACGTTCATCTGTACGAAGACATTGATATGGACATGGATGCAGATTTCGACCCTACGGATTTTGGTGTATACTGAACGCACGGCAATGCCAGTGGCAGGAGATCAGGGCAATTGGGATTGTCATCCCGATACTGGCTCAATTTGAATTTGGATTATCAAGGAGGAGATCCTTGGAAAATTGAAAGCCACATTACAACGGGTTGGATAAGAAGTACTGTGTCGGACCATGGCATCTTTGGGTTTGGATGAGACCTTGTGGCCTAATTACCTCGTGAAAATGGTAGTCGGCCGGGAATAGATGCAAATGAAGAGGACTGCGAAGAGAGTCAAACATATCAGCAATTGGAGTGATAGTCTGATGCTGAATACATGCCGTGTATAACGAAGAGCGGAAATGCTTCTTATGCGCCTCAGCCTCGTCATTACTCCATTGGGCGCTGCAGCCTAATCCATTCCACGCTAAACCCAGTTTAGATATCGTAATTCCTCCCACAGCCTTGACCTCGTCAACTCCAAGGCTCCCTCCTCCCCTGAAATTCGTAGTCTCTTGACAATTCGCTCAGACAGCATCTTGGCAACCTCTGAGAAGAACTCTCGGATCTGGAGTGTACTTCTTTAGCGGGCATTCGAAGCTCACTTTTCTGCCCGAAAAGGGGTTGCTGGTTGTTGGTACAGGTTGTCGTTTGCATGATGCTTGTCAAGGCAATACTTCTGGGCGCGTCGCAAAGGTATCCAACGATTGACACAATGGTCGGCAATGAAGTTTATGCTGGTCAACGTCGCAGCTACGGAGGTGCGCTGTGTACCGTGCGGTATCATGGTCCCCTTTCCAACACGAAGGGCGAATGGCTGGGAATCGAGTGGGATGACCCCAGTCGTGGGAAACACAACGGACAACATGAAGGTCAACAGATCTTCCAATGTCTATCATCATCACCAACAGCTGCCTCCTTCGTCAGACCTTCCCGCAATCCAGATCCCGAGCGGACGCTTCTCGAAGCGATTCGGTTCAAATATGCACCTGTCAACAAAACGGGTGTGGATGCCTTTACCAGCCACATCCAGGACGAAGTCATTGAGATATCCGGGAAGGTGGTGGAAGAGGTCGGATTCGAGCGAATCCAGAAGCAGTTGTCGGTCCTCGCCGATCTCAAGATTGTCCTGGTCGACGAGTTGGTGGTGTCAGGCGTCGCTGGGCGTGGTGCTTCCACTCAGCGCGTTCGAGATGCCCAGGTCGAACTCGAACGCACATGTCCCAACATCGTCGAACTGGACGTAGGTTGGAACGTTATTGAAACCTGGCAAGACGTTGTGGACATGTGCGCCCCGTTCCGGAAATTGAAGATCTTGAAAGCCGGTGGGCTGCGCTTGAGGGACTTTGGAGCCGACTGTTTCCAGGAACCGCATCCTTTTCAGAACGTCGAGGAGTTATATCTCAACGAGTGTCTGCTCACCTCAGCGCAGGTTATCAGTATTCTCTTCCCCAAGGGGAAATGTGCCTTTCCGTCCCTGAAGAGGTTATCGCTATCTCTGAACGAGCTGGAGTCCTTTGAGATAAACGACGCTACAGGAACATCCCAATGTCCTCCTTTGACAACCTTGATCCTCGACGGGAACCGCTATGTGGATCTGTCGCATGTGCCCGTCCTGTTGACTCTGTTCCCGAACCTCAAGACCCTGTCATTCCAGGGCAACATGATCTCTAGTCTGGGTTTAGACGCCCATGCTTCCACTGGGTCGTCCGGGATCCCGAACCTCGAGGCCCTGAATCTGGCCAACAACAGGATCCGAGACTACGCCTTCGTCAATAGCCTTCCACAGGTATTCCCCAACCTCTGCTCTCTGCGCATCTCGCGGAACCCGTTGTACGAACCGTCCGGATCATCAGACGAGTCGTCAGAACCGTCATCTGGCCCTCGGAGCCAACAGCAGGTTCAAAGCAGGAATTCCGACTCAACATCGTACTACCTGACACTGGCACGGATCCCTAATCTAAAGTCCCTGAACTATACAACAATCACGCCGCGGGACAGGGAAGAAGGCGAGATCTACTACCTCTCCGTCGCGGAGAAGGAAATGCGACACTTTCTGCAAGGAAATACGGCTCAGAAGCCACCGTCGGGCGAAGAAGTGTCTGGAACGCATTCAAGCCAATCCCCACAAGAGAGAGTCGAACTCGCTCGCAAAACCTACCCACTCTACTCCAGCCTGTGCGAGAAGTACGACCGCGAAGACATTCTCGTCCAGTACCTCCAACAGCAACAGTCAGCGGCGCATCTTTCTTCAGACTCATCCCACACCAAATCTGAACTTGACACATATGCCGCCGGGACGCTCGGATCCCGCCTCGTCGACGCTCACTTCTTTTGTATTTCTCCCATCAACGACGCGACCACAACACCACCACGGGAGCCCTTCCACCGCCTCCTCCCGACCACGATATCCGTGTACCGCCTGAAATCTCTGTTGGCGCGGCACTTTGGCCTCCCGCCGCTCCAGTTCCGGCTGATCTACGAGTCGCATGAATACGACCCCGTCGAACCCATCACCAGCACGAGGAATCCCGCCGCGGGAACGGGCAACGGGCAAGATCTGTGGGAGTCGTGGGGCGATTGGGACGTCGATCGAGACGATGTCGACGGCGCCGACGGCGGCGGTGGCGATGACGATCATGACGATGACGACGGCGTTGTCGGGGCCAAAGAAGTCGACATCGCAACGACGGCTACTATGCCCATGTACATCACGCGCCAGGGCAACCGCTTCAAGAAGCGCGAGACCGAGATCCTGGACGGGATGCGGCCCTGGGGAGATTTTCTGGACGTCGATGACGGTCCTGTTCCCGGTCACGGTCACGATTGGCACCCGGGAACTGCGCACTTGGGTAGCACGGGCAGGAGGAGGAGGGAGGTAAAGGTTCGTGTGGAACCACATTAGACCGTATGAGAAGAATTCCCAATTTGGACCAACCATCCCCATATATACATTTCACATTGAGAGAGCTTCGCCTGGTTTTTGTTCTTTTGTTTTTGCAAACAGATTAAAATTTTCCTTTTTGTACAAAGTTAGAGTAGAATGACAGTGGTGCTTGCTTGCCTGCCTGCCTGACTAGACGACCAATGCAGCCACGTAGAAATCACACGATCGGCTCTTTGACAATATGACCTCGTAACGTGCGATGTTCAGTCATCGTCCAAGTTGCCGATAACGACTTTCTCGTTCCTCAAATCCACCACCTCCTTCACCCTTGCCTTTTCTTCTCCCCGACCAATCCTCTCCGCTCTCGCCTCCTCTTCTGCATCCAATTGGAACTTTCTCATTCGCGAACCTATCCTTTCGTCGATGACCATGTCGCTGACCCAGATGGGCTCGTAGGATGCATCATCGTCATCCTTGCGAAGCTTGCGCACGGACTTGTGCCACGTGGCTTCCTCTTGGATGAGGAGAGATTGCTGTTCCCAGATCGTCTGGTTCTGCGGTGGCAGTGATATCGAAGAGAAAGATGCATCGGATTCAGGTGATTTAGTAGCGACGGGGGTTGCGTCCAAATCTGACTGGTCCGTGGAGAATGTGTTCGACGAAATGTTTTGTTCGTACGGTCTGCTTGCGGCAAGCACAATGGCTGCTGTCTCTCGACCTATTTGGTCCGCTAGATAGCGCCGGGTGAGAAAGTGGTATATCCGCTGGGGTGTCTTGAGGAAGCCTAAGAGGTGTTGTTGATAGATCGGCTGAGACGGTTCGAATATGCTTGGAGTATTAGGCGACAAATTAGCGGACGGATATTTATCGATGGAGAGGTACGCTGGTGGTGGATATGGCTTTTTCTTTTCCTCCTCTTTCTTTTCTCCCTCACTTGGCTTCTTTTCGGTGTCGGATTTCGATGTTTCAGTGTTTTCTGTGGCCGTCGGAGAATCATCTGTGCGAACTTCGTTGGGAACATGTGCAGATAAGGGTTCAGCTTCGAAGATGGACGCAGGTTCAACTGGCGTTGGCGGTTCATTGACTGGCCCTAGCCAGCCCTCATGCAGCCCTCGTATGTACTCCTTCCAAGTGTGTCTTCCAAGGACGAGATCCCCTCGAACTCCAGGTTCCGGCACAATCTGCATCTTATCCCGGATCATATCTATCGCTGCTTCGGTATCCATTTCTGGCTCTGCTGCATTGGGTTCCTGTTCACCCTTTTTCCGCCGTAGTCTTCGTATTTGTTCTGCAGTTCCATATCGGACGTCGCCTTCCTTCCGACCTTCGATTACATCGTAGTCGATTGCCGCGGCGACCAGCACGGGCTTGACGTAGTCTTTGAAATACTGTCTCGAGGGTCTTATGCCATCACCGGGAGGAGCAGATAAAAAGACAGTCAACTTCCGCGGCATCTGGTTTGCCGGAAGAGGCTCCTGGGCGATGTGAGCGACCAAGTCGCACCATTTCTTTTGAGCTTTCTTCTTTTCCCTCCGGTCGTAAACAACGGCGGCAGTCCAGGATCCAACGATAGTTAGGAAGATCATCCAATTGCGCGAAGGCAATCTCAATCGGAGGTTGGGCATTCCTGTTGTATGTCAGGCAAGACTGCTAGATATTGGCTGCTGAAGGGACTGACCCATCATGCGCAGGGCGGGATTTTGTTTGGGAGGTTTCGGAGCCTCATATTTGGCACCCTCAGGTAAGCCATCTGGCTTTGGAGGGCTTGCGTTGTCGGCCATGGTCTTGATGGCACTCCAGCCACGAAACGTGAGGAAAGCAAGATTGTGCAAGTGCGCAGAGAGGCCATGCGCATGCACGCTCGGCTCAGAAGAAAAAGTTGACTTATCGGATATGCTGATCCGGCCAGGGACTCTGAATGGACTCGGTATACCTTCCTATGAGACTTTCATAGTAGGAGTATCTCTCGCTTCATTCCAGTGACCCCATGGCCCCCTAGAGGCACCAGAGGGAGCCTAACGCAACGTACGACCACACCAGACTGGAGCCCTTTACCGCTCATCCAAAACACCGGGAGTCACAGCGCCCACACCTCTTTAGCTATGATCACAAAGAAACATCTCTTCCTTCCTGACTTCGTACAGACTCGTAAAAATATCCACTTCTTCAGGATGGAGCTGGCGAGACTTCCACCCGAGACATTGGTGACCTTGATATCTTTCACTTGTCCGTCCACCCTGGATCATTTGGTTTGGTGACTGTGCTTGTGCGCAATCTGATGGCAGGGTCACCATTCCAACCGAGAGGCTGTCAAAGATAGAAGCCAAAGTTACAAGCGAGGGTGTGTGTCCACGCGAACAGCCATATGGCATCCTGGCAATGGTCTCTTGTCCTACCTCTAGGTGGGATTGTCAGCCCAGGGTAGGAGGGTGAGAACCAATCACATGTTTGTGCCTGGGCGATGAAGTCAGTCCTGTTGTGCAATTGGGACCCAGGCGTGACGGGTAACCCCAGTCGATGCTTTAAGACTCTCAAGAGTCTCTTTAAGCTTGCCTCTAGTGCAGCGGCAGCCTCCAGTGGGCACTGGCCCCTAATTCTTAGCCCGTAGACTGTTTCCCACCTTGCAGTAACCGATCTCCATGCTGCACCGCACCCTTTTTTCCGCACCCATTTCACATACACCTCCTTCCCTTTCATACATTCGTCACTTTGCTCTTGTCCTTCCCTCCGATAGAGTGCAGTGCAGGTCCTGCATCTTCGCTTATCTTGCCCTCAATTACATGATCACCTGAACAAGAATCTAAAATTGTCAAAGTCACCGCAATTTGAGTTCAAAGAAAGACTACACTACACCGACTGCGCTTTATCTAGGGGGTTTGCCTACACCTGGGTGTAAGGGGATTCTCGTCTACTCACTGGTGACTGTTCAAGCATCCGCGCCTCAAAGGAATACATACAACGAGATCGAGATCGGACAGAGCTGCTACCTCGCGGATCTCCCTTGGATCCCCTTGCACTCACCCCTTGATTTGTTGCAAGAATGGACCACGACAACAACCGTCTTCGACTGAACTTTCAGTTCGACAACCAACATAATTACGATGCTGCCAATGCTCGGATGTATCCTACCACTCCATCCACTTTTCCTCAGCCGATCTATGGCACTCAACAACAGGAATATGGGAGTGGTCTTGTGTCTCCAAACCCCAACGCGAATGCTGGCTATTTCTTGAATCAACAGTACCCATCTCAGTCACACCAGGCTCAATACCAGCAGCAATATCAGTACCAGCCCCAAGGTGGTCTTCAATCTCCCCAACCAGCCTACCAAACCAACTCGCGGCCCTACATGGCGAACAACAATGATGCAACAAGCGGTCTCATTCAACAATTTTCCAACCAAGACTTGGGGGCGACACCACGTGTCAATACTAACCGCACTCCATCACCTGCCATGTCGCGTCCACGGACAGCTGGCGAAACTAGACAAGTCCAGAATCCCTACCAAAGTCATCTGGCGCCACCGATGCCGAGACCCTCACCAAAGCCTGAAGAGGAGGAACAACCGAACCCACGCAGATACTCGGACAATGTCCTGAAGCGAGGTACGGCCGCTAAGCAACTGGTCAACAGTTTCTTCCAAGAGAATATTGAGCGAGCCAGGGATAGGAATAGTCGTGCCAAGGAGTTGGAGGCCCTGCTCAAGAACCCAGCCGTCAGCGAGATTGAGAAACAGAAGGAAATGAACACACTCGCGCAGAAGGAGGCACGCTTCCTACGCTTTATTCGGACACGAGAAGTGCCCTCGAACTTTACCACCATCAAGGTCATTGGCAAAGGAGCCTTCGGAGAGGTCAAATTGGTGCAACGCAAGACTGATGGGAAGATCTATGCTTTGAAGTCTCTGATAAAGTCGGAAATGTTCAAAAAGGATCAGCTGGCTCACGTCCGGGCAGAGCGAGATATTCTGGCGGATTCCAAAGACAATCCATGGCTGGTCAAGCTGCATGCCTCATTCCAGGACAACACGTACTTGTACATGTTGATGGAATTCTTGCCGGGTGGTGATCTGATGACTATGCTGATCAAATACGAAATCTTCTCGGAAGACATCACACGGTTTTACATGGCCGAGATTGTCATGGCTATTGAAGCTGTGCATAAGCTTGGTTTTCTCCATCGGTAAGAGCAGCCAAACCCAACTCTACTGGATCAAGCTAACCGTTGTTCAGTGACATCAAGCCTGACAATATCCTACTAGATAGAGGCGGTCATATCAAGTTGACTGACTTTGGTCTCTCTACCGGTGGTCGCAAACAGCACGAGAACTCGTACTACCAGGCACTTCTCAAGGCAGGCGCCAACGACAAGTCCGGCAACCGAAATTCGATGGCTCTAAATGAGCAGATCAACTTGACGGTCAGCAACCGGGGTCTGGTGAATACCTGGCGGAAGTCTCGTCGTCACATGGCTTACTCGACAGTGGGAACTCCGGATTACATTGCTCCTGAAATTTTCCTTGGTCAAGGTTACACTTATCTGTGCGACTGGTGGTCCGTGGGAGCTATTATGTTTGAATGCTTGGTTGGTTGGCCACCCTTCTGCGCCGAAGACACACACGACACCTATCGCAAGATCGTCAATTGGCGTGAATCACTATATTTCCCAGATGAACTGGTCTTGGGTCGAGATGCCGAAGACATGATTAGAAGGTATGTTAGATGACAAGGGCCTATTTTCCGATACTGACATGAACAGTTTCCTTTGCGATGCCAATGATCGGTTGGGCAAAGAAGGGGGTGCACACGACGGCGCGTCGTCCATCAAGAGACATCCTTTCTTCCGAGGTGTGGTGTGGGATCAATTGCGAAAAATCCGGGCACCATTCGAACCGAAGCTGTCATCAAACATCGACGTCAGCTACTTCCCTATCGACGAGATTCCTCAGGAGGACAACAGCGCCATGCATCGTGCGCATGCCAAGCAGATCTCGCCAGAACAAGACGCCGAAATGAGCCTACCCTTTATTGGATACACCTATAAAGCGTTTACTGCATTCCAGAACTCATAGAGGAAACGCCGCGGCTTGAAAAGGAGAACGAGCAGGAAGAGGATGAGACAAGTATGACAATAGCACATCTCTAGCATGAATGTCGACGATAGAATGCATGTGGCGCCAACATGTCCGGGGGTCAAAAGCATTCAAGATATAGGTATCAAGGCGAAGATGCTGGTCATTGGGGAGGGAATATCCTGGCTGGGAGATGGGAGCAAGACGAGCATTTTCATGGCTATGAACCACATTTACCAGCCCATGCAGGGTTGCATTGGTCTACAGAAGATGGTGCTCTCAAAGCACTCTCCTTTTTTCATGTCACAGTTGCTAGCATGTGTTAGCTACAATCTAATTGATTGAGAGAAATATGTGTCCTTTTTCGGTTTGTTTGCGCCGGTCTAGGCTTTGCTGCCAATGACAGGTGATATATAACACCAGCTACGGTACATACAGCATGCCCTGGCACCCTGGCACGCCTGGATATTGTAGACCTCCCGAGTGCTCGGTACTGGAACCCAATCTCTGTAACGGACGAATGACGTCATGGAATATGGCCCCGAATCCAGCCACGCCAGCAACCCCAGGACATCGTGTTATTTATGTCAGTCCAGGTCCGTTGTCACTTTTGGCGGTGAGCAAGCACGAGGCGACTCAATATCGGCCCGATTCTTGACCTTAACTGTACCTCCTTTCTCGGAGATGGATGTAAGTGGTATTAATTGTGGTTTACCCACCACATATTGCTGGCTGACCTAGGTATATTTGACCAGGTGTTTTATGCTTACACGTACGGCACGGCGGTATGGCTTGGAATGCAAGCTGTACCGTTGGTTGTCATGCCTAAGCTAATCATCATGATGCTGGCGGAAGATGGACATCAGACCTCAGGTGAGATGGTGCTTTCTGAGCCGTTGACACCCACGGCTGGCATCTGCAATCCCTCACGGAAACGAGCAATTCTGACGACCCTCGGACACGAACACAGATGTCGAAATATATCTCAGTCGATCTCTCGGCTTTGCGCTGGTGTTAATTGCGCTAATAACCATGTTCTTCACGGGAACAATTCCACTATCATCGAGCATAAGTGAACCGGTTAGTCTGGAGGACAACGATCCCAAGGCCCCCTACGCTCGGCCGATTCTACAAATCACCACCATCTTCCACAGCCTGAGCACGACGTACTGCTACATGCGGTATGTCAACTACGAACAAACCGCGTATGTGCTCGGGGCTCTAGGGTACGGAATAATGGCTAGCGTGGGAATATGGAGTGTGATATTTGGGAGCACGGAGGCCAGGCGATCCAAGAGGACAGGCGCAGATAAGAGAACGTCGGGGTTTCCTTTCAAGAACTCACAAGCTTATGACAAAAGAAAGGACAGGAAGATGGGGTGAGAGTTGACATGCAGCGAAGGGGTATTGTTGCAATAGTTTGCTCCTTCGTCCTTGGAGTAAGCACTGAAGGTCAAAATCACTATGCCTGTAACAAGACCCAATAAATATCAGTGGTAGGGTCATCCGTTGAGTAGTGTGATCCTAACCGTACCGACATTATTACCTTATGAAGTAGTGGAAGACTCAATATGTATATCCCACCAGGTCCCGCCTAAGGTTGCGGTGACACGAGATGGGGGAGTGACAAGCTGACTAAGTCACTTTAAAATGACACGGCGTCGTGATGGCGAGGTTGAAATGACCTGACTCGGCAGCCGGCTCCCAATTTTCCTCAGCCCTCAGCCCTCAGCCCTTCTTACCACGCCGCTTTATCATCTATCTGCGCACCCTCCTCACGTCTATCAATCCCTCTTCAGCAATGGAGCCCGACACACTCCAAACCTTTGCTGCGGCTGTCCAACAACAATTCCCTGCTTTCAGCAACGAGCATGACGGCGCCTCGCAAGATGCCGCCGCCGCAGCTGGGTATGCCCCTGCTGATTCCCTCAACGGCAACCCTCACAACCAATCCTATCCCATAATCCTGCCACCACTGCCACCAGCGGCGAACAGTTCTCCAAACGTCCAGACTAGGAAACAAAGTAACACTTTGAGAAACACAAACAGTCCTAGCGCGAATGCGGCCATGCGCAGTCCTCAGCAGACGCGCTCCGGCATGTCGGTCCAGACTCGAGCTGCCCAGAACACAACCTCGAGCACCCCATCTCGCGCCGGTAGTAACGCTTCGAGCGTGACTCCCCAGGCCCAAGCCACACAGATGAGCCAACAGTCTGATAACTTGGAAGGGCAGCCAGACCCTGCGCAATCCCAGAAGCAGAATGACTTTGTCTTCAGGAACTCTTCGTCTGCATTTCCGAACGGCACTCCCACGCCTACTCGATCCTTGTCGAAGCAGTCACAAGTCTACACTACGCCGCATGGCGTCGTTCAGGCTGATCCCTGGGTGTCTCATTACCAAACTACACCCTCGACCAACGACCTCAGTGGTGCCCTCAATATCAACAACGGCAACAATGACAATGCAGAAACCGACCCTGCTGTTGCGGCAAATCCCTTCAGCGACTCTTTCCCCTTGGTGCCCGATCCACCAAACCTTGAGGAATGGCGCAACAAACTCTTCAACATCACCGAGACCTTGGTGTTATCCGAAGAAGAGTTCCTCACTTACTTTCCCCATGTCGATAACGTCTACTCGCACCGCTCCACTCAGAAATACAAACGCAAGGCATTTGTCAGTCACTACTGGGACTGCCGACTGAAGGGTCGTCCAAGCGGTACCCCGAAGAGTGATGATCCCAACAAGAAAAAGCGCAAGCGCCAGGCTCGGGAGCGAGATCTTTGCGATGTCAAAATCAAAATCACAGAGTACTTTAGCGCTGAGGAGGCAAGGAAGATGGGTATGACAACTGGGAGTGACATGAATGGCATCGACACTGGCGTCAATGCTAACGGCACGATGGCGAATGAAATCAACACCTTCGGAGGCGTCGACAACAGTGAATTGACGATCGTCCTCGAAGATGGCAGTCAAGGTCTCAGTGGTGTTGGTCATCTCGGCGGCGTTGGCAGTGCTCCTCACAGCTCTACCAACCCCATCGACCCAAATTTCGGATTGCTTGAACTACCCCGTCCTCTACCTCAAGGGCACCCAGGAGCTGACGGAAAACGATGGTTCACGATCCAACGTGTCCGAGGCAACCCGGGTGGCGGAGCCGTCAAAGACTCTAACAGACGTGACAGTAATGTCAATGGCGATGTCGAAGACGAAATCGACCAGTCGGTGCTGGACCCCAATTTGAACGCCGACCTGGACCACAAGCATACCCTCGAAGAAAGTGACCGGATCAAGAAGAATAGCGTTCAAAGATGGATGTTGAAGGAGGAAAAGGAGAAGAAACGATTGAGTGTAAGTGTGTCTTCCACCACCCTGTAACATTCCAGCCTTTCCAGTGCTCCTGGCACCGTGGAGTGCCGGTGATAAACCACAATACTCTACTGGGATTCATATAGATCATTTTTCACTCCTCTACCTTTCCTTCACCCGACTAATCATAACCTTGCTAGAAACTCCCAACATCAGGTCCCTCTAATCCATCGATAACAAACAACGAGTCCTCATCTCCTTCATTTCGAGCTTCAGGAATGGCTTTCTTCACAGCCCGATCCCATGCCGCGCCTGTCCCCACAAAGATAACCTTCTTCGCCAACTCGTTCTGCCCCTTCGCTCAGCGCATCTGGATTGCCCTGGAGATAAAGGGTGTTCCATATCAAATGGTCGAGATAATGCCGACACCTGTCGACAGTTACAGACCACCAGAGATGTTGGAGGTGAACCCGGAAGGAAATATCCCGTGCATCAGGCATGGGAACTGGGGCGTCTGGGAAAGCGGTGTCGTTTTGGAGTATCTCGAGGATTTGGCTATGGGACATTCCCTGCTGCCACTCGGTAACCCGCAACTGCGAGCACACTGTCGCCTGTGGACGGACCATATCAATCGCAAGATCCTTCCGAGTTTTTACAGCTTGCTCCTTACCCCGCCACCATCGCCAAGTGGCGAACAACCAATGGGTTTAGACGGCATGCAGGTCGACGGAGACGCACACGCCCAAGCCACCAACGCAGCGTCGGCGGCGCAACATAGCATGCTCGTAGCCACACTACAGAAGAACATCACTTCGCTGGTCAACGCCAGCCATGCCACGGGGCCGTTCTTCCTGGGCAACGAAATCGGATTTGTCGATGTGGTTTTTGCTCCCTGGATTATTCGACTTTCCCGCGTCTTGAGCTACTACCGCAACTTTCCTCGACCGGAAGTTGGCACGCGCTGGAGGCAATGGGTCGATGCGATCGAAGCGGACGATCGAGTTAGGCGGACCGTGAGTGACGAGAATTCATACCACGGTGTATACAGAGGTGTGGGCGAAGACGGATGGTGCGCGAAGGATGTGCATAAGCCGATTGTGGAGATCCAGTATGCGAGGAAAGTCGTTGCGCAAGAGGGGTTTGGCTTAGGAGGGGATGTCTGGGGACGTTTATCGGAAGAAGAGGCCGTCCATAATCCCGACGGCGTTGGTCAGACACTATCATAAATGCTTGATATAAAGCGCTTAGGGAGACTTGCGGCGGATGGGTGGCGGAGGGGTTTGTGACAACAGACAGACATTGACAGGTCAACGAGTGGTGTACCCAGCTACATGGCCTTTGGTGACACTGTGGTATCGAACACTTCTCTCTGTATAAAGGCTGGAGGTCTTGCAGTTAATATCCATTGCATGAGCTATGATCTAATGGTCACTCCAGTGCTATCCAGTATTGTATCTATCATTACAAACATATAAGGGGAGTTGATGTAAAGGACCGACTTGATATGAAGATATGTAGATATGTTCTACGCAGGGAGGGGGGGCAAATACCACAGTGCAGTGTGACACTGGGACGCATATTCCTTCATTCCTCTATTCACTCGGTATATGTAGGTCCTTGGACACCTCCCTGTGCTCAATGCCTACATACATACCCAGAGACCTGCTACCTACCTACCTACCTACCTAACAGCAGTACCCGTAACCGTGATTAACATGGTAGGTAGGTACTCGATCCATATGCTGTAGGTACGTATGTAGGTAGGTACCACGTACAGGGGTCTGGGTATATAACATGCCAGTGCTAAAAGTCAGGATACATGTAGCCAAGGAGACGAGTACTGTACTCGGTAGATGGAAGACCACTCCCCGCACGCGAGGGTGTAGCGGAACATGCACGAATCAGGCACAGGCTTCGGCAAAGACTTTGGGAAGGAGAAAAAGGGAGAGAATGTGGTCTGTTTGAAGCAATTCGTAATGACATTTCTATTCGTTATATCCCTCCCCTTTTCTAAGGCTCCGGGGAAGAATGTGTACAACATGTGTGGTACAATGTTTTTTCGGAGTGTGTGAGGCGTGCAACAAGACCCGTGTGATGGGATGTGATGTGATGGGGTCTATGTTTTTGCTTTTTTAAGAACAACTCCCGCTGCTAAAAAATTCCTCGGACGTGCTGTGCTGGCTGGGACTTGGGACGTCCGTATTCCTCTCCTGTTCTGACTCGGCCTCGCCCCGTGAGCGGAGAGGGATGGTCGCTCAAGAGGTCGTCCGCGTCGCATCATAGTCAGAGCTGGGAGCAGTGACGTCCCTTCTTGCTAAAGATTGGTAACCTGGCGCTGTCGTGGCCGTCTCGGCTTGCCCAGCTATGTTTGCTGGCACCCTGATGGCAAAACCAAATCCGCCCCGGCCACTGCCATCGGGCCCTCTCGGTGCCCGGATCGGTTCCTGGACGTGCTGCAGAGCAGGTAATCCGGTAGAGTTGTGGAGCGATCCCACCCCGTTCTCCCACTCTCGTCGCTGCTGAGGATATGTCGAGTCAGGCCTCGAAGCGTATGAAGGATCATATAATTCTCGATGTTGGGACCCTCCTCTTGATTGGTTTCGAGAGTTCATGTTGTGGTTACCCGCCACGCCTCCCACTCCTCCCGCTCCGCGGCGCCCTCCTCTGCCGCCCCGACTGCGATTTGGTGTCGCAGATCTTGAGCCGGGCGGGGTCGAGCTCCCTGGACTGGAGGTTCCCGACTTGTTATAGCCTCCTTGTTGGTGAGAGGATAGTGTGGTACTGGCACTCGAGGTCCCGAACAGTTCTTGTCTGCGTTCCTCGTATTTGCGCTGCTTCTCCTCGCGGTCCCTGGCGGCGCGGGCTTGTCGTTCGGCGAGGGTCAGTTCGCGGGCCTTGACCTCCTCTTCGTCCTCGGAGGACTCACGTCCAGCAGAGTCATTCTTGAAGCTATTCAGGCTTAGGTCGTGGAGACCGGCAGTGGGCGGTCGAGGAGATTGCGATTGAATTATGGGCCCTTTTCTCGAGAGGAGGATCGGCGGTGGTTTGAACTCGGATCGTAGGGGGACGATATTGCGCGACTCCAAAAAGTAGTTGGTTTCTCTAGGCCCTTCACTGTGATGCAGGCCACAACACCCGAGAGTCAGAACAAGAGACAAAAGAGGTGGGAAGAGGTTGTTTCAATATGCAGCGCGTACGCTTCGGCCCACAGCTGCCGGTTGAACTCGGCCTGTTGAGCCCTTCGCTGGGCTTTTGTCACTTTCGACGAGACTCTTTTGGCCTCCGTTTCCGCGGGGGGAGTTGGCAGTTTCTGGCGACCAATGCTTTAGCAATCGAGGGAATGACGCTCAACGAGAAGATCAGCACGTACATCGGCGGTGGAGGACCACTCGTCCTCCCAGGCATCGGGAGCCTTGCTCATCGCAGGCGCTATAACAGTTCGGTGGGAAGCGGAGTGAAAAGAGAAGGACGGTGGGAAGAGCGGATGTTGAACATGTGCCGTTACTGTCTAATGACTTTGCCGAATCGGTGGTTCTATATCTCATACACAAGACTCTACTCGAATTATGTCCTTGAGCTTGAGTAGGTGGGGGGAGAGATCAAGAGATTTAGTTAAGGTACATGTACAGTAGTTGGAAGAAAGGTGGGACACTTTTCCTCGGTGCATCTGAATAGTGCCGGGAACAGGCGCACATGGTGTGGAGAAGAACAAGGACACTAAGGACAGGGGTAAAGACAACCATCTCACAAGACGCTGCACTCTAGACCTCGTATACTCTTTGCCTTTCTCTTTGTATAATTTTTGCTTCGTTCACTCCCCGTCTCCGGGAGAGTCCATATTAGATTAGTTAGTAGCTGCTCTGCTACCCTCTGCGTATATCCAAGCGCTATCATTGCCTGTTTCCAATCCCATTCCCATCAAGTAAACACCTAGCCGTGGCTGTGTAAGGTTGATTCCTTTGAATGGTCGCACAGGTGAACTCGGCTTCATATCAGTGCTTTCACGTGTAGTTCGTCAGGCCAAGTACAGCCTCTGTAAAACCATCTCGCATCCAGTTCCCAGCCTCAGGCTCGGTCAGGAGTCACGCGACGCAGCTTCTCGGTACGAAGCATCCACAAATCTACTGTGAAACGACCTCCCCCTCGAGAAAGTAGACGCCGCGTCGCTTCGTTTCCTCTTCTCCTTGCCCTGCGCGATCTTTTCCCACTCTTCCCATTCTCTGGCGATCTCACCGAGGACCGTGGCCATGGCTGATGCGCTCGCCATGAGGCCATGTCCCTCACCGTCCAGGATTCGTAATTCACATCGCTTCATCACGCCGTGCAGCCAACGTACATTGTCTAGCGGAACCCGCGTATCCTTGGCCCCATGATGGATTACAACTGACCTTGTCACCTCAGGATATCGAAACCCTATAGGTCTCCGTCGCTCCAGACAGACCAGCAGATCAATGGCGGGATTCGCATTCTGCGTGGCCAGCGTCCAGATGCGATGTGTAAGAGTCTGGTTATAAAGTGCTTGCCGTGCTTCGGGGCTCAAGCGTGGAGACATCGGTCGAATAGCCGCGGCAGAGGTTTTTGTGGACGAAAACGTCTGCCGGCCGGAATCGAGCTTTGGGCTGGACAAAGGGGGTCCCGGTATCCCCAACGTTTCATTATTGGCCTGATAGCATGACAGAGCCCGTGCCCGGTTGGCTGTGCCTGTTCGGGGTCGCTCGGGCTCAAAGTCAGGAAGGGTGGCTCCAAATGAACTGTCGTCGTTTAAATCTTGGAATGGATAAGCGAGCGCTGCGTCTAGATTCTCGAGTTGCTGCTTGGTCTTCTTGGACTTTAGTGGCTTCGTATCCACAGAAGCACTTGTGGCAGTCAAAAACCTTGAGTTTGCAACTTTGAGAATTTGTGCTGGCAGAACGCTCAGAATTTTGTGACTAAAGGGCAGATTGGCAATCGGCTGCGAGTCGGGGCCGATTGCTGCCCCTTTGGGCATCTGTGAAGGCGGAATCCATGGGGCTAGGAGATGGATACGCCCTCGCACATATTGTGGCATCTTCAAGGCTGTCGCAAGAGCGTAAATTGCGCCTGCAGAATGCGCTAGAAGCGAGAACCTCGTGATCTCCAGAGAACTGCATATGACGGCCACATCGTCAACCCAATTCAGAGGAGTACACTGAGCTTCTGGCAACGGTGAGCTTGCGCCCACGCCAGGCCGATCGGGTGTGATCAGTCTCAGGCGCAAAGTCCTAGCAAGCTCGTCATAGAATGCGGTGAGGTAGCGAGTCAATCCCATACCGACACAACACAAGACCACAAATCCGTTCGGATCTCCCACTTCTGAAAAGGCGATTGTCCGACCGGTGCGTGGATGTCGAATCTTTTGGGTAAAACGGGGCGCACCAAGAAAAGTATCAACTTCTTCAGTTATTGACTTCATCTCCATAAGAGCCGGTTCTTGTTTGTTCGTGTGGGTAATGGAACTCCGCTTGCCCTGAGCCATGGAGCCACGGTAGACACTATTGCGCCGGGACGGCGCTGCACTTGAAGGACTAGACATAACGCCGCCCACAGCAGGTGGCGGGAGGGGTGGTTCATCCTTAGGAAGTTGTGGAGCAAAGGCAGGCATGTCGGCCAGATCAGATGCGGTGACCGTTGCGGATAGGTCGAGTGGACTCTCCACTTCGGGTGACTCTACCACCACCTCAGTAACAGAGAGTCTCGAAGTCTGGTAAGGGCTTGAGCGTTGTGTCGACAATTTAGGCGTCGCAATGGTATGTCTCTTCGCAGCTCGCTCCGATTTCCGTGCCTCATTTCGCCATTCCTTTTGGCGCTTTTCCCGAGCTTCTTGCAGTTCACGAATACGTCTGACAGTCGAGTTGTCGCCTTCAATGAGTTCGGAATCGATGTTGAGCTCTTTCAGATCTCGAGTAGAGAAAGAGTGTCTGTTCTGTTGGTCTGGGGAGACATCCGAAACGCCGGTGACGCTGCGCCTTAGGGATGACCGACGAGAAGGGATCATATGGCTTCCCAAATCACCCCTGCTCAATCTCAGAGCAGTGATTGTAGGACTCTCAGCAGGCGCAGGTTCAAGTTGTACTCCCACACTTGAACGCCCATCAATGGATGATGCGCGGGTCGGCCACTTGTTCTCCCTTTCGTGGTCGATGCTATAAAGGGATTCGGTCTTCCGGCGTCTATCTGACGAAACTCGCCGCGGAGGAATAGGCTTTGAGGCAGCCATCTCGCGCATTGACTCGAACGTTGGTTTCCGATGAGGGACGCTCAAACCACTGACAAACGAGAAGGTTGAGCTGGCGCTGGAACGGTTTCGTCTCTCAATGCTGGGTACTCCAACGCTATCAGACTCAGCACGCGACTTAAGACTCTGTATAGATTCTCTCGTGGCTAGACCGCTCTGAGAGGTCATATTCAGGGAGTGGACGAATGATCTGCTCGACCTTTTGGACAATAGCGGTGGCCTTCTAGCGTACTTAACCACCGGCGGCGCGGCGGCCTCTGCCTCACTACTATCATCAGTGGGAGGAGGGTCGTGCTGTTCCCTGTCCAAGTCGTCCGCATTTGGTGGTTCTGAGGAACTGGAACGTCGGTGCAGATCTCCTGAGATATGTATGCCGGCGTTCGCGCCAAGTTCTTGCCTCGAATACGACGAGGCGGATATTTTGCTCAGAGAATCAATGAGCGAGGATATGACTTGTACTGATTCCGGGGGGGTTTCAGGCCGGTAGGACAACGGTGGTGTTTGCGCGGAATCGAAGGGGGAGGAATTGATGTCGGGTCGAGGGGCCAAGCTGCGGTCGTAAGGAGGCTCGACAGACGTAGTACCGTTGTCATAGTCCATGCCTTACATTGCAGGTGGACGAGGTAGAAAGGCCAACGCAGATACTGTTTTGAGATGAGGGTGCAGTTGCGCATGCACAAGTCGAGGGACAGCCCAGGAGGCGGACAGGGGGAAAGACTTCTTACTACAGCCAATCAAGACGGGTACGTGGAACAGGCGAAATTTGGGATGGGGTTTTGGCAGAAAAGCCACGTTGGTGAACTCGACATCATATTTCAAGACGTGTTGAGGCCATATCTAGCGCTGCATCGCAGTCTCACTGACCACACGAGGTACCGAGCAGAGTGATGGGGATTGGAGCAAGAAGCTGCAGACGTGGCAAGTGATTGAGCTGCACTGCGAGAGAGCGTTGAGCCATGCGCTGGGGGGCGGCGGGGGGACGCGTTTAGGGGATTTGGGAGTGGATTCGCAGTTTATGCCTCGTACATAGAGGACGGGAGACCCAGTTCGGAAAATTAAGCTGCTGTCTGACCGTCAAAAAGGTGGATTTTCACTAGACGAAGCAAGGCGCCCGTCAATTCCAGAGCATCCTTTGTAGTCGGTACTCAAATGCACTCTGCAGAGTCAGAAATCGCCAGCTCTAAAGGCAGACCACTATTCCCATATCGAACGACGCTCGCCGTTGCCTTCACAGAGGATATTCCTTAGTGGTGAGCAGGGAGGGTTCAGCGTCAGACCAGGCGATTTTGCTTTGCTCATGGCTAGCTCGGGAGCTGCGAGACGAACCAGGACGCATGGAGATCATCCGTCCATCAACCAGTGGGCAGCATGAAACACGAGTCAAGATTCAACCATGATTGATCAGCATCAGATTGAGCTTGTCCCACTAGCGGCAGTGTGCAGAGCTCCGCGAGAAAGTCCCCTGGCCATTATTATCTCGTACTTGAAAAGCGTCCCTGGCTGTTGGTAGAGTTGCAACTTGCGTTTGCCAGGCTAGGAGACATTTTCCGCGAAAACCCATTCGAGTTGGCGGCTGTCTAGCGCATCAAGTCCTGTCGACTTCTGTAACTAGTGCTACCTTCATTTCGCGGTTGATGGGAAGTGCGGACACTTCATACCGCCACGAGAGACATTCATACTACTAGAGACATTCTACGGGCCACAGCGATGCTATCTCATCTGTGTAACCTGGGTGTGGCGGTGGGCGCAGTTGTTCATGGTTTTAGTGGACTCGATTGTGTGGAATTGACCGTTATATCTAGAATATGGACCAAAGCCGACTGATATATACAAGACATCATGTTCTAATGTGACGCACAGGGTGATGTCGAGCCACTTCCATGATAGCCCTCTAGTGACTTGACTCCAGGAAATAGCGCAGCTTGTACCGCCGCTTCCGTCATCTCCATGTTCTTGACACCCTGAAGCAAAAAGGTCTATCTCTAGAACCACCCAATGAAAGACGTCGATGTATCGTGGTATCTCCCAAAATTCTAAGACGCTTCTTCGGATCCTATCGGCATGTTTCTGCCGCAGATCCTCAAAACAAAAAGCAATATTCTTTTCCGAACGCCGCGCTCAAGGACGATGTATTCTTTTGACTTTTCCATAAACGCCAGTGTACCCCATTGAGAACCAAGAGCAAAGTTGAACGCGCTAGACCAGTCTATGCCACTCATTCAAGTCGTGAATCGTGATGGCGTGAAAGTCCTGCCATCGGTGGCGATCCGAGCAGAGAGGGTAACTGAGAGACAAGACTTGTCACGGTATCGTATCACACAGTGACTGGCAAGCCCGCTCGTAATCTCTCTCTTTCTTCACCAAAGACTTTGCGTGACATTTCCAATACCATTTCGAAGCCCTCCCGACCGCGAGCGGCGTTTTCTCGAAACCGCTCAATACTCGCTTCTTCGATTTTGGAACGAATTTTTTGCCATCCACCGCATAATGCCACAATCTTGGCTTGTTGGTGGAATTCTGTCTTGTGTTTTGTGTCATCGGATGAAGGCTGGTAGACCACGGTCTCCCGACACTCCAGAAGATTCGACCAGGTCATGTTTGTGCTGCACATTGTGACCTTTTTCGAGGCCGGGTCCACGTAAGAGACCTCGTAGACATAGCTCGTGGTTTCTCCTCCAATGATACTCAGAATCCATTTCGGCGCGTTTTGTTGGCATGTGATAAGACGTTCGGTGCGAAGGATGCCTGTCTGAGGATCGATGTGGCGAGAGATCGTGTCGACTGCCAAAACATGGGAGGCTTTATCGTTCCAAGGGCAGTATTTGCGCCAGTTGTTTGTGCTCACCTCCTCCCAAGAATAGTCAAAGGTATAGGAAGACGAGAAGATCTTCATGTTGCTAAACTTGGGCGAGCCGTCGGCGGAGTAATCGAAACTGGCCGCAGGGCGATAGATTTGGGGGATATAATTCAAGGGAACGGATGTGGTCTATTTATCGCAGTGTTTTGGTGAGAGGAAGTTGACCAAATGCTGAGATTTACCCTGAGCTCCTGCAAAGCTAGAGTTATAAAAAGGAGTGTGGGAGGAACAACTGTCGACGTGAATATTGCTCGTCGGGGATTCACAGGGGAGGAAAAAGGAAAAAAGTGAAAAATAGCCAACCGATTACCGGAGTTCAATCCTCGGGTGTTATCTTCTTCTAGCGCCCGGGGAGGGTCGGAGAAATCTGGTCACGTGAATTATCTTTTCAACCATTGTGATGAGAAAGCAGGACGTCTGACAAAAAGAGTCTCGGAGTTGGCTTCGTCGAGTCCCGTGTGAAGGCGAGGAAGGTTTGCTGTCAGACAGAACCCATTTTCGCATCATCAATTACCATTCGGAATTCTCATCATTTCTTCATCGTTCTCGAGCCATTTTCGGTCCATCGTGGCCGAGATAAGCGCTCACAGGTTGTGCCATTCGCCCGCGATTCCCCAAATTTGTCCCCTATGACATCGTTCATCCTCACTTAACACCCATTCATCATGTCTGAATACTGGAAATCGACAGTAAGTCCAACGCTCCCTAGCTCACTGCAAGATCTATATGGCGCATTGCTGACTGATCTACAGCCAAAATATTGGTGCAAGCACTGCAGCACCTTTGTCAAAGATACCTCATTTGAGCGCAAACAACATGAGGGCACCGTCAAACATCAAAATAACCTGAAGCGCTTTCTCCGCGACATTCAAAATAGCCATGAGCGAGGCGAGCGGGAAAAGGAGAGGGCCAAGTCAGAAGTCGAGAGACTCAAGGGAGTTGCTGGTGGCGATATAAACAGATCCTCAAGCCCCTCACAACCATCTTCAAAGCAGAACGCTCAATCTGCACCGAAACCTCCTACGGGGCCTCAGTCTACCGCAGATCGGAAGAAACAATGGGCGCAGTTGGCCGAGATGGGGATCAAAGTCCCTGAAGAGTTCCGTTCAGAGATGGCCATGGTTGGGGACTGGCAGGTGGTGTCACAACAAATAGTTGACGAGACACCATCAGAAGCGCCTCTAAGCAAAGGTGTCAAAAAGCGCAAATACGAAGGTCAAGATGAAGATGAGGAGGAGAAGAAAGAAGCTGGCGAGGCTGTCGTGCGACGCGGATGGGGTGCTGCCACCAAGAGATATCCTGGCCACGACGAAGCCGATCTCGAAGATCTCTTGTCGGGTTCGATCTCCGTCAAGAAAGAAAGGACCGGAAGCCCGGTCACGCAAATTAAAAAGGAAGACAAGGACTCTTTGCGACAAGGAAAGAACCTTGTTCTCGACCCAGATGGCCGTCAGGGTGGAAATTGTACCTCAAGCCTGGTGGAATCTTCGCCCCCCAACCGTCTAAAGCAAGATGATCCGGGTTTGAAGGAGGAGCCAAATTCATCACAACCACCCATGTCTATGGACCGAATCCCGGAGGAGGTTCCAATACCTGTGTTCAAGAAACGTAAGGCCAAAGTATCATGAAACGCCATACATAAAATGATGGCTCCCCATGGTATGGTGGAATCTAGGCCGGCAGACGCGAACCGGAGTCCAGATAAGCGAGATCATGATCAAGCCAACCTTTGATTGTCGACTGATTACGTTCGGTTTTGGCCCAAACTCTGATGCAAAAGTTTACACAACCATTGGCCCCTTGCAATTAATTGATCAAGCTGTTGCACGAAATTCCCAAGTGGCGTAACCACGTGGGATTACAGTGGCACAGATGCGACGACACTGGTGATATGACAGCAGTGACAGGATCATCCTCGTCCCCAAGGTGTTGCGCCTCCAGTCCGCCAAGCGAAGGAACAGCAAGTTATGTCCCACAGTTGGACAGCGCAAGGCATTCAGGCGCGCATGATTCGACATTTTCTCATCGGGAGCGAGGGCCAAGCAGGAGAACCACGGTAATTCATGCAATGGCTAGTACAGCATCAGCAAAAACACCAAACACAAATCGCCTACATCCAAAGTTGTCTTTCGGGCATGCCGAGGGGCAAGCATAGGCTCTTCATTTGAATGACCGTTTTGGCCCCCGTGCCCCCAGACGTTGTCCGAGCCCTGCTCTCTAGGCGAGATTTACGTAGACTCTGATGAATCAAACGTCGTTATCGCTGACCGCCTCCATTTCTGGGAGAAAGGTGTCATGCATGACCGACATGTCACCAGCGGCCAATTGCACGTCGGGGACAGCTCGAATTATCCCTCTTGTCATCCTCGTTTATTCCTGATTATGCCGAGGAGTGCTTGATGCACCCTGCCGTGAACGAGGGCACGAGTGGTGCATTACCTATGGTCGTCATCCCCAGGGGCCTAAGGCAAGGGGCTGCTCGATCGCCTCTGCACAACCTGCATGCTGCTTGTGCTGCTCGCCTTTTGGTCCCGCAAGGGGATCTGGCTCGTTCGGAGAATATTGTGCTGCACCGTTGCACGATTTCCGACCCCAGCGCACTTCGGTCCGTCATTCACACGATCTCGACTCTCGACGGTTAGGTCCTTTTGGTGAAAGCCCTCAGTGCCAGCTTGGATCAGTATCTGTCAATTTTGGTCTTCGTGCAGGACGGTCTCGGATAGATAGGCAATTATCAGGAGAGACACCACCTATGACGAGCCAGTCGAGGCTCACAGGGGTCGAGGCTTCTTTTTCAGTGCCGTCTCAGGGTATGATTTCATGCACCTTTTCGTGTTGACAAGACGGCCTCATGTGACACCAAAAGCCACCCTCGAGACGACGGTTGACAAATGGTACCTGGGCGGTACCGGATCCAATGCGGGCCAACCATGCATTGTGGCTGGGCGATCATGATGGCTGGAGGAGCGTTCCTGGGATGCGATGATCAACGAGGAAAGTCCAGAGCTTGGGAGGGGGGAGGCCCTGCCAAAACAAGAGGCAAGGCACATCTCGGAGCGAGGTCAAACTTGTCTCGCTAAGAGGCACCTTGAAAGTCAAAAAAGGCTAAAAGTGCCCTGTGCGCTGGATGCCTGTGGACGAGAGACACTCGGGGTGGAGTTGTCCTCGAATCTGTTTAGGCCGTCGTGTCGTGGACTTTGTCGAGGACGAGTTTCCCTGGGCTACTTTTTCCAACTAGTTTGTCTGGAGATTTTCGAACACTTGTTTCAGTCGATAGCGTGACGGGGGTCATGGTGATCAAACAGCAAGGTTCCAGGGATATCACACGCCAATCCGTGGGCTGTCTGTGAGAGTTTCTTGCTATCTTTTTTGTCCCCCTCATCATTCCCCCCAAGCCCCCCAACCTCTCCAATAGTCCACCGGGGTTTGGTAGCTGCATGGTGACCGGTGGCGTACCGCTTCGAGCGAACCAGGACGGGAACAAGAGGGAGAGAATCAGGAAGCGGAGCACGAAGGGCTCGACGAGGTAGGAAAAGCACCAGTCTCTTTTTTTGCTCTGGAGCCCGCAAGGGCCCTGGACATGGATTGCTTTGGGTGGGTTTGGATGCTGACATGGTCACATTGAGAGACAGCCTCAAAGGAAGGATACGGAGTACCCTGGTCGGTGGTACTATACTCGAGTAGGCAGAGTCCAGGAGGGAGTTGCATGTAAGCGCAAGTGCAGCGAGTCGACTACTGGGCTCGGGTACAGAAGTGGGCGTGAGTGGGCATGACTTTTCCAAAATGGTTGGTGCCTCGACTGATACGACTCCATTTCTCGAAATGCCGCTAGCAGGGTTCTAGAGTCGCTTGGCAACGGTCAAGCAGCAGCGTCGTGACATCCACGGGCATTGGAGGTTGTTCTCTTTTGGGACATTGCATTGCACAGAAGAGAAGGAGATAGTCCGGGAGCGTCAACAATAACATTGGCCTATTGAACCAAAGAACTCGAAGCTGAACAGTGAGTGGGACATTGAAGAAGTCTGCTCTCCACGGTGCGTTATCTATCCTATTTGTTTGGCTCAGCTCCTGCTGCCTTGGTTCCGAGTTTCTGGACAATCCGAGGGCCAGTTTTGCCAGTTTTGCTGCCGCCTCCATTTGGACCATCATCCCTGTTCAATGACTTTAAGCAATCTTCATCCTACACCGTATCCACCACGACCAAGATACGGTGTACAGGTGTGTACGAGTATTTCTCCAGCCTCAACAGCTTCGGGCGCTATTCCTCGCAAAGGGGGATGGGAGGGGCGGAACTAACCCCCGTTGGAATGTTTGGTCTTTTGTCTTTCTCAGCTTGATCAATAATTATTACCGTGTATAGCTGGCAGCCCCGATGCACATTAATGCAACCGACCTGGAGCGGGAAGCGCTAGCAGAGGGCAAAGCCGGGAGCAAAGGGCGCCCCCCCAGATGGGTGCCCCCCCTCCCTTCGGTCCAGGATGAAGCACGGTCTAAAGGTGCTTAGACTCGGGCCTAACGTCGTCTGGCGTCGGGAGATGCCCTAAGCGAGAAGCCTCTTGACCGGGTACCAGGGAGTTTTGCAAACTCTTTGCTCAGCAGTTGGTGGGTTCTAGTGGTGCCTCCTGCCACAGACGAGTCGACCCAGCCAGCGGGCGGCCATTGCCAGTGCCACTGCCACCAGTTGCTGCTCGAGTCGTTTGGATCACCATTTACCACTCACCAACTCCTGGTGACCGTTGATTGACACCTTAACCTGGTTCCGGGCCGTTCGGGGGCACTTTGATGGAGTCGTGGTTTCCTGTCCGTTGTTTCCATCCCATTGTCCACATCCTACGTCTCCCACTAGTGCCTGTACAGGCCCCCAAGTATGGCATTTGGAGCACGGTCGCCTTTGGAGTTATTGCACCTGGCCTCGCCCCCCAGAGAATGCTTGTCGTCTAAGGCGGCTGATCGTGTCGAAGCGATCCCAAGCGAGGTTCGTTCCAATTTCGCCATCGAAATCTGATTCATGCTCACCTGCGCTTCGGCACTTAGGACGTCCGCGACACCTGGAGCAAAAGAGCGAACACTCAAATGGTCAAGGCGTTGAGCCACTGGCGACTGGTGGGCGTTTCACGGGGCCTGAATGGGGTGACCAAGCACTCCAGCAGCGAGACCTTCTTTCCCCCCCCCCCCCTGCCCCGTCAAGCCCTGTCAGTGGAACTCGCATGCCTGTCAACCGCCGCTCCTCCTTCCGTCCAGTGCCATGCCACTTCGCTCCTCCATCCCAAGTCATATGTTATGTTACTATGGTGCAGGCACACCATACCGCAAACTCCATACGTTTTCCTAGTATCTTTACTCTCTTCACCACCTTTTGCTTTGCGCTCGATTCCCCCTTCATTCCTGGATTGTCTGTCTTATTGTCGTTTTTTTGCTCTGCTGCTTTCTCGTTGATGGTTTTGCACCCCGCTTGCTGACTTGCGTTACTTTGCTTGTCCGGTGCAGAGACATACTTCTAAACTTCTCCCCCGTGTGCAAGAAAGACAGAAAAGGTCGGTCGGGAAAAGAGGCAAAAATCTCACGGGACCGTGGCAAAGAGCATCAACGGATTGGGTTCCATCACCAATCAACTGGAAACTTCGCTGATGATCATCCAACCGGTCATTTGAGAAGCAAATCCAAGTTTCCCGCTCTGGAAAAAAAAAGCATACGACATCGAAGCATCTTGCACTTTGTCAACTCTTTTCATCGACGTCGCTTCGCGTCGCGACTTTTGCTGGATTGACCTGCTCTGCTTGGGGGAAATAGCGCAAGGGCGACGAGCCACGGACCTGATGAACTATTCAAATATGACCACGGCGGCTCTGCAAGCTTCGACGGCTCCGATCAGCCTGCCTCCGATCAGCAGCATCGATTTCCACACTCAAGTTGCACACAGGCCGGAACCAGAAGTTGTGCAACCTCTACCACCCCCGCCGCCAGCGCCGCAACGTGTCCTGCCACCGCTGCCGTATCCCTATTCTGTTCGACCAGCCCCAGCCCCAGTGCCGCCGCCACCTGTGCCTCACGAGTACATGCAATCACGGCCAATCTACCCGGGAATACCTTCGCCATACCAGCAAATGCCGGGACGAATGCCTCTTCCCTCGACGACGGATCCGAATCTGATCGTTGCGACTCCTCGACACAAAGCCAAGGAGGTGAAGAGACGGACCAAGACAGGATGTCTGACATGCCGAAAGAGGCGCATCAAGGTGAGTTCTTTGATCTATTTCCGCAATCATCAGTCCTCTTCAGCCCTACCCGCGTCTCTTTACAGTCTTCATTCCAGCCATCAAGCCTTGTCATCCACGTTGTCAACACACATGGGTTCCGCGGATTTTGACAGCGAGCGCATGGCAAGGCCGTGCCAGAGGCAAGGGCCCTTTTGGGGGGGGGGGCATGGCCGGGCGAAGGCAAGTTTACACGGGGGCTCCACCTGGGCTAGCGCCTAAGGCCAAATCCAGGGAGCTCCTGCCCCCCCAAAGGATGCCCGGCCCTTTTTAGGCCTGGGGGGCTTGGTGATCGACCATGCCCATCTCCGCCCGTGTCACAAACCTTCCCTTCTCCATCCCTAACTCAACGGCGCTACACACATATTTTTTCTGTCTTAGCGACTCCATCGCCCAGCGCCTGTCTTCGTCTCGAGATTGCTTTCCCGTTCTCCTGTCCCCTTTGGGTCACGGCAGCACTTTCCCTCGCGTCCGCCTGCGCTCTGCTAGTCCTCTGCAGCCGCGACCGTTGATTTTCCCCTTTCTCTCTACCCCTCGCACGGCGCTAACAGCTTGATGCTATTGACAGTGCGATGAAGGTCGACCAGACTGCAGAAATTGCATGAAGAGCAAGCGCAGTTGTCAAGGCTACGACCCGGTCTTCCAGCCGCAAGGTCCTCATTCTCTGCACCCTGCGCCGTCGGCCCCAAGCAACAACATCAGCAACAATCCTCCACCATCCTCTTCGGTCAACAATCAGGTCCCGAGGTTTACCAACACTTCCATTAGCCCCCCGGGGTCCAATCACCATTCCTCCATTGTCTCCAACTCACCTCGAGATCACTCAGAATACCCGTTCCCACGACCACCAGAACAGGTCTTGCCTCACATTAATCAGCCATATCATATGGACGGAGCGCATCAGCCTGGTCTAGCTCCATATCCACCACCGGGACGAAGTGAGTGGAGTTGAGCCGGTGATTCCTCCTCCATCGGGACTAACCTGAAGACAGTGCAATAATGACCGACGTGGGTTCTCGTCCGACCCCAAGGACCATCGAGTCCATTTGTACAATTGCTGGCACAAAAATTCCTAGTGTACCACCTATTCCACCGGATTCCGTCCCCAACCTCGAATCAATTCGGAAAGTGTACGACATTGCCTTTGCCCCTGGCCTCGACAAGCTCTTGGAGGCTGGCCAGTCGAAATGGTTTGCACGGGAAGGGTTCCCTCTACTCTGCATGGATCGGACTCAATTGGGCAACATGTTGGCATATTTGACTTTGGTTAGTAACCACGCCGATACGCCGACCGAGAATGCGACACTCGCCAGTCAAGAGGCCAGAGTGACCTGGGCCCTGCTAGAGCTATGCATTCGACCGGCGCATGACAGTGGCGAAGAGGCAGACCGACTCGCCCGCCGGTGTCGAGCACTGGGGGCCATCCTGACGGGTGAACAATTCAGCAGCCAAACAGCGACAATGGCTGATTTTGTCCATCAAGAGGAGGCCGAACCCGAACCGAAAACCAGTGCCCTGGAAAAGCAACTGGGTAGGAGATCTGAAGAATTTTGGAACCTGGTCGAAGCGGCGGCTGCAACTCAGAGAGCGGATGGGTCAGGTCTGTCAGCCGCCGCAGTGAGACAATGCCGACCATATCTGGACGGGATGGAGAACAGAGATGTCATCTACAGTGTCATGCTGCTGGCATCTGGGGGCAATGGCGACCTTACTTCAGAACGAGAACTTGCAAAGAGATACCTGGAAGCTCAGGCGAATGGACGAGCCACGAATCAAGTGTTTGCGACTCTTTCTGGCATGGCGTTGAGGGCATTTGAGGGATAATCGGGTTATTTCGTCTTCCTTACCAGGATCACCTTTACGTCCTTTCTTTACGAAATTTTCCTTTGTGACTTTGTGCTATGGCGGGCGGTCAAGATACAGAGAATGTTACACATACCCTTTTGTTCTGTTGGAACCGGAGTAAGCTGCATACTCGGATCTCTACTATTCGTTGGTCCACATGCCTTTGATCATTGTACGTACCGCTGGCTGTGATGCATAAGGGTTGCACTACCTGCTGGGGGTAACAAGAGCTCTGGACGGGAGTCAATTTGTGGTGGCATGCCTGGCGAATGAATAGAAATTTCTGCAAGGGGATGGTGGACACTGTCCCAAACACAAGGCGAGGGAACGAGTGTCGAATGACACTTGGCGGCGCAGAATGAAATATCACCAACATCTAGCGGTGTTGTCCTCTATTCACCAGTCATGATTGCTTTCGGCATTCTTGATCGCGTGAGTGAGAATTCCTTTGTACAGCTGCTCCGAACTCACGAGACGCTCGAAACTCGTTTTGCGTGGTGATGATATCAATAGCTCATCACATGCAAATTACGGTTTTCGATACGAGCACCCTACACATGAAGCTAAAGCCGCCCAATGTCACAATACTCCGTAGAGGGTTTGACGAGCAGCGGGCTCCAGCATAAGCGAGCATGCAGGGATCACCGTCGCGGGCCGTGGTAGCGAGTTCTAGGCTCGGTAGCGAGGGGCGCGAGGTTTTCTCCCTCCCTCCCTCCCTCTAAAAACCTCGTACGAGTAGCTGACTAGCTTTGTGGAGGAGGAAGGTAGAAGGTTTTTTTTTTTCTTTGTGGTCCCCTTGCGGAGACCCTTTTGTTGGACCCGTTCATAATTTCTGTAACGAACGGATTAATTAGCACGGGGAATTAAGGGTTGTTGTGGAGCGTGTGAGGCGGCGAAACATTGGAAGAGCGACAGAGCGAGAGAGAGGGGGGACAGAGAAAATAAGAAGACGATGATGGGGTCGAGGGTTGAGGGTCGGACTACGACGCCCCCAAGAAAAGATGCATGTGTATGTCTGTATGTATCTATGTACATGGGTTGTGGTCCAGACTTGTGCCTGAGGCATCCACCATGATGCCCACAAGGCCCCGAGGCGTGGTTTGAAGGGAAAGTATCGACGACGACAAGGAGGGGCAGACAGATGGGGTTGGAAGGAGGAGGAGAAGGAGGGGGAGAAGCCCACAAAGCTACCCAGGTACGATATTTGTAAAGAGACAGACCGTCTATACGAGGTACCTAGGTTGAGTATACATTGACAGTATACCGGGATGTACCTCCCTCGCACGAGTACGAGTACATAGGTCATTGGCAACATAACTCCCGTGCGAAGACATAAGGGGCCGAGGGCGCAGTCAACGACAAGCAAAACAAACCTTCGACGAAGAAGATACTTCCCGTCCTTGTCACATACACACATACACCCCTAACACTCCTACCGAGTCACTGCCTACATGTAGTAACTAACAAGGCAATGCTAAGGTACTAGGTAGGAAGGTAATATGAGGTCCATTTGTATTCGTGTGCTACCTCCATTCCATGCCTACTAGGTACATGTACCTCCACCTGCAATTGCATAGGGTACAAAGTACGTGCATGAACTGCCCAGTGCGCCCCCTTGGCCCCTCTTCTTTCTCTCCGGCTCTTCCCTTCCCTTTTCCCACCTTTTTTTAGCCTTTACTTGTACAGGTCGATCAAGGCGTCTGGACTCTGACGATGGGGGCGGAGAGGCTGGAGTGGACTGAGCTAGACCGTTCGCGAGCTGAAGAACCGTGAGAACTAGGGAGGAGAGAGTTTGTCGAGTTTCATCCAACTGGGACTGAGCTAGACTATCTGAGTCGGGCCGATGTATTCGATCGTGTACCTACGGGTTCTTGAGGTCCATTGCTGGAGCTTTGGGAGGAAGGAAACGAAGGAAGAGGGGCAGCGGAAGGGAGGGAGGGAGGAAGGCGAGGGAGGGGAATACGTATTAAGCTTTTCAAGTCCGAACGGAACAAGAGCTTTTTTCGGCGCAGATCTACGCAGCCTCCCACTACTACCTACATAAATGTTTCGACCGCTTTGATATACCAAAACTAACTTTTGTGTGCACCTACGCCACCGACGGAGTACAACGACCACCACCCATGCCTACCTGCCTACCTACCTACTACTTACATACCTAGAGTCCTCGGTGCCACAGTACTCGCTGCATATATGCCAAACCTCGTACCGAACAAACCTACCCGTACCGTACTTATATTTGTAGCGAGGAGACCCTGCATGCATGCATGCATCGCCTCATATCACAACACATCATCCGCTGAGCGACGACCCATTTCGTGCTCGCCCAGAAAGAGGGGCGCGTAGGCGGCCAGGGCTGTTTTGCAGCTCGGCGACCGTACGCGACGAGGGCGAGGACGAGGACGAGGACGAACGAGTAGGCATGGCATGGAGATCAGCTGGCTAGCTAGGCAAGCTAGCCGTGCGAGGTTCTTCTTTGGGTCAGGAAACGGAAATGGAGAATGGAAAATACGAGGGAAGGATGTCGTATGGGGATCCCTCGTTGGCATCCCTGTGACAGATATCAATCCACTTTGTTGGAAACGAGGGGCATTGTGTGAGACGAGGGTGGGGAGGAGAGGGGTGCGATCGAGTCTGCTTCAGCGCCTTGACTGAATACTACTACCCTACGGGGTCCTCCGTACGAGGACAGACCTCCCTGATCTGGAGTACATACTATTTGGTACCTGCGTGCCTAAAGTGTTGCCGCAGATCCTGGAGGAACATGCTATGCTAGGTAAGTAGTAAGTAGTAGATGGATCAGGTCCCTGAAGATATACCTCGTTACCGAGTACGTACTTGAACACACATTGGAAAGGACACCATACCATCGCTCCAGGGCGCAAGAGACCATCGCGCACATACTGTACTTGCTGGGTATCTAGTCCGCCAGTACAAGGACACTACCAGGGTACTCGAGAGTATCGATGTATCTACTCTCGTCGTATCTATCTGTCGCCGGCAGACACGGCATTCCAGATACTAATTAGTTACACAGCAGTCAGTCCCCGCAGGGTAATGGGAGCATGTGCCTCGGCCACCGAACAAGGGGCCCAATGCCAATGGAAATGGAATATCATACTCCTACGAGACGAGACGAAACGAGTTACTCGTCTCGTTTCGGGGCCGGGGGTCTGAAGTCAGGAGAAGTAATCGATCGATCCTTCGGGCTCTGGAGAAGTAATCCATTCCATCCCCGTTTGCCACTGGGCTTGACAAACAAAGTACGACCAGTCCCCCCTCCCCCTATACGACTCGACTCGACAAAGTAATAGAGCCTTGGTAGTACAAGTAGTGATGATCGACAAAACCTTCACCTTCAATCTTCGAACGTTCGATCTCGACCTTGTCCCGCGCAGAAATCATAAACGACGGATAACCGCTTTCACCCTTTACCCGGGCTTGGTCCGCCTTGGTTCGGTCGGTCGGTCGGTCAGTCGTTCGGTCTTGGGGTCAAAGGGCCAGAGGGCAATGGTCAAAGAAATAAGAACTGGACAGAAAATGGGGTGCGCTTGGCAAAAGATGATACTACTACTGCTGTACAAGTAGGTAGACATGAAGGTATTCCTCGGAAGGACGAGGACCAAACAAGTATTGTGCGTATCAAAAATCAGATCACTTATCCCTCCAAAGGTCATGCATGGTATGTCACTGTAGGTACTAGCTAGCTAGCGCATTTTCCAGTATTCCTTTCCAGCCTGAATCGTAATCGATGTTCACCACTTTGGTGATCGACCAGTCTGTACTCGGTAGCGTTTGGTTCGGCCGTGTTCGCCCGCCTCGAATCCTACACTGAGACGGCCACTTCGCCAGATTGAGGAGACATTGCAGCCGGCGGGAGATGTTCGGCCTCTACTGCTCAGACAGCTCAATTGCAAGTAAGGAGGTCCGAGGCCTATGAATCTTCCCGTCCTGCTCTCCACAGTCCATGCTTTTATCGCCTGTGCCAGAGTGGTTGACCACTTCGAGCTGGAGGGCCTTTTGGGATCGTGGACGACTCTCAGCCTCTGGTTCGTTGGGTTCGCATTTCCATGACCAATATGTGCCATGGTTACCTTCAACGTGAGCCATAGTTGTCGCATCGGCAAAGAGCTTCAAGCTCCGTTGCGTTCGGTCGCGTTGTGCACCAGCTTGAAGCTGCTGAGGTCTTAGCCTGGTGATACAGGCGAAATTTAGTCGTGCTCGTGGCTGAAATGCCCCGTGGTGATTTAGATGTCCAGCTGGTTGGCGGTGGTGCTCAATCTTCTCAGATGTAGTTTCAGACAGTGTACCGCTAACTGTCACAGCCAATTGATGGACGCCAGACGGCATGGTGACACAGGGATAGTGGTGGCACCTTGGTGGTACCAAGAGCCTCACAGGAAATGGACGTTCCATGCTCGTTGAATGCGCGATTCGTTTTCGTAATTCATCAAGACATTGCATCCCCAGGTCAATCATTCCCCGTCCTTGTGCTTCTTTTCGACACTGACTATCCTTTTCCCGCCCATCTTTCTGATCTCTTCCTCCAGGGTCCCCTCCATATGCATTCTAGCAATGTCGTCACTGCCACCGAGACTCTGCGCATTGATCATGATGTTCGGCACAGTACGTCGACCAGTCAGTGTAGCCAAGAGGTCTTGTAGTTTGCGGCCTAGTGTAGGCGCTGGCGCATCGTCATCTTCATCGTCGTGGGCCTTGGGAACGGGAGTGGTGATCAGGTCGAGTTCTACCACGTAAGGCGCTGGCGTGATATTGTACGTTTCCAAAAGGAGAGCTTTGGCTCGTTTTGAGTAGGGACAGTAGGACTTGGAGAAGATGATGACTGGTAGGACGACTTGGTTAGTACCTCAACACTCGAAAAGGGAACATGGATTTCGACCTACTTGGACTCTTCTTCAAAATGCTTTGCAGTTCTTGTCGTGCCAGAGTCTCTCCGTCATCCTTTGCCTTTTCGACTTTGTTCCCATTGTATGCGATTTCCTCGCCCTGTCCATCCGCTGCGACGGCCGTGGTCGTGTCGACAGGGTATTTCGGCTTCTCCTTTGGCATGGTCCTCCTTCCACCGATACTGATCTCATCGTCGAAACTGATGGTCGAAGTATATGGGTGATTGCCCTGGACAGGCGACGCGTCAAAGATCCTCTGATCCTCGTCCCGCTGTCTCTGCTCCTTCTGCTTGTCCAGAATCATCTGCAACTCGCGATTCGTTTGTGCAGTCAACTCTCTGTCCGAGAGCGCGCCTCTCAAGACGCCTCGACGGCGCGATAACGAGGCCTCGGTGGTTTTGCGAAAGTCTGTGGTCGTGCCAGAGCCCGAGAAGAAGAGGAAGTAGATCAAGAGAATCCCGAGGGTGAGGCCTACGGCCTGGCTGCGCCGCACGGCCGACATCTTGAGTATGGTCGTCAGAGAGTTAAGCTAATGCTGAGAGGGCGTATGCGCAGGATTATGCAAGGACATGCGACGAATGTAACAGATCTGAGATATCCGCTATATCACCACCTAGTAATGCGCACGATCTGCTGTCATATGCGGCGTCCGTAGATGTCGGTTCTGCCTGTGTTCTTCTTTCGAGATAGACACAGAAATGGCAGTTCAGAGAGGTAGAGACGACCACGAAGCGAGAAAATACACGGTGCGCGACGACGAGAGTTTGATATTAATTTTGTACGTGTGGTAGAGATACGAGTGAGAATATAATATTGGATGAGCCGTTCGGAGAATTGATAGGGAAATGAGGTCAATGCGGGTGCCAGTCGGAGTCGGGGAGGGGGATCTTACTAGACACTTAAAGGGATTAGCCAGGCACGCCCGTTCAGTGCTGCCATGGCCCAGACAAGCCAGAAACAATGCTTCAGAGGCCAGGAGAAGACGCCACCGTTCAATGCTTCTGCAAGCCCTGTCCGCCCTAGCCTGACTAGCACACACTCTAACAAGTGCAATGTGCCAATCTATCATCAGGACTTCCGGAGAGAAAGGAGGGCGCTTGGGTCACTCTACGAGTAGGCGACACTCCTCGGGAAGTGGGAGCGAAAGTCACACGGCACTTGTAGCCCTGACACCTGAATAGGCACACAGGACATGGGCATCGAACAGGGCCTGCCCCGAATATTGGTCCCGAGGGGTTGTTGGGGGCGGGCAATTTCCAGGATCTTTACCCCACAGAACGACCATTTAGGGGGCAGTTTTTCTTCCGGTCACTTGGACATCTGGGCCTTGGAAGGTGCTTGACCACCACCATGGTCAAAGCAATCTGCCGTTAGCGAAAAGTTTGTGAATACTCATTTCCGAGGGTCTTTTCCTCGCACTGTCGAGTTTCCATGACACATCCTTTGATGATATCGGCCGGCTACGAGTACGAATACTCGGTATACTCTGTTCTTCATAGACCGTGAATGGAAACCAAGGAATAATAGGGGTGGGAACATTTGCGGTTTGAACATTGTCGTGGTCGCGTGTCAGTTTGTTGTCGCGTCAGCAAGATCAAACGTCACACAGCCTTGTCACGTCCTCTTTTGGCAACGCGTAACGGTTGTGCATATTACTCGTACATGATACGCAGGTCTGTCTCAGCCAGTTGTTACATCATGCCCATCTGGCAAGGTTCAATCCAAACGCCACGCTTTGATGTGGTATCCAAGAATATCATCATACAGGTCTGGTGACATAAGAAAGGGGTTCACCTCCTCCCATCCATTTCGTCTCATTTCGTCTTCAGTTCTTCATGCCATCAGCCCTCCCAACACCACTTTCTGCACCCCTATCATCTCTCTTTTAGCCGACTCTCGGGAAGCCTGCTCAAATTCCCGGACGATCGCTGACACAATCACTTTTCGGATCCGCCCGTCAACTTTGGCAAAGAGGTCACTGATCATGTTCGTGCATGCCGACGGACCTGTCAGGATCTGCAGTAACCGCTGATAAGTGTCAATCAGCGCGTCACACAAGGTCGCGAACACGGTGAAGAAGTCGGGCGTAAATGGAAGAGGCGGGGTTTGAAGGTGAGTGTACGGTCCTTCATTAGGTAGCAGAGTAGAATTCGGCGCATCGAATGGTGCTGGAGGAGGAAATGCCGACGCACTGGGGAAGTTGACTGCTGCTGGCATGGGAGCCAAAGGGGAAGGATTCACCAGGGTACTCGCCGACGAGGCGAAAGTAGTTCCACTGGCCGTAGTGTCGATTGAGGGTTGTGAACCATGATGCCCACCCTCCGGCACAGTCGAGGGCGGCGACGTAGCCGGAAGCATAGGAAGGCCAATGTCGGTAACGGGGCCACTTGACTTTCGCGGTCTGGACGTCGTCGTCGCCCGTTTGAACATTTGAGGGATTCGTGCCCGACTGAGTGAACTTGCCGAACTGCCATCCGGGGGATGGAGTTGTTGAAAGGATTCGAATTCCGTTAAAAGAGTATTCAAATTCTTCAAGTAATCATGCGCGACCGCAGCGCTGTTCGCAGCATTGGTAGCGGCTGTCGGCTGAGGAGGATGAAAGTCTAGGATTGTGGGTAGTGACATTCCTAGCAGCATAAAATTGACTGCTCTCCGCGAAAGTCGGTGGGGTGTATAAGACGGCAGCCTTGCAATATCATTCTCATGAAATAGGACTGTGTTGAACCAGAAGGACCGACCTTCATGCGCCCTGCGCAGGTACTCCAGCGTCGCGATCCTCTTGTGTGTCATCTCTTGTATCTGTGCATAGGACGCAAAATTGTTGGCTTGGTTGGCAACAGCCGCAGTCGAGTTGAGGAGAAGTCCATTGAGCGCCAACGCCGAAGGCACGTCCACCTCTCGAGAGGAGTTGTCTTTCCCCTTGACGGTGTGCGCATTTACGGTGTCATCACCGACGCTGACGTTGCTAGAGACTTTGTGTAAGGGCGCGCGGTTGACTCCTGACGGCGTGTAGATCGGAGCAATATTCCCAGTCGGAAGAGGTAGCATATTGTTCTCAGGTGTAGCGTGGCTAGTCACATCACTGTTGGTCCGGGATTTGAGATCGGGTCTGGCGGAAGTCAGGGTGACGGGCGCAGGAGGGGCAGTGGCCGTTCGAGTGTAGGCTGGACGGGGACGAGGACGAGGTGGTGTCGAGCCGGCCGCGGCGAGAGTAGCGTCGAGGGAACTGTTTGATCCTAGAGGTTTGTGTCTGCGCGAAGGAGATCTAGTGATCTTGGAGAGGAAGCCAGCCGCTCCTCCTGCTGATGTTGCTCCTCCAGCAGCTGAATTGGTCGAACTGACGGAGCCATCGCGCGAGGATTGAGACCGAGGCTGACTCTGGCTCTGGGTACTAGGCTCAGTCATACTATTCCTCCTTGGTGTTTCTTTCTTCGTGCCACCTGATCAGGCGATCGAGATTGCCGAATCAGAGCGGTGGCCCAGGACAATAGTGTGCGCCCGGCGAATTCTGCGACCACGCAGAAAAGGGAGCGGAGATTTTTTTTCTCTCAAAGAAGGGTACCTGCAGATAGTGTGTAAGGGGAGGTTACGAACAGACAGGGGGTCAGAGGCACCAGAGGGGCCAAAGCTGATGAGGTTGTGGGGAGAGGCGTTGAAGGTTGTGCCACTCATGTTGCGCCATCTGTTCAGGGGCCTTTTCTCCATTCACGTCCTCTTCCCACGCAGCCACCGTGCCACGCCCTCTTGTCCACACGCCGATCATGGGTCCAGGAACACTATTCCGAGGGGTTCTATTCTGACAACTGCATGCACAATCCCCCAAGGTCGATTCCTTTGTGGCAAACTGCCCGAATCGAACCCTCCGTTGTTTCCTCGCCGTGCTTGAGTGGTACACCTGGAATATGGATGTAGCGGTGCCTAAGCCTGGTCAATGGCCGGTTGATCCCCAGGAGGACGAGGAAATCCGAAAAGATCGCATCTGGGTTGACGGCTGCTTCGACTTCACTCATCACGGTAGGTCTCCCGCTTGAATCAAAAAGGTAAGCCGGTCTAACCCCTCCAGGTCATGCTGGCGCACTGAGACAGGCCCGTCAGCTAGGCAAAGAGCTCTACATTGGACTACACTCGGATGAGGAAATCTTGGAGAATAAAGGACCGACGGTCATGACATTGGATGAGCGGTGTGTATTTTCCCCTTTGTGTGTTTTGTCGCGGCTCCAAAACTAAGCCTTTAGAAAGAATTGCCGCCTGCGACGCTTGTCGATGGACTACCAAAGTCATTCCCCACGCTCCCTATGTGACAGCCTTGCCGTGGATCTCCCACTATGGGTGCTGGTATGTCGCCCACGGCGATGACATCACCTCTGATGCCGGCGGCGAGGATTGTTACCGTTTCGTCAAGGCCGCTGGCCGCTTCCTTGTCTTCAAAAGAACGCCTGGAATATCCACCACCGACCTGGTTGGCAGGATGTTACTGTGTACTAAGACGCACTTCATCCGGTCCTTAACGGACGAACTACAGGGTAAGAGTGACGGTGTGGTCGATCCAACCAAGGTCGCTGCTGGGGCCGAGATGCTCGAGAGAATCCAAGACTACGCCATGGACGAAACAGCCTCGAAGCCTGGCGCCGAAGTATGGACTTGGGCTAGCACTCAGGTGAAGAAGCTAGGAGAGCAAGAAGCCGACGATGCTGGGACTTTCGAGAAGATTGTTCCTGGAAGGGGCCCGAAACCTGGTCAACGTGTAGTCTATGTGGACGGCGGCTTCGATCTCTTCTCCTCGGGGCAAATCGAGTTCCTCAAGCGAGTCAACCAAGCAGAGAACTTCGAGGCCTACGTGGTCGCTGGTGTTCACAACGATGACGTGATCAACCATTGGAAGGGCCTCAACTATCCCATCATGAATATCTTCGAGCGCGGGCTTTGCGTCTTGCAATGCCGTTTCATTCACGCGGTGGTGTTTGGAGCTCCATTCTCTCCTTCAAAGGCATACCTGGAAGCGATACCTGTGGGAAAGGTTGCTGCAGTATATCACGGTCCGACCACGTTCATGCCTTCGACCTTTGACCCATACGTCGACGCGAAGGAGATGGGCATTTTCCATCAGATCGAAGGTCACCCTTACTCCCATGTCAATGCTGCCGAGATCGTTGGTCGCATCATGAAGGGCAGGGAAGCCTTTGAGGAGCGCCAACGACGCAAGGGCGAAAAAGCTGTCGGAGAAGAAGCTGTCCGACAGCGAGAGATCCTCGAGCAAAAGCAGGCTGCTTTGGAGGCGGAAAGACGGGCTGCGATGGAATGAATCAAAGAGTTGTTCTTGAGTTCTTCATCGTGCGCACTTGAGGGCCCAAGAAGACTATATACATTTGCCCCGTTTGAAAACGCAATAGATTTCTAGACAAAGCTCCGGCAGGGATACCTGCAGGTAATGTTAGCAAGAGATAATATCTTTTCAGAGGAGAATACATACTCGTCTCCATAACTTGTCGGTCCGATCTCATACTTGACGTCTTTCTTGTATCCAAATGCCACCGGCTTTGGGGGCAGCCCATTCTCTCCCAACACCGCCGCGGCCTTTTCTTGCTCGAAATATGTCGCTAATCCTTTCTCCCCTTCCTGCTTCGCGGCCACCAACTGCTTGCTGCCCTCCTCGCCAGCCAACAACTTCGGACTCGGGTTCGCCGCACTTCCCAATGTCAACAGCCCCACCACATCGCCCTGTGTGACCGTGCTTAGTGTTGGATATGCCCTCCTTACATCCCTCTTCCAATACGGATTGTCTGCGATGTCGGCGGCTGGGGTGGTGACAGCGTCGTCGTACGACTTGGGATCGAGACCCCCGGGAGTCGGGTTGCGGAAATGTTTTACGGGGACGCCGTTGCTGCGGTTGGGATCGACGACCAGGAGTTTGCGGAGCGTTTCCCAGATGCCGACGCTTTGCTGGGTATATTTCTGTGTGTGGAAGAGAGTGAGCCAAAATGATTTGGGAGGTAGAAGCAGCTTTGCGGGTTCATGCTGGGGTCGTACCTTTCCAACCGCGACGACATCTTTGATGGGTTTCGCGGCCATTTTGGCCTGTGTTCAGGAAAGACGACCTATCTCCTCCTGACAAGCTAGAGATTCGCACGGCGGTTCACGAGGAATCACGAGGAAACACGAAGGAAGAAAGAGTGGACAGTCTGAAGCCAATCCAAAGGACTTGTGGCGATGGTGGGTTGCTGGAAGGGCTTCCCGTGAACATCGAGCTATCGATCCAGGTGCAAATAATGTCATGGTCTGCCGTAGTGCTTGGCATCACTGGTGTGGATCACAATACCGTGCAATGCAATTGGGGTTCCATATATCCAGGATCATGTGCTGTGGTCGGGAGTTGTCATATGTATATTACATTCCCCATGCCTTTGTCTCGAACGAGGACATGCATGTAGAATAGAAGGCAGAGTAACAGGCTCGATGAGAGAGGTTTACAAAACGACCTGGAGTTGGGCGCTCAATGAAACTTCGCTATGGAGAGAACGAACGGACAAACGCAGAATGCCTTGGGGCTCAAATCCATGCCTGCGTTCCCCCCAAAAAAGACCTAGTGGTGTCTGCCTTACTATCCAGTGTGTGCCGCTAGAGCATGTCATTCACCTGGGGTATCGTCTCGTTGATGGTCACAAAATGCCTGCCCCCAAAGACGCCAACGCTATGCAGTCAAACCCACTCGCCCTGGAAAAGTTCCTAACCGTCAACACCGACATCCTCAAAGACATCGTCGTCATCGTCGTCAATGCCGGACTTGGTGTCCATGTCTGACTCCTCCACCTTTGGCGCAACCTCCACGCCCGTTGGGTTCAGTAAAGTCGTATCTTGCTGCTTGAACTCTTGCTTCAACTCCCACTTGCCATTGAAATCACCGGACTTCCACATAAATGCGATTTCCGAGAGCGTTTCGCGGAGATATGCTTCGGGTTGGTTGACCTTGGCTTTGAGGTCGCGTAGACCCCAGATGCGATGTTGACGAAAGAGATCCAAAAGTTTGTCGATGAGGACATGCTTGTCCACACGCGCCGCACGGGTTTCCTTTTGCGCGTGCTTCCTTGCCTGGGCGCTCTGTAGTTCAAGTTAGTCGCGTCTATGCAGCACGGGCCCAAACACGGGTTCGACATGGTCTGCTTACCTTCAAGACAGCTTGTCTCTCGCTCATCGTCATAAACGATCTGCTGTTCTTCTCTGGGTCGTAGTCGCCAGTGGCAAAGATGGCTTGTTCTCGCTCCGGGATCTTGAGGAGTTCTGCCGCCTGCTTGTTCTCGAGTACAAAGTACTCATCGTTCTTGACCGGTACTGCCTCGAACTCCTTTGCTATCGTGCCCGTGATGGCTGTTTGTTTTGGTATAGGTCGTCGAGCGTAGGGCACGAAGCGCCCTTTGTTTTCCTTTTTCTTTTGCTCGCGCTTGTGTCTCTCGTAGAGGAATGAGCGGCCCTGCCCCGGGTTGCCTTCTTCATCGATATCGTCCCATGCAAAAGTGCGGGGTTTATATCCTGGTAGATCTTTCTCCGAGAAGACCAACGCTTGTCCAGATCTCCGTGATCGTAGTTTTTCAGGCGGCGGGTTGAAGAGGTTGTATTCTTTGGGCTCGTTCTCGAACACTGGCAGCGGGTATAACAGCATGCTGACCTATGAGCCATGTCGTTAGTCATGTTTCGCGTTCACATGTAATTTGCTAAAGACCATGAAAAGGGCAAGCATACTCTTGATGGATTGGACTCTGCGCCTTCTACCCTGATTCTCCCAATTTCGATCTCGTCTTCATCTTGCAGTTTAGAGAGTGTCTCCCATAATGTTCGCGGAATATGACTGAGCCATAGTTGTTGCTGTGCCTGTGAGAAATCGAGGTCACCGGCATCCTCATACATGTCATCATCTTCGTCGACGAAAGGTGAAGGTGTGTCGTCCATGGACTCCATCTTAATGTTTTGGTCAGGCGCGGGTTCTAGCTTGACCCTGGGGATCCCTGCTCCTTGAAGAGTTGCCATCTTGAAAAATAAACCGTGTTGGAAAGAAAGAAAATGGCCAGGATGGAATGGTAAACGAGACCCTTCAGGTCGTAGGTTCGGGAGCGAGGTCTAAGTTCGTACAGACTACGGGGAGACAATGACATCGAGGCTTAAACATTCAGCCAATCACAAGTTGGCATTTCCAGCCTTGTCAAACGGAGCCTTCCTCGCGCGTTTACAGACTCTTCGGCTCTGTGGGCCGAGGTAGGAGCTTAAAGACTCTTGTCCACACAGTTTTGGCTGTGCTTGACCATGTCTTTTCATCTAGTTACATGTTACCTCGGTCGAATCTTACCATGATTAAACGCAGGGCCGTACTCCATTGGTACACCCATTTCCAATGCTGGATCGTCCCTAGCATGCGTTCGCATCCTCTGCGTTGAGACCTTCCTCCATTTTAAGATGTCCCAGCGTCAAGAAAACCCGGGCATCGTGCATATCTGGGAGAGTAAACGGCCCACCTCAAATGCCATTCGAGTTTAAGCGACATCGTTTACCCAGGCTAGCTCGAAGCTTGGATGCTTTGACGTAGACATGTATTGGCTAATGGTGTCGTGTTGAAGACACAAAGGACTACCACCGACTTGATGTGTGTCATTCATCATCTCATGGACGTCCGGACATCAGGAATGGTATGAGGCGTGATGGCGTTTTCGAAGGCTGGAGAGAGTGTCAGCTGCAAGTAGGGCGAGCCAGGATGTGCTACATCTTACAGGAGACATGCTTGTCTTCATTTGTGGTCGCTGAAACCCGGTCGATCTGCTCAAGCGCACTTTCTGCCATGGTGTTCTGGTGAGACCGCTGGCGGCGATGAATTAGTTTCTCAGTCGGTGCGTGCAATAATGTCAACCTGAATCACAACTTAGAACGGCCTGTTACCTCGCTGCATGGCAAGCAGAAGAACGGCAAGGATGAAGTGTTCGAAAGATGAACAAACTTGCGATCGTCTGCTTATGTATACTTTTTCAAGATCAAACTAACATCAACGGTTGCCGCCGGAAGCCATCGCCAATGTGAGAGATAGCAAGGTCAACCGCTCCCTGTTGGGTGGCCGTGAGATGCTCTGATCGCTGCAACATCTTCAGGGGCAGCACCAGCTGCATAGCCGCAACAACATTGATCTCCTGGAAACCCCTTTGGGGATGGTGGCCAGATACAGATGAATGGAAGTCCCCAGTAGGAGTTACATCGCCCAGTGCGTATGCTGTCAGACCGATGAGTTCCGATGCAGTCATTCGCATAGCCGCCCGATATTTGGAAATCTGAAGATTAACGGTGGTTGAGGACTGTTGGGTGTCGTTTGGATCGGCGTTAATGCGGAGCTTCAGAAGTTCGATCAGAGCCTCATACAGCTTGTACCGCGCAGCCAGGAATCGCAGCCAATATAAGAAAACCCAGAAGCTGTAGAAATGGTAGAGAGCGTGGGTCGGGTAGAGAGCCCACATAGTACCGGCTGTCGTGGCACGTACGCTCATCATATCCCAGCCTGGCTCGTCTTTGCTCCAGCCAGCCATGCTTTCATCCAAGGTTTCGCCGTATTTCAAATAAACATCAGCCGTCGTGTTGTTAAGGGCAAGCTGACCAGGGCTTCGACCCAGAAAATGCTTGATTTTCTCCAGAAGTCGAGCAACACGGTGGAAGTATGAAGTGGCCTTGTTTGCGGTTTGAGACGGCACAAACTCATGCTCATCTTGGTAGACGTCGATTTCGAGGTTGTCGAAATCCTTAGAGGTAACCGAGTTCAATATGAAGAGTCGCATTTGCTGGCGATTGTCAGCAGAGTAGAAAATAAGAACGAGCTCCACCTACAATGGCGGCTTTGAAAATTCGGAAGATTTTCTCCCCGCGTGGCGTCGTAAACTGCGACATTCCTCGTAGACGCAACAAGTTCATGGCTCCCCTGACGTGCAATAGATGAGACTGCCACTCTTGCTCCAACGATCGCGATTCGGGGGTGGTCCGACCGTGCATTAGCACAACGCTGACCATCTGGGTATGCTTTAGCATGGTGGACAGCACACGATCCCTCGAACTTACCTCGTAGAGTCCAAGGAGCCAGACGGCAAGGACAGTTTCATCTTGAATGCTCGCAGCTGTGTCACGGATGGTCGCGTTGGTCAAACTTAGCGCATGGCCGTACTCTCGACCAGTCTGTAGCCTGACATCCTTTCCACTGTATCTGTCGGCCAGAGTCATTCGAGATACTGCCATTGCGGCCTTATGGATGCACGAGCGAGGATCAGCATTCTGAAGCATTCCCGGCAAAAAGTCGAGGACGGGGAACGAATAAAGCCGACCTGCTTGGAAGCAGAACAGATTGAGGAAAAAGCATAGCGACTGGTGTTGAATGTCGTAGCGCAAAGGGGGAGAGATGGAGCGTCGAGTCGTTGGTAATTCCCGCAGGGCCAATTCACCTGCATCATCCTCGATCTTGACTTTATCGGGTGCAAATTTGTTGGCAGCAGGAGTCAATGAAGTCAAGAGGTTCTCTCCAGCAATGGCAGGGCGAATCGGGAATATGGAGGGACCGGGTCTCTGATCTCTTGGGCTTGAATCCGAGGGTTCGCCCTTTGGTGGTGTCCGAACTCGCAGATGGACTTGGTATGGATATCCAGGGCACGGCTTGCGCAGCTGGGCGCATTTCCTGCAGCCCGGTCTCCCTTCGTCGCACTTATGCCTGATCAGTCACAACTCACGATATTCGACGTGGAACTTCTTGCCTTGATCTTTCGCTTCTTGCAGCGCGCACAACCTGTACTTGATCTACCAGTATTGCCCATAGCATCCGATAGGCATGAGGGGAGGTAGAAGTGAGAGAAGCCTATGGGGCAGAGTAAAGGCCACGTAAAAAGTGACAGTCGACAGATCGTGTCGAGTCAAGTGTTGGGATGCGTCTCACAGCCGAGCGAATGGTTTATGGAGGAGCATCGATGGATGGCTGTTCCCCGCCAAAACTCATCACTCTTCTTCCTTGAACGTCTCCTGGGAACTGAGAGCGGCCCCAGAACCTTTTGCCCGGCTAACGATGTAACCGAGCGTCCAGTGCTGTTTGGACCGGGACTTGTTCAGCAGCTTTTCTCAGGTCGGCGGTCGGCGGAACAAAAAGACAGGCCACATGAGAGTTCGATGCAGAGTCTCCATGAAGATACGCACGGGAACACGCAGAAACAAAGGTGGTTCAAAGGTCCCTAGCCAAAGGTAAAAGGCATCAATCCCAAACTAGCTGAAGTTCACGGAATCGGGCAACTAGCAGTCAGAGAAGGAGGGGGAATACCTCCTGGCAAACCTGTTTAGCTGACCAAACCTCTTCTGGTCAAACGCGCTGACCGTTGCGGAGGGTTTATCCCGATGCTTGGCAAATGATTAGAGCCTCTCTGACTCCCGTTTCGAATTGACTCCCAGGATCTGAACAGAGATGCCTGAGCAACTAGCAGAGAAAAGGGGAAAGGCTGATGGACTGGCGTGAAACCACAGGTCGCCTAGGGTGTTCCGCTGGAGCGAGTCAGCCTCGCGCAGGAGTCATGGAGCAAGTCTACACCACCCAAGAGTCACTCAACACCAGCAATGGTGGTATACTATGGCCTAGGGAGTTCGTGTTCTGATAGAGCGCGGGAAAGTTCCTGGTAGAACCAAAAGGCCCCCAGTCTGCCTCTGGTTCCAAGAATAGCTGAAGGCGTCCATTGATGTGGTATGCGAGGAGACAACCGTCGTCTCTTAGAGTTGCTTGTTTTCCATCTTGACGTGCCTCAGCCTCAACCGGACAAGTTCCGTCGGGACATTCTGATTGGTCCTCGCTCAACATTCCTTATCCAGTCGCCGTTAACCTCGCCTACACCTTCTGCGGGCGCCCTGCAAACACCACTGCCTGCGCCTCCCCGTCATTCAGCTTGATTTCGTTTTTGAGCAATGCGTGGTCTGAAACTAGGCTGATCTTGTGGGCATGCGCCGTTTCTGCTACGAGGAATAAGTCCGCGGAGAGAGGCATGGCCTCCAGGTTGGTGTTGGTCATTGGCGACCTCTTCATCCCAGATCGAGCGCCGGTAAGCATTCGTCCTGTATGGTCTTTTCACCGCGCAACAAGCTCACATTGACTCGTAGGAAATTCCGCAAAAGGTTGACCCTCCTCCAATCCAAGCTCTAGACTATACCATGCAATTCTAACTCTCCGTGGCGCAGTTCCGCAAACTCCTTGCTCCGGGAAAGATTGGACAGGTTGTGTGTTTAGGCAACATCACAGACAAAGAGACGTACGATTTTCTACGGCAGACTGCCCCAGATCTGCACATCGTGAAAGGCGACTTCGACACGGAAGCGTCCAATTTAGCTCTGTCGAAAGTGGTACAACATGGAGGACTTCGCATTGGGTTCACGCACGGTCATACGATCATTCCGCAGGGAGATGCGGATGCGTTGCTGATAGCCGCTCGCCAAATGGACGTTGACATCTTGCTGTGGGGTGGTACGCACAAGTTCGAGGCATACGAGCTTGAGGGGAAATTCTTCGTCAATCCTGGCAGCGCCACGGGCGCATTCAGTACAAGTTGGTTGTCCATTGATGAAGACCCAGTCCCCAGTTTCTGCCTCATGGATGTACGTGGAGCAATGACAAACTCCCTTGCGGTTCCTCACTGACCCCGGCTTAGATCCAAGGAGATGTCCTCGTATTGTATGTCTATCAACTGCGAAAGGATGAGAGTGGAAATGAAAATGTGGCTGTGGAGAAGGTTTCTTTCAGAAAGCCAGCCCCGGTCGAGGCATGAGCGCCATCACGCACCCTATCGAATGTAGCAACCGCCTCAATTGACGGGTAGACTGCGACAATACTGAATACAGCGACGGCATAAAGGCCTAGGTCCCGACCATGTTCAATGCGGGAGCAGCGGAAACCTCTGAAGTTTCCAGGTGCCGAATATCTCAAGGGGCCCGACTAGTTTCAAGCCACGAAACTGCAATATCCAGAGACAGGCCCATGGCTTTCATTGATAGAAGAGAGAACTCTTTCGAAAGCTGCATAGAAGACGGTGGAGGATTTGAGAGTTATAGCGACAGAGAGAACCGCCGATTTAGTGGATATAAATTCTTGACACTGACAGACATTCCATTCCGGTGTATGCTGTTTCAATTTTGTTCAGCCATAATAGCATCAACAATTCTCCCCCCCTCCCCCCCTCCCACCAGTCTTGTCTGTTGAGAAAATCAAGTTTGCAGAGATATTGCAACTTCGACCGTCTTGATCCACCTGATCCGTGCTTCGGGGAGATTCTCTGCCTCGTACGTTGGCCTCTTTCGTTTCTTCCTCCTTCGCCGGTTGTGGTTGGGCAAGGAGTTATCCATAGCTGTATCTTTCGCACTTTGTTCTGCCGCCGACATTCCCATTTGTGCCTCAGCCAGTGTTGACTGGCTCTTATTCTCGCCGGAACTCGTTGTAGCCACGTCAACACCACCCAATAACTCCAGGGTCGTATCGCCGCATTGCAGTGTTGAAGGCTTGGCCGCTTCTTCGAGCGTACCCTCATCGACATGTTCATTTTTCTCGTTCTGTCCTGGATCGTCATGCTCGGCATGCTCGTCTTCCTCCCCTTCCACCAAGTCGTCAAGCTGCACAATATCGTCCACCGTGCTGACATTTCCCGTCCTGACCTCAACCCGACACAGCATGTCCTTCTCCTTGTTCCGGAACCACTCGCCCACCCGCAGCGCCTGGCCCATTGCCCGCCCGCTCGCCTTGACGAGCACCTCCTCCTTGTCGCGGGCGAGTGCCTCATTCGCCTTCTCGGCCGCCTTTGCCGGGTGTCCTCCCCCTTTTCCGTGTCCATGTTTCCTCGCCGCGAACCCGCCCCCAGCGTCCTCAAGTGCCCGCCGCTCAATGTGCACCAGGTACTTCTTGACCCGCTTGATCGCCGCGACCACGGGCGTGCGCGCCGACACGTAGACCACCTTCGGCGTCTTGGTCCCCGAGGAGCGCAGGTCCGCGACGGGCGCGTGGTTCAGGGGGCGTCGTTGGATGGTGGCGTTCGCGGGCAGGCGCGACAGCTTTTGATTCCGCTTTTCGTGTTGGAGAGCCTTGAGTTCGTTCGCTAGGGAAAAAGGTAGAGGTGGTGCGGTCGCTGCTGCCGCCGCAGCTGCTGTTGAGGAGGACATTTTGTTGTGTTGTGGGTAGTGCAGGAGACTTTTGGATGGGTACACAGAGGGTGTGAGAGCGAGAGGTAAAGAAGAGACCAAAGCGGTCCTTGAGGACCGATCAACAATGCAAAATGCAGGAATGGCTAAACAGCTTGGTCACATTGTAGTGTTAGCATCATCGATATGCGGACTCATCTCACTCTGTCTCGACAGGAGGAGCAAACCATGTACCTCGTGCCGAGTAAATACTAACGATTATTTGCGTTCAAGCGATGAAATTCATGTCCTGGTTGCATGCATGGATGCATTTTGACAAATATGGTCTAGTGCAGAATGCTCGCTATGGGCCCGCCTATTTCTGGGGTGGGGCGTGGAGATCTTTTCTGGTAGATACATGTTAGACATAACCACACCCGCTGCTGACACAGATGCGACATATCTAACAGTATGTGGACAGGCGAGAGACAGAGTATTCTGCCTACTGCCCACTGCCTTCCAAAGCGTCGTGGTCTGATTACATCGAATGGTCACCTCCAAGGCAAGCAAGCATATTCCTTTCCGAGGACTACTGCTTCAAACACAGTCATATTCCATACATTACAAGAAAACTAATACTCTGCAAGTCGTTCCCAAGTTTCAAAAGACACAAATTGTACAATAATACAAGCACCGAAGAAAACGGGTCTCGAGCCTTGCCTCCGCGAATCCCCGCCTCCTCTTCTTCACGTAAGCCTTGGAGATGCGCTCTTGGTGGTCTGGCGATCTATCTACCATCTTGGGCAGAAGAACATCTTCCCGCGCAAGATTCGGCGTCTCGTCGTTCAGGGGCAACCTTGCGTTCCAGATCATTTCCGCAGTAGAGTATGTCTCTTGTTGTGGCTCGTCATCCGCAAATCCACCGTAGAAATTGTTTTATCCCATATGTCCATATTACACGGTACCTGCGCCAGGACCGGAAGCCGTTGACCATTTCAGGACCAGGTTTGTATATCGTTAGGATCGAGGGTTCGGTGTATTTGCAGCGTGAAGCCTTGGCTGATGGTAGCCATTCCGCCATTCCAATAACATGTTAATTTGAGCCGGCACTGGGTTTGTGTTCATGGACATGTTTGTGCGACAACGCATATTCCGGGATTGCTGCTTGTATTTGTCGGTTATGCGACGTCTCACATAAGTTGGTAGACAATGAGCCAGGGCCGGCTCCATGGTTATCATCAGGTTACAGGCGGTCCCAACTGATGAGTGGGTTGTTCCTGGGTTCGGAATGTTGAGTCGCTATATCTGGGTCGTCCTAATGCGTTGTATGTCCCAGCGACTTCTCTGTCAATGCTCGATTCTGACATTGCGGAAGATGCTGCCCATTTTTACCCCTCGTAGGGCGATATTTGTCGACTTGGCTAGGCAAATTTCATCCTGCTCCGACTGTGCTCCTAGCCCCGTCCATGCACGGTTCTGTGTAAGACAGTGGCCAATTATCAGCGCAGTCGTCGAACACAAACCAATCATCCGCTCCAATTAACGGCAAAAACGTCGTGTCCAGTGTTGAAGTCGCGTCCGCCGATGCTTTCGATAACGTCTGTGACATAACTGACGGGGTATCGGTGTGTGTTTGTGAGTCAAAATAAGACTGAGACGTCCCAAGATTGCGGGATACCAGTGTCGACAAACGGTCGTGGTCTCCGATGCCTGTATTTTCTGGGGTCCAATCCTCTAGGAGTGCTTGAATCTCGGCCGCGTTTTGGTATATATTGGTGTCGTCCAAGTTCACAGAATGCTCATCCATTACACCCTCTCGAGGTGCTCTCTTCAGATCTTGGACTCGGATGCCCAATTCCTGTAGCATGTTGGCCATCGCGGCAGGATCATTGGACAATCCCCCTTCAACTATCTTTGTGATGGCGCGGAGAAGGCAATCTCTCTGGGATTCGACAAGCTGGACGTACGCCGCGTTCGGCGGCTTGGGTTCCCTTTTCGATTCTCGGTTTGTTGTGCAAATGACACCGTCTCGTTTGCATTTGTCACATATCTTCCCGGCACTCCATTGGCAACGTGCCTTTTTCAGACGACATCGGTCACAGGCCTTTGGTGTTCGCTTGGGATAGTAGCCGGATGTCTCTTCTGCCTCGGGAGACAAACGCTGGCGCTTTCTCTGTGGCGGGGATGCCGAAGGGTCGTCCGAGTTTGGACTAGCAGGTTGGTTTGAACTCTTTCTCTCAGGAACGATGAAGAACATGGCTGGAGGTTTTGATGATGTCTAAGCTCTAGTCTCGGGGGTGGGCAGTCAAGTTTGAGTACTGGGAGACTCATCAGTCCGTTCTGCGTTCCGGTAAGTCTCGGTGAGATATATCTCGCTCCAGAGCAACAGACCATGGACCGTGGCAACCGTGGTCCCCTTCCGGACAACGTTGGCTGATGTTCGGAAGTCGGTTGAAGCCCGACTCACCGATTAGCGTAGCGTGACTTACCATTCGGTTCCTGGAGGAAAATGACGTCGCCTGGACCAATCACTGCCCCTCCGGAAAAATAAAATCCCGCGGCTCAGCAACTTCAGGCATCGTGGCTGCTCCATCACCGTCCGGCCCAGGAATAGGGACAAGGTACCTCGTACAGAGAGACAGCAATCTATTCTTGAAAAAGTTCAATTCCCATTGGGACGTGGGATCAAGCTTCAACGGCCGTTAAGATGACATCAGTTATAGGGTCCTTTCAAACGATCTGACACATTCAGCCAGCTTTCCTTTCATGCGGTTCTCAGTCCAACTTACTGCCCCTCCGCGGCTCTCCAGCTGCCAAACCCTGCAGTCGGTATCTCTTATCCGAACGAGCACAGTAGAGGTCCATTCTATGCTCCATCATCTTCGATTGGTTCTCGGTGATAGGTACAATTTCCAATGACTTACATTTCCGATTACAATTATTCGATCACACGATCTCATACGTCCTCCCAATGCCACATGTTGCGTGGGAGAATCGGGCTGCCGCCAAAAGAGCGACTGTGCTGAAAGCAATCCCCTCTGCATGGCTCGTCCCCCTGGATCAAATACCCTTGGGAGACGATAGCTCATCTGTCCTTGACCTGCCAGCGAAGTATCTCTCGCCGGATGAGATCACCTTCACCGAAACCCCCCCAATGGACACTTTAGCCCACATCCACGCTGGCATCTGGAGTTGCGAGGATGTTGTCCGTGCTTACTGTCACAGGGCTGCGCTTTGTCATCAATTTGTGAACTGCCTGACGGAAGTGCTATTCGAAGAGGCCATCAACAGTGCGCGCCAGCTGGACAAGTATCGTCGTGACACAGGCGGTCTGAAGGGCCCACTGCATGGCTTACCAGTCAGTTTCATGGACCGCTTTCGTGTAGCGGGTACAGAGACAGCCGCCGGCTTTATCTCCTGGCTCGGGCCTAAGGAAACGGACGCCACCGAATCTCTGATTGTCCGACATATGCGGGCGCTGGGTGCAATCCCCTTCTGTAAGACGAATGTGCCTCAAAGCATGATGTTAGCAGAAACAGCAAACAACATACACGGCCGTACCATTAACCCTTATTCAAGACTTTTATCCAGCGGTGGCGCTGCAGGAGGTATGCGTAATGAATTTGAACAAACATGGGCCGAGACCTGTACTCTGACTGCTTGTAGGAGAAGGGGCATTATTGGCATTGAAAGGCTCTCCCATCGGCTGGGCCACTGAATTTGCGGGCTCAGCTCGTATCCCCGCTGCATTCAGCAGTCTGTTCAGCCTCAAAGTTTCTTCTGGTCGCCTGCCATCCCTTGGAGTCGCTTCCAGCGAGACGAGTCTCCCTTTGAGAAACTCGACAATTGCCATGTTGTCCTGGAGTTTCAGTTTACTGCATTACATCGCAAGGCTGTCGCTTGGGTCTACTGCGTTTGAAGAAGACCCTGCCTGGATCGACATGCCGTGGAGAGAAGCAAAAGTCAGAGAGTTGACGTTGAGGCGCCCAACTTTTGCCGTACTAGAGTGCGACGGCCATATCCAGCCTCAACCCCCCGTGAGGCGGGCTCTACGATCAATCATCCAGGGCTTGAGGCGAGCCAACTACCAGGTCATTGAATGGCAGCCTCCATCTCATGCGGCTCTGGTTGAGACGTACTTTAAGATAATTGGCGCTGATGGTGCGCAGGCCACCAGGCAACATATCAAATCAAGCGGAGAACCGCCCGTCCCTACTCTGAGGGATTGGTATTTCCACCAACCCACTCAACCATTGTCCCTTTCCGAGTATCTGGCCCTTATGAAATCGCTAGAAATGTATCAAACAGAGTATCAGAGGTATTGGAAATCCACCAGCCAAAGTACTATCACCAAACTCCCAGTGGACGGAGTGATCATGCCCGTCTGTGCGGACGCCGCTTGCTGCAAGAACAAATTGACGTATTACGGTGAGCAACGAGAACATAACAGTATGAAAAACGCTAATTGCAACAACAGGATACAGTGCCATAGTAAACTTACTCGACTTTGCCGCAGTCTCGTTCCCAGCCGGATTCGTCGATAGATATCTAGACCTAAAGCCCGATATCTTTGTCCCCCTCAGTAAAGAGGATGAATCTGTGAATGATTCCTGCAAGTCTCCTTCCATCTGAGGTTCATAGTTGCTGGCTAATTTCTGTGTCAGACGACAGCTTTGCGTTCCACGGAGCTCCTATTGGTCTTCAACTGATGACTCGCAGGACTGAGGAAGAGAAAGCGCTGAAGTTGGTGGAAATTATCCTTCAAACACAGTCACACTCGCCGATGCCTGATTGAGTCGCATGGTGTTCAGAAGCTTATGCCCGAGCGCCTCTTTCAGCCTCGACATCATTTCGAGGGGCTATCACCGGCACGAGGGTAGTCAATCTTATGCCAAGCGGTGGTGAGATTGCCACGAAAGTTGAACTGAGCCTCGTATGATTCTATTTGAGAATTATAGCTCTCGTCGACGGCTTTGACGACGAATTGCTGTCCAACGAGGCGCTTTGGCATCACGAACTCCCACTGTTTCCACGACCATGCTTTGTGGCCTTTCGACTCATCCGGAAGGAGAAGCGCTTGTTGCCAGGTTTTCCCGCCATCGGCGCTGACGTCGACTCGAATAATCTTCTTGCCTCCTCCGCTGTATGCATATCCTTTAAGTTGGACAGCATCTTCATCCAGACCGTGTTTCTGCAATGACCGTCGACCATGGCGAGAGCTCCAGGATATATCCATTACCGACGTAATGGCGCTTTGCACAGGCGTCTCCTGAATAGCGGGTGCAGTCGACCAGTCCACATCCTTTGCAGTCTGATTGGGGCCGAAGCATTTATAATCCCGCCGCTGCCACTGTGAATGACTCTCCTCTTCGGCAAGGACGATCTTCTCAATCCATTTGACACTCCTCGCAGCCGTGTTACCTGGCACTAGTACTCGCAAGGGGTAGCCATGATCTGGTGGCAAGGGCTTGCCATTCATTTCATATGCGAGCATGACATCCCCTCTTGGATCGAGGGCCTTTTCTATGGGGACCGAAGCACCGTATGCCTCGGCGGCGACAAATTGGACGTGCCTAGCTTCCTCCGCATCGCAATCATCGACAGGAAATCCTGCGTCGCGGAGAATGTCCCTCAAGCGAACACCGGTCCACTGAGCGTTTGAAATGGCACCAACGTCCCACTGGAGGCCAATCGCAGGTCTTGCTCCAGCGGTCATGTGTTTCCGGCGGTTTCCAGAACATTGCAGGGTTGCGGTGATGGTGAATGGTTGAAACTTGGTTTTGAGATCGTGGAGGGTGTATTGCGTTTCAGTTCCGTCTAGTAGCTCCACAGTTAAGGTGTGGGTCTTTTCGTTCAACTCTGGAACCCACAAATGGTTGCGCACGTAGAAGGTGTCATTCGGGGTAAGATACGATTCGAGAGAGGGTTTTGGTGTCTCGGCGTTGCAGGGCTTCTGGGTATGTTGGAGCAGCTGGGGATTTCGAACGGGATCATTCACAAAGGGATCTTCAACATGATCTTCGGCGACTTTACCATCGACGAGGTCCCGGGGATCGATCTCGCCAATGAAGTATTCTTCGAGCACATCATACACGTCTTGCTTTTGATGGATGGTGAAAATGTTCCAATACGGATCGATTGAGCAGCCAGCTGCATGCAGAATGACGGGACCACCAGGATGCGCTGCTATCCAATCTGTAATGTCAAACACCCGCGTGCCTTTTATGACCCATTTCCGCTCCGACTCCCGGCCATGTCGTTTGACCTCCTCCAGACGAATCAACCTCTTGGCCTGTGTAGGCGGTGCTTCAGCATATGCTACTGGCGACCATGCAATGACGGAGGCTGCGAGGACGGTACAGCCAACGAACGTCCACGCAGTCAAAGGCACAAGAGACCTGAGTCTGTTCGGATGCGGTACCCGATTGGTTCCGCTGATGGACCTATTTCGATCACGCAATAATAGTCTCGCACCGTCTCTCGGCGTGGCGTAGCCTGACCGGGGCCGCGTCACTAGGGTCGATATTTTTTGAGCGACGTCGTGGAATCGAGGCAACTTGGACATGACGACAGAGCATACGAGACAATGGATGGTATGCAAGGCCACGGAGGCTTCAGGGGTAAGTGAGTGCTGCGGAGTTTCGTCTACTTCCGATTCTGCAGTCCCTCTATGGCAAACATTTCTCGACCGAAAGCGTGGGCACAAGACCGTGGCAAAAGGAAAGCTGGTGCAGTAATGGGTATTTGTTGAGGCGACCGCTGCTTGACATGGATGAGGAGATGAGAGTGATCTTGAAGAGACGGTGTTTGCTGATCGTGGCCCCCCTTTTCCCTTGCACCGACGCGGAAGTGCGGACTGCGGGGCACTGGCGCGCAGCCTCGTACAGCCTTGTCGATCCTCCAATGCATCGCGCAGGAGCCAAGATTCCACTTGCCATCTATCCACCGGCCATAGATCACCGATCTTACTCGGTTGATGATACTCCACTGCTCGGAAAAGAAGGGAAAAGGTACAACTACAGCCACGCAAGTGTTATTGTCAGCGAAAAGGATGATAGAACCAGCTTTCACCGCGAATCGGCAGTCGGTCACGTGCCGGCAAAATACGGGTTCAGCCCTGACCAGTTTCCACTCGAGAGACCGGGAGAGCGGCAGAACTATTCTAGCCAGCCAACGTGTACAATGCTTTTCATTTGTTCACCGGCTTGCTCTTTGGCCAGGGGGACAAACCTCAAATACCATGCTCTTCGCCTATCGTCCATTCACATGTCCAACCACCTGAATACTGCCCATCCTTACTCATCTCTCGTATCTACGTCACCGAGCATTGACACGAACCTTTTGCCGAGTTTGGGCCTCCTCTGTCACTCCCTACGCAGGGCTATTCCGACCTCATATACCTCTCTGGGGCGCCAACAAGTCGACCCTCTCAAGCGTTCACTCCCATAAGTCACAAACATGGACCCCGCTGGTACGTACGCCAACTGCCAGGTCGCGCGGGATGCGTCACAAGAGTTCCCTCACGAGTGCCAGAATGGCGAACACCAGACAGCCAAGGACGAGCTGCTAGAGAAGTTTGCAGAGAAAAACCAGCGTGGGTGGAGGAAAGTGGTGCTCAACTTCACACCATCATGGTTTGCAGCCACCATGGGGACAGGCATTGCGTCTATCCTCCTGCACCAACTCCCTTACAATGGTGACTGGCTGTACTGGCTCTCTGTTATTATCTTCTGCCTCAACATCGGCCTCTTCTGCTTCTTCCTGCTGATCTCCATCCTGCGATACATTATGTTCCCTGGCCTGTTTATGGCCATGATCCGGCACCCGGTCCAGTCCCTCTTTGTCGGCACATTCCCCATGGGTCTCGCGACGATTGTCAATATGGTGGTCTTTGTGTGTGTCGAACACTGGGGAGTATGGGCCACCACTCTGGCCTGGACATTGTGGTGGATCGATGTGGCCATTGCCGTCATCACTTGCATGTGGCTGCCCTTCGTCATCATGCACATCCATCAGAGTGAGCTGTCCAAGATGACGGCGGTCTGGCTCTTGCCGATTGTGGCCACGATTGTCGCGGCCGCGTCGGGTGGCATTGTGGCCGAATACCTCCCCAACCCTCAGCACGCGGTTTGGACGGTGGTGGTATCCTATGTGCTTTGGGGTACGGGCTTTCCGCTCGCCATGGTCGTCCTCGTCATGTATTTCCATCGCCTGACGATTCACCGACTGCCGCCGCGCGAGGTCATTGTCTCGGTGTTTCTGCCGTTGGGTCCTCTGGGGCAGGGCAGCTTCGGGCTCATGCAACTGGGAAAAGTCTGCTCAAAGGTTTTCCCGCAGACGGAGAATTTTGGTCCGGATGCGGGCAAAGTCATCTACAGCTTCTCTATTGTCATCGCCCTTGCGATCTGGGGTTATGGGCTCGTGTGGCTCTTCTTCGCGATAGCCAGCATCACGCGGAGCAGATTCCCTTTCAACATGGGATGGTGGGGGTTCACTTTCCCGCTGGGTGTTTTTGCCGTCTCGACCACGACCCTGGCAAAAGAGATTCCCAGCAAGTTCTTCAAAGTGCTCGGCACCATCTTTTCTGTCGCGGTTGTCTTGCTTTGGTTGATTGTTGCCCTGGGCACCTTGAAGGGGGCAGTCACGGGGACATTGTTCTACGCCCCCTGTGTTGAACAGTACGAGAAGGAGTTGACTAAAGCTGAAAGGAAAAAGGAGAAGAAGTTGAATAATCGACTGCCGCTGAAGCACTGGAGGAAGAAAGACGATGAAACTGAGAAGCAGGAGGTTTGAGAAGTCGTGTACATGTAGGAATTTTGTGGTGGTGGATTGCTGGCGCAGGATTTGGGAGAGGATTACTTACTCTGGGTTTACGATGGTCTAGTGGGATGTGCTACATGTTTGCGATGCGTTGGTGATTCGGATGTGATATGATAGAGTCATGGGTTTCAGGACAAAAGGTATCGACTGGCGTGATGGTAATAGATTGGTGCAGCTATATTTTGACCCTGTTGATGGTGTTACTTACATCCGGTACTCGGTACCTTGGTGGAGTGGAGTGGCCCGAGGCTATGGATGGATAGTTCAAGCATCGAGGGACCAACCCAGTGTTAGAACCAAAAACACAGCTCCAAGCATATGCCTTGTTCCCACAACTCCAGAACTCCAGAACTCCACGACGCGCGGGGTTCAATTCAAATCTTGCCCGCCGTGCTTCGGTAAACTGCCAGCCACATGGCCTGCTCCAACAACGCCCAATCGTCTTAACCGAGCATACATGTACATAATACCGACAGTGCAATCAACGAGCAGATTATAGTCTTTGGTATTGATTATTCAAGAGTGTGGAATTGGAATTTGGAATTGGAAGAGGAAGAGGAAGACCTTGTCCAGACACACCAACCTCTCCTCTCTCAAAACACCCCCCGGCTTTCGCTTCCCCCCACGTACGCCAACCTGGTCTAATCTGATCTCATTCGATCCAATCTATTCTGTCCACGACTATTACCCAGAAACCGCAACGCAAGGGTTCACTTTGTCGCAGGATCGCCGGACTGCTGGGATCTAGAGTCTGGAATTCTGAAGAACCCAAGACAGATATACGCGAAAGAGGAAGAGAGAGAGAGAGAGGGAGAGAATACGACGCAGATAACAAATCCACATACACCTACGCGAGATTAACCGAGGACAGAGGATCTCAGCAACGATGGCACCGGCGCTGCTTCAGTATGTCCAGGACATGGTCTTCCCGCCCATTTTCATGGGCGTGAGTGTTTGCTGTGAGTTCCTGTCCTTGTCTCTGTCCCCTGTCGTTTCTTTTCACATCGCTTCACCTCTCCTCTGGGAAAGTCGTTGTGTCCGGCGGCATATATATCATGGGTCTGGGGAAGATAAACCCACAGCTAGGCCGGGATGCGGGGCGCGAACAGGCGCGATATGAATGACTGTGCTCTGAAAGATCGATTTTCCCATTGACAATTCCTTCTACTCACTATTCTCCCCCCAGATTTCGGCCTGACCCTCCTAAACAACCCGCTCCTCCCGCTCAGCGACTTCCACGCCTTCAAGGAAAAGGCCTTTGCGCGGCTCTGGCTCAAATACGGGCCCATGTACGCCGAGCAGATCCCCGAGGAGCTCCCGCCCCTGCTGGCGCAGTGCCGCGGGGTGGTCCTCGACGTCGGGCCGGGGTCGGGCGAGCAGGTCAAGCGCTTCACGCACCCGGAGAACATCACGGCCATTTACGGTGTCGAGCCGGGCGTCAGCATGCACGCGCAGCTGCGGGAGAAGGCCGCCCAGGCCGGCCTGGCGGGAAAGTACCACGTCCTGGCCGCGACGGCGGACCTCGACGCCATCCTCCCGCAGCTGATCAAGGCCGGGCTGGTGTCGTCCGAGTCGGCCAAGACTTCGCCGGCGGACCTGCAGCTCTTTGACGAGATCGTCTGCGTGCGCGTCCTGTGCGGCGTGCCCGACCAGGCCGCCACCGCCGCCGACCTGTACGCCCTGCTCAAGCCCGGCGGCCGCCTCGTCCTCTGCGAGCACGTCCTCAACACGCACCACTGGCCCGCCCGCCTCGCCCAGCACCTCTACATGCTCATGGGCTGGAAACAGCTGATGGGCGGCTGCTGCTTGACCCGCTCCACCGTCGACACCCTCCTGAAAGTCGCCCAAGCCCGCGACGGCGGCTGGGCCCAGGTCAACCTGTCCTCCGCCGACGAGTATACCCCGGCGACGCACGTCACGGGCGTTTTGATCAAGAAGGGAGGGAAGGAGTAGTGTCTGTACTCGGTAGAATGGGGGGGCGACGAAGGAGGAATCGTATACAGAGTATGTTTGACAGGGGCCGGCGAAAGGGGAATGAACGGAGGGGGAGGGGGGGCCGGCTTTCTCGATATCATCCAGGGGGACTCACAAAGGGGAGAGGGTGGTGGGACAGTTACAGTTTCTACGTAGGTACTAGATATATGAGGTATGAAATGAGGGTACTCGGCAGACTTTATCGTCCTTGTTCTTGGCCCTACCCCTTTTTCTATACCAACTATGACCTGTGTGTGTGTGTGTGTGTGTGTGTGTGTGTGTGTGCCGACTAACGTACTTGTATATACAGAGTACATAAAGTAGAAAGGTTTTCTGTTCCCTTCTTCTGTCGCTTTCTCTCTCTCACACACACATACAGCTCGAGTCCTTTGAAAGAACAATACTCCAGTCCTCCCCAAAACCTTCGCTTTTACTCTTTTTGGAGCTGAACTCCCCCGTCCGTCCGTCTAATAGAACAACGCGCATTTCCCCCCTAGTATTCTATTTACACAAGTAATGCGGTGCAGGGCGAATTCGAGAAAAAAAAGCGCCGATCCCTTCCGTCCTTTCAAGTCGTCAAGCGTCATATATGGTGGATATCGAGTAAGGAACCAAAACCTCCCCTGGAGTATTCACAAATTGGGGGTTTGTCCTTTTTTGGGATCTGAAATCCCCTTCTTTGGTTCACGTGCCCAGCTCAAACTCCGAGGGCGTCTCGAGACCTTTGCCGTCCTCAAACGTCGCCGGCGACAGACTCCGCCGGAGACAGTCGACTTCGGCCTCGAGAGACGCTAGACGGCCCCGCAGGTGGCTGTTTTCCTGCTTGACGAGTTTCTGTTGCTCGAGCGCCGCGGCGAGAGCCGTCTGCAGCTCGGCGACCTTGCCCTGCGTCAGGCAGAAGTTCAATTGTCTTCGTTCACGATGGCGGCGCTGTCTGGTTTTTCTCAGCCTCGTCAGGGTTTTTCTTGTCACAAGGTGGAAATTACGCAGAGAGAGAGAGAGAAGTTCTTCTCGAGAGAAAACTTACGCTTGGCGATTCTGCTCTCTCCGCCGTTCCTTCTTGCGGTCGAGCCTCGTGTCGACTTGTCCCTGGGGGAGCGTGCTGCCATCCAGAGCATTCACGGGAGACGCTAGTTGCGACAAATCCCCAGACAAAACAGATGGGTCTGCGTCGGGTAGAGGATTATGGACCTCTCCGAAAGGTTCTAACCACCAGGTCGAGTCCTGGAGAGAAGGTATATATAGATTACCGACAGAGGGTTGCCAGTTCGTGTCTGCAATGTACTCGGAATCCAACGAAGGTATGCTCGAAATCGACGATTGAGATGCATGCCGGTCGATTAGTGTGGGGTGCGGATTTCCATCTCCAACCGAGAGCTGAGAGAATCCTTCCATCACTTGGGCCGGCGAGAACAAATTGTGTCGAGAGACCTGGTTGTCAGAACGACGTGGTGGATTCATTGGAGTACTTGTTGCTGCTGACCGGCTGTACTGTTCGTGGTGTTGCATCTTCGACAACGGCTTGGTGGCCTCAGACCCAATGTATATCAGATCTCTCGAGCCGGTAACCTGGGCCGGGGAAACTGGCTCGTGTCCAGCGGGTCCCATACGAGCAGACGTGTCGGACAACGTCAATCAAGATCCTATTTCCCGAGTGGATACTCCGCGGTACAACGTTATGGTGACAATCGGGTGACTCCTAATGTATATCTGGGTCAAGCTTTGCGATTTCTTTGCCTGGAGGATCATAAGTTTCGGCTAGATGGGAGCGCTTCGGTGCTGAACAATCCACAGGACTATATAACAGTTCAACAGGGTCTTCCTAGATGGCGCCAAATTGAGAGGAACAGGGGTGTTTGTGCCATTATGGCTCGAGACCCTTCTCCACTTCACAGATAAGCCATCTTGCCATGCTCCCACCAGGTGAGTATGTCTAATACCTCGTTGAAATAAGCTCTAAGAGTAACTCTTGCTTGCTTGGCACACGAGCAGGCTGGATTGGCGACGCTGCCTGCGGCATAACGAATCCATCCCCATACCTTGTATCATGGCCACATCAGGTTCTGGCCAAGGATTCACAGCTGCTGTAGACATTTCGCCGTAGCTGGTCCCACGGAGGCGAAGAGAGAGATGAGGGAATGGGAGAGCAGCTGTCTCTTTTGAGCCACTCTACTATTTCGAGTGATTCTGGGCCACGCAAGCACTTGTCGAGGCCTTGAGTGATTGGTTGGGGCGCGACATCTCTCCTCCTCGAGCCCAAGGAGAGAAAGCAATAGAAAAGGCTGACTTTGAACCCGGCATCGAGAGACGGTGTAGTCGTGGTCAAAGGGAACAAAGAGTGTTACATTTTAGGAGAAACTTGGAGGGCTGCGGTGGGGGATCAACATTCTACCTTAATCATCAGCCATACGTGACATTCTTCTAGATTCCGGATGAGGTAGGAGTTCTTGTTTCGATATAGTGCGGAATAGACAAGGTGGGCTGAGTGAAGAGGGACCCATTGACCGCGTGTGTTCTCGGAATTCCACCGATGGGAAAGGATTTTGGAGATGAGCTTTCGGAGCTTGGGTGGTATTCGTATTCGGTGGATGGTCAGGAGATGGTCGGGCAACTTGATGTCGTTCGGATATCCGCACAATTACGTTGCAAAAGGTTAAAGTCTTGGCCTACTCTAATTCCAATAAAGTGAAACTAAGCCGGGACTAGTAGCAGGTAGTGAGTACTAGAGGGACTAGCGGCCACTAGCAACAAGTGACTTAGTAGCTGCGCCTTCCGGCGCTGACCAAGTTATTGAACAGATACACGCACATGATATGGCCACCATCTCCCTGTAAGTGATAGTTCACTTCTCTAACCAGAGCACGAGGCTGACCATTCAATACCCGGGTGATATAGGTATTGCCGAGTACATTCGGTTCCAAATTCCTACTTGCGCATGGTTGGGCGACGCGTCTCAAAAAGACACTTCAGCTCGATCTAGCACGACTTTGGACGAGTCGGCCTGTTATCCCCTCCAATATTTGAATTACTGGACGTTGTTGTCGAGGCCAAGCGAATGGAGAACCTTCGGCGGTAATGGTCGCTCGTGCAAAATATCAAATAGCATGGCCAGACCCCGCACGGTTGACGCATGATGTCTTACACCTGGTGAATAACTGATTCTTGAACGTGGAAAGTAAAGGAAGAACCGCGCAATGTTTGCCCACCCCTGTTTACTCCGCATTCACCGTTGTCTGGCTCGGAACGATGGTTTTGTTTGGGTCTCACCTCTCGTTAACCTGACGGTATTTGTTCGGTCGTCGTTCCGATTGTCGTTCCGATCGTGACCTGTCAAAGCTTCCTAGGTACATTGCACTCGATATCTAGCGATATGAGGGGTAGACACCAAACAGCAGTGGCAGCAGCAGCGTCGGCATCAATCTATATGGTTTTCTCTCTGCATCGACAGTAGTTCCGAGACTGGGCATGAACTCTCTTCTCGGCAATTTCATTCTTTCCGTTTGGTTCGGCGTTTCCTCGTCGCTCCATTGATACTTTCTATCTTCTCCAACCTCACTCTGCTCGGTGCTCAATAACGCCGAAACAGGGGCCTCAGTCTCGACTCTTTGCTAAGCGGAGGGCACATGATGGGTTAGGTGTATCCTTGCCCTACACGAACACCGAGGCGAGAATACAAGCTGTGCATGATTGGCCTAGGAGTTTGCCCGCGGCTATGTCATCCCGCAGAATGTACGATCAGCCTGCATCAACAGCCTTTCTCAAATACTTCGATTCCAGAAGCAAGAGACAGGAAACATTTGTCAACTCTCGAAGCTCCTTGTTATCGAGGACCACCACTTGCAGAATCATCCTGACCAGGTCTTTGTTGAAAAGAATCAAAGACCACCAACCGCATTATGAAAGATCTCCGGGTTATTGTTGTTGGCGCGGGTATCGGCGGCCTTTCTTTGGCATTGGCTCTCGCAACCGACGGCCACGAAGTCACTGTGCTAGAAGCAGCCAAGGAATTCCTCGAGGTATGGATGCTGACGCTTCATCTTGCTGCTTTGCAGGCTCATGTATTGACTAGGTTGGCGCTGGCATTCGCGTTCCTCCCAACTCATCTCGCCTGAGTCAGAGCTGGGGCGTTGACTTTGACAAAATCAAAAAGGAGAAGGCTGGCGGAATTCGCTTCTTGGACTGGACCGGCAAGGTGATCAAGGATGTTTCATACGATGACGTCCAGGCCAAGTATGGAGCACCATACTATTTCATCCATCGAGCGGACCTGATCAATCTCCTGGTCGACACGGCCTCTCAGCGAAAGAATATTACCTTGAAGATGGATAGCCGAGTCCAAGACTATGACTTTGACGCCCCTGCAGTGACCCTGGCCTCGGGCGAAAGGTTAACCGCAGACCTGGTCATCTGTGCCGATGGTATCAAGTCTGCGGTCAGGAATATTATTAACGGAACGCCTGTCGACCCCCAAGACACGGGCGATGTCGCGTACAGAGTCTTGGTGCCTGCCGAACCACTTCGAAATGACCCAGAAACGCGTCATTTGTTCGACAACGCGTGGGCAATGCATTGGCTGGGCCCCGAGGCACATGCTGTCGGCTATCCATTACGGGGCGGAGAGCTTTACAACATCATCATCGACATCACCCACGCAACGGACGTGGGAAAACCTATCGGCGACGAAGAATGGCGGTCCCAGGCCGACAATAACGAGTTGGTGAAACGCTTCGCGGACTGGTGTGCACCCATGCGCAAGCTCTGCGGACTCACAGGGTCATATCTCAAATGGAAACTGGCCGACTTTGATCACCTCCAAAGATGGGTCCATCCAAGCGGCAAAGTCGCCATTCTCGGCGACGCCTGCCACCCGATGATGCCTTACATGGCACAAGGGGCAGCGCAAGCGACGGAAGATGCTGCCACCTTGCAAGCGGCTCTTCGCGAGTACGACGACCTCCACGAAGCGCTGAAAGCTTACGAAAGGCAAAGGTTGCCGCGGGCCACGCACGTGGCGAAAAACACGCGGATCCTACAATCCTGGTGGCACCTCTACGACGGGCCTGAAAAGGACAGGCGAGACGAGCTGATGCAGCACGACAATTTCGACAATCCCATGTTCTGGGCCAACTCCAAGAGGAAGGACTGGCTGTTTGGGCATGACGCGTCGAAGCTGCAAACGGAAGACGAGCTGAAGCCACCGCCGTTGGCCTCGACGCCTACCAGAAGCGCAAATGTGTACATTGGCGAGATTAAAGACACGGAGCTCCGAAGGAAATTTAGATCCATGCGGGAGGGCAATTAGCCGGGCCAGAAGGCCATTATCCAGGACAAGACTCCATTTTCCCCAGCCTTCTTCCTATCTGTTCCTCTTTGTTTTAAGAAATTTCTCCTATGGCTTGCAACGTCGCCGGTGAGGTGTCTATGAAGCAGCTTGAACCATTTTGCTGAACCCGTCTAGTGAACCTCAAGTTCTGTTTGATGGTGGTACAAACTATCATGAGTCCGCCTCTCGTCTGTCCAGCCAAGAGAGCCATAGGTGATGTTTGTCGTTGTGCTAACCAGTTGGGCTTGTTTGTCGCCGAGTGATGGTCACAGAACGGTGTTACTAACGGGCCTCAGAGCAAAACCCTCGTGTTTCTTGCTTGGTCCACCAAACAAGTCCAACCGTGCCACTTCAAAAGGTAACACCCGCTCCTCCTCCACGACACAATGCTGTCCCCGTCCCACAAGAGCAGAGCTTCCAACGAAGGCAGCAATCACTATCAAATCTGCCTCCTCACAAACCGGGCGCGCAGTCCCCCAAGCCTGACGGCATAAGAATATGGGCAACGCTCTGTCCAAAGCGAAACACGAGCTGAGAGTCCCCGAGAAGCGGGCACGATGGCGGTCAAGCCATCAGCGAGGACGCCGTCGCTCTCAAAGAGAATCTCGTTGCGGAAGTGAACCCCATCCCTCAAGCCGTGGTCGGCACTCCACGACGTCCTCGTCGTCAAAGCCTTATTCGTCAGGGGCAAGGCAAATGTGTCCTCCCACGGTCTCTCAACATCGACTGTCGGGAACGAGAACACACTATCATCCGCTTGCCAGGCCGTTGTGGCGCCACCCGCAAAGCGATCTTCGAGGAGGACGACATGAAAATCCACGACGTCTGGATGAGGAACCAGAGATCGATGACCTGGACCCAGAGAAGTGGCCGGGACAGGCGATGCCTCATGCTCCTCTCCCCCCTAACTGGGACCCTCGCTTCTACGCCGGTCTGCCGAGCGAGTCGACCGATGACGTGCGCCATATTCCGTGCCGCAGACCATTCGACCGACGACAGAGATGTGAGCGCCAGCACCACCGGCCTCCTGTGAGAGTCAGACGCAGCGAGAAGATATATGTCGACCCGCGCCACCCGCATTGGCTTGGAGTGAGGGTGAAGTTGGTTGACGACCCGCATCTTCACTGGCGATCGGAAGCAGAAGCTGGCCGCCGTCTTCCAGAACGACTCCATGCCGCCGCAAGTCCCCGAACGCACGTCCATGTCCGACATTCGAGTGCAACACCTTTTGTGAGAAGAGGCAACCCCTGGACGCGAGAGTACTGAAGCTGTCCGTTCTGTCCCTCTCACCGCGATACTCGATAAACGTGTGTTTTCACACACCATCGCCTTCCTCTCCCTGTGGAGTGATGGAGTGATGGTGTTTCGCTGCCTCCACATCACCATCTCACTCCTACAGTCACAGAGCGAGCGAACGTATTTCACCTGAAGAGTGAAGAGTGACAGGGACACAACTAAGCTATCACTCTCATGGCAATCACAGATGATCATGACACTGCGCATTTCTTCACCCTCCACCCGGACCAACGGCACAGCCTTGTCGTCTTGTACTAGCATATAAACCATTCAATATCTCCATATACCTCAGTGTGTCTCTCTCTCTTCCTCTCTCCCAATCTGAGGCACGATCCATCATCGAGACGCATTATTTCCTGGGCCCCCAAAAGTCTGCAATCACAGACTTTCCATCGGTGCCAGACTAACATAGCTCACTCTCCGTCACACAGCACCGACAAAGAATCCCTTCCTTCGGACCTGGCGGAACGGTACCGAAGAGAACCATGGGAAATAGCTACTCCACCCCGGCGGACATCACGTCGCGGGACATGCAGCGCTGGCGTCGCGACGGCCGCCCCGTCCTGGTCGACCAGCAACGCCGCCGCCAGAGTCCCGGGGGCCGGTACCACGACGAGCGGAACCTGCGGATCGTGCGTGACAACTCGCGCAATAGGTTCGAGTCGGACGACACGCGCTGGTGGGGAGGCAGTTCCGGGTGGCATCACGGCCGCGACGGTGCGTCACCCCCGTTGCGCACCGGCGGGAGGAGGAGCACCAGGAGGCACACCGATGCGGGCTCTGCGCCTGCTTTCCGCGCCCGGCCGGATTGGAGATCTGCCGATGACATGTTTGGTGGTGCCGAGACCATCTATCACGGCTGGCAGGGGGGTTCGCGGTTCTTTGAACGCGGTGGGCGCGCCGAGCGACGGAGAGGGCCCGTGGTCGTCGAGGAAGAAGATTGGTTCGGGTCGGCTCCTCAGCGCTTCACCACGTCGTCACGAGGTTCAGGTGGTCATCGCTCCATGCCGCAGTCCTCGTTCCGTGGTCCGTGGTGGCACGACGCCCATCCCCACGACTATCGCGGCGGTCAGGGAATGCCTCGACGACGATCCAACACTCATCACGGCGGTGCATACATGTCAGGAGGGCTGGGGAGGGGAGATCCGATGGGAGGTGCATGGGGAGGACAAGAGAGAGCTCCGGAGAGAGTACGCATCGGGTTCAGACCAGACTGGCCGCTCTTGGAGGATGGGAGGGCTGACGATTGAATGCCTTCGAATAGCTTGGTTGGAGTGACGGATTACACGGTGAGGTATCGTCTTGGGCAACCAACATACGTCAAAACGTGCAGATCAGATAGAACTGGAACGATGAGCTTTATCATTTCTTGGAGAATATTCTCTTCTCACAAAAGTAGTATCGTATTCATTGATCGTGTCGAGGGTCATAATAATCGTAGCCAAAACCGATCCGGTTTGAGCATATGTAGTCATCATCTCAGGGAGAACGCATGCCAAATGACCGAAATGTAAAGAATGTCGCAAAGAATGCCGCAAAGAATGCCAGGTCTGTGCCGGGTACCCACGAACCCAAGACCCCAATTGATCGTCTGGAATGATCAATCTCGCCACACCTGTTGCTGGGAACACACGGGAGAGTGCCATGTTTGGTCTCCGTACGGAGACACATTGTGTCATCTTGTCATCTCGTATCTGCTCTGGGAACACCCACAGGAAAGGGAGGAGGAGTTGGCACGTAGGCGGGTGGGTTGGTGACGGCACCATAAGGATTGTCGTCGGCGTAGTGGACAGCTGTCCCATTATTATATGATGCCCCGGGTGGTGGAGGAAACGCCGGATACTGCATCTGAGGGTATGTTGTCTGAGAATATGTTGGAAAACTGGGCATGCTCCCTGTAAAGCCGCTGTCGGCATAGTTGTGTGCGGCGATCATGCTCATCTTTCGTCTCCTTGCTTCTCGCTTCATCTTATGTCGCTCACGCTTCTCCTTCTCCTCCTTGGCCTCCTTTTGCGCCTCTGACATCTCCTGCCACTCACTGTAGGCCCCCTTCAGACCAAGGGCAGCGATTCCAATACTCGCAGCATCCTGCAACCTGTTCTTGTTCTTTGCTCGCCTCGCTTGCTCTTCGGTGATATCACCCTCCTTTACAGCCCTTCTTCTCGCCTGTCGTTTTTCCATGCTTTGGTAGACACTGTGCGCGGCATGAATGGTCGCGACCGTCGCAAGACCTCCGGTAATAAACATTTTCTTGCGACCTTTCTTTATCTCTTTCTCATCTTCGGAACTGGAGCCGAGGTCAGAATCGGAGTCTGTTTCTGGGTCACCAGTATGACGTGGGCCGTAGTCGAGCTCGTAGCCAGGAGGCGGCCCCCTGGGTACGCTCATGGAACGAGGACCGCCATTAGGAGAACCAAAGTGGGGTTGAATGGTACCTACATCTCGGGAATCACTGTATCCATATCCTCCATTTCGACTTGATCGACCATCATCGTAGTAGTCGTCATAATTTCGGCGACGATCACGCTCACGGTTGGGGTCGACCTTGTCCGCTGTATCTTTCAACCCCAGGGCTGCAAGACCCTTGGCCGCAAAGGCAGATACGCTTCGGCTCCGCTTGCGCCGAGGAGGGCTTCGACTACCACGGCTGTCCGACGATGTGCTTCGAGAACGAGCACGTCCGCGCGATCGAGAGCGGACCGAATCAAAGACTTTCTTTGCCGTGGCTGCCACCACGCCGCCAGCAGCGAGGTCTCCCAGCCCGCCTCGGGACTGACTCCGCCCGCGACGACTGTCTGGGCTTCCGTTTCTGCCGCGGGATTTCGACCGAGGCCCGTTGATGATGCGGTTGGTCGCCATACCGGCAATAGCAGAGCCTAGAATGTCGCGCTTTGAATGGTGATGAGGGTCGTTCTTGTCCGAAATCAAACCATCGACACCTCCAGCCGCCAAGGCCGCGGTGATGATCCGTTTGCCTTTCTCGCCGCCCCAGCCACCTTCAACTTTTCGAGCACGGAATGCCTCACCAGCGCCAGCCAGGACGGCAGCTTTGATGGCTTGGGAGATTTGTTCGCTTCGAACTTTGCCACGGCTTTTGCTTTGGGCTCGCGATCGATCGGACGACGAACGGCGACCAGCTCGGCTCCGGCTTCGATGACGGCCATCGCGCGAACTGGATCTCGACCTGTCACGACTCTTACTCTTTCCGAGCAGGGTACCGGCAATACCACCCAGGCCAAAGGATCCTAACAGCTCTTCAGTGGTGGACTTTCTGCGCTCTTTCTTGGGAGGTGAACGGCTGCGGCTGCGGCTGCGAGAATCGTAGTCGGAGGAGTAGCGTCGAGAGCGACCTGCGATGAATCAGTCAGTGGAGGCGACAAGTATACAAAGGGGAGCATTGCTCACGTCTGTCGTCATAGTCACGGCTTTTACGTTTGGGATTGTCGACGACAACGTAGTCATCCTCGTACTTGCGCCGCGAAACATATGAGCGGTCATCGTAACGATCATCGTAATAGCGATCGTCAGAGGACCTAGCACGGACGGGCCGATGGCCACTCTTGCGCACAGTGGTTTCACGATAGACGGTGCCGCGATCACCAGGGGCAAAGTCGCGGGACACTTCTTCAATCGAATCAACACTGTCATCGCGCCGTTTGACTATGCGAGTGTCTCTCGTGCTTGTATCGTAAACTGTGTCCTCATAGTCATCTCTTCGAGATCGCTCGCGGGTGCTCTTTTGCCGGCGAGGCCGGTCATCGTCGTAATAGGACATTGTCGCTGCGGGTGGGGTAACAGAAGAAGTGAAGCCAAGAGAAACTGAATTGACAAAAGTGATATGTAGCCCAGAAGAAGACTGGAACTACGGAAGGGGTCGGATCGTGGCGAACTCGATCGCGGCAAACGTCAAATTGGCTGATTTGGTAGCGGTCGAGATGGGATGTTGAAAAATTGCGATGGCAAAGTTGGGCACAGGGCTGTTTTTGAAGCAGGATGAAACAAAAGGCAAGATGCTGCGCTGCTTGGCGGGTTGCAAGGCTCCCTTGATGCCCTGTTGAATGTTGGGAATTGCAAGAGTGGTGCTGGTGTGTAAGTGGTGGCTGGTATAACTGGGAGCAGCACAAAAGGGCCCGCCAGTGGGCGAAGTTCGCAGTACGAAAGGCCCGCGGACAGGTGATCTCTGGAGGGGCAGAGCCTGGCTACGTAATAGTCGGGCTGGGTACACCACGTCGGGCTTGAGTCCCGGGCGCCAAACTGATGAGCCTTTAGGCAGCAAACAAGGCCCAATTAGAGTGCCAGAGAGGTCTCACCCGCCTGTATTGAAGCTGGTCAGTCGGGCAACTGGGCGTGCTGAAGTTTGCGCCTCGACTGGGCAATAAAGTAGTGCAGGGACAGAGAGTTGGTGGAATGAGACTGAGGCAGGAGTGAGAAGTGAGGAATCCCCCCCCTCTTGATGCGGCGGTGGCTGAAGGGTACCAGACTATTCCCTCGTAGCCCAACGGGCGGGCACTTTTGAAGGAGCTGTGGCTAACGAGGCTATGCTCATAGACCCCAATGTCAGACCAATCGACTTACATAGTAGCTATTCCTTCTCTCTGCTAGACAACAACTGATCGACTGCCACGTCAGCAACCGTGAATGCCATGGACCATGGGCAATCCTAGCAGTTGAATGGGTTTTGGAGTCTGGAGTTGAGATTCAAGTGCCGTTGCCCTCTGTCCAATATTCCTGTAAGTACAGAAAATTGAATTGGTGGTATCACCCAGGGCTCACCACCATTGCCGCCATTTCTTATAGGATAAGGACGAGAGGGGTGGTACCGATCGGCCTTGGGGGTTTTCTGGAGGACCGACCTTTGTGTGCGCCTTGGTGCAGTTACACAGCCTTGCCAGAAGACAAACAGGTTTCCAGTCCCTCGTACTCGGTACAACAACCTACGACGAATCGAGAACAATGAGGCGGACAGATGCATGCTTCGATTCAGCTTCGAGAAAAGCCCCCAGCTTGGCAAAGTCGCCTTCGGCCCAGTTCTCCTCGTATATCTGGTTGCCACAAATAATACAAGTCCCTGCGCCAGATTACAGGACAGCCTCATGCCTCAAAGAAGCAATTACCCCTGCAGCAGATAATGCCCTGATTTTCGTCACGGCACAAAGGGAGATGGATAAAAAGGTCCCAAGGTCAATAGACCCTTGGTATCTCCAGTGTAGAGATTCCTGCCACGTGCCGATCAATGCCCGGAATTGATTTCCTGTGCGATTAAATTGAACTCTAACCACTAAATATTCTTTCTGAATCCCCGGGATGGTTATGCAGTGAGTCTCAGATCCGAGTATGCCCAACTCAGACTCTCGAACCTGCCATAAATTATACTCTTCTCTTGCCAGTCTTTTCGGTTGATTCAAACCCCTGTTCTTTTCAATGCTTGATTCCCCCCGTTTCGCCGAGTCCCACGAAAAGCCTGAGGTATGCCATTAAAGTCGCAGCCCTGGTCGAATCAAAAATCTATCAGATGAGATCCTCGGCGCAAACGATGTGGTAGCAGAACACTTTGTCCTCGGTCAACGATCGTGTCTCACTTTGTAGTTTCGGAAGGTTTGCGGATGTTGCGGATGCAGAGACGGGACGTAGATGCTTAAAGGGCTACCTGGGAGAGGATTCGGTCGTATGCCTGGAGTCCTCTGGGCTCTCATGGTTGAGTTCCCACTTTCTGATTGCGGTAGCTTTTGTCGGAGGTGTTTCAACTGGGAAATGGAGGAAAACATTCGTACCTACGAGCAGGGCAAAATAGAGTTGGTGGACCTGGCCGTTGTTTCCTGCCCCGCACCTGCACGGAGAAGACCCTGACTTTCGATCGAGGATTTTGGCCTGGATCGGATTTTCCATGATCGCCAATGATGTCACGGGCCGGTTTTTCCTGATTTGGCTGTCAGCTGAGGTGGAAGGGAGGGAAGAGGAAGAAGGAAGCCTTGGAAAAGTGCTGCCCCACGGCCTTGTTGCTGGGCTTCTGCTTATACCAGTACCAGTACCTGTACCAGTACCAATGCTACTCGACTGGGTAGTATGCCAAGTATTTCTTTCTCTTCATGTGCAGTAGTAGCATTATTGCTCGAATTCTAGCGCACTCCTGCCTATCTGAGTATTTGTTCCTATAGATATACCGCTCGCACTATTCATTTGGTTCACACTGAAAAGACTAAGCTATGCCCGCTGATCCGAATACCTAGGAGAATCTATGCTCGACTTCTCCTTCTTTCCCATCCAATTCTCTGATCTCCCGACATCACCCACTCCGGCATTCCTAGCCCAAACTTTAAAATCCACGAGCCTGCCGCCACCATCAACGCTCTGACTGGTCCAAGTTGGGTTCGTTCTCCCGTGTCTGACTGCGTGTCCCTTGGCTGGGGATGGAGCAGCGGTTGGCTCCTCTGACGTCCTTGGCGGAGGTCCATCTCCAGACGGGGTTTTTATTTCTAACTTAGAGACTCTCCGACCCACCGGTAGCTTTTGGGGATCGTGATCTGTTCGTGTATCGGTCGATCGAGCCTGATCCTTAGCATCATGACCTTGGGAGAGGATTTTCCCTGACGCCTCAACAGAACTAGCGAAGCCCCTTCACCCCTTGCACTTCTTCACCGTCGCCAGGTCAGCGGTCCTGGATGATACAGATGCGCGCCGATCACCCCTTGCTCCCAGGAAAAGCTTCGACCTCACCTGTGTCTAAATTTTGCGATACATTGGTGGCATGACGGCATTGGTGATCCCAATGAACCACGGGGGCTGTCTGCGGTCGCCTTCCTTCTCTCTCCTCACCGAGCACGTTCCGATGTCTCGTTGGGCTACTTAATGAAGAGAAAGAGACGTAAATACAACAAAAGAGGTGGCTGATACATCAATGGTCTTTCCAATACACTCGTGCTGCAGGGCCTTGTTGGGCTACGACGCCGCAAAGGAAAATGCTCCCGTCGCGGAGGCCAACGAGATTCGAGGATTTCTCGCATCCCAAGGTCCCTGTGGCTTTTTAGAGCATCGGCCGATGGAGGCTGCATGAGGGCTCCCTCAAGCCCGGGAATAGAAGGCAGTTCTGCAGACTAAATCATCCCTAATCTACCACAACGGGGCCTAAGCTCTGAGCTTAGAGGCTCCTCGGCCAGTCATTGCTCATCAACCCTCCGTGGTGGTGCTACCTCCCGCCGCCGCTGACATTGCTCCCACGAGAAGACCCAAACCGGCGCGTGGAGAAGATCCAATTATTGCAAGACTTCGCTAGCTTCAACCCTGGGGCCGTCTGCCGCCATATGCCATTCTGAACTTTTCCATCTGCTCGATCCTCGATCGCGTCCCCCACCGAACGCCAGCAATCGCAAAAACCTGCAAACCCACCGAGATGACCCTCGCGCAACTTCCGGCTCAAAGAATCCCAGCTTTGCTCTCATAGACCCTTTCCTCTGCCCGTGTTCCTACATTATCGACCCTCTTTCTCTCTGCGTCGAGTAGAAAGGGCTATACAGACAATACATACCCTTGATTGTCCCTGTTCTCAAGGGTCCTTTCTCTTCTCGGGATCTCTCGACAGCTACAGGTTCTTCTATACCACCTGCCGCGGATCCTCTAGTCGTCCATCCAATACCCATCTTGCTATAGATCAATCCTCGATCCATTCGCGGGTGCTACCCTTTCGCCGCCCAGCACATCTCATCCGGCCACTTCCTGGAGCAAAGCGGGTTCCATCTGTCTTTCTCTCTGTGTGTGACTTCTTATCGTTCCCTCTGTGAAGAGTGCGACGTCCCAAGAAGACCACCGCCTTCAGTCTACCTCCCTCTCCCCGTTTCAACCTTGATTCATTCCCAAATCATTCGACATTGTCACCGGCCTTTCCCAGGCGTATGTACCCGTCCCAAGTCTTGTACCAATCCTAGTAACCATTTGCATATTCTGACTTGGCCTGCGCAGTTGTTCTCTCTAGCTCATTTTGGACCAGCGGCCTGTCCGCTGGACGCGTGGTGAGTGCGTCCAACAATGGATGTACAGACGCAATCGCGAGGAGCACGTTTCTTCTCGATCTTGAACGACAACGATTGTCCATCCTTTGTCATCCGCCCGAGACAATCCAGACAGTCTTCTCCAGAGCCAGAGTCCGAGTGTGAACCTCGCCATTCATCCGCCTCTCCATCCTACTCTCCGTCGCAGAGGGAAGAGAGGCCGAGTCTCCTGCGTCAACCAAAGTACGCGAGAGCATCGTCCATCTCGTCCTCGGTCGGCTCGCCGCCTCTGTTGCGGCTCTCGTCAAATTCGTCCAAGGGTTCCAGCTTCAGCATGGACTCCTCTCCATCGCCTGCAACGCCGTACAACTATGTGGACAACAGCATGCTACACTATGACCCGCTCGTGCGCCAAGACCTGGTGGGCTACTTGCCTTCTCCCACCACCGTCACCCCATTCCTGGAACAACAATTAATGATCACCCCAAACATGCACGATCAATTCTCGAGCAAGCTGATGCATCCCCTCACCCCTGCTCAATATCCTATTGTGCCCGCGCCGCTACATCCGAGTCTCCAAAATCTCCCTAACCACTCAACGTCGGCCGTTGCGACTGCGCCTGTCCCACCTCTCATCCCCTCGATTTCTGCAGGCGAACAAGTCAGAACCTCTCCTTCGGGAAGCTCTGGCGCCGCTCCTGGAAAAAAGAACAAATATCCCTGCCCATATGCGCAGTCACATAACTGCCAGGCAACCTTCACCACCTCAGGCCATGCAGCGCGTCATGGAAAAAAACACACGGGAGAGAAGGGGGTGCACTGCCCGATCTGCAACAAAGCCTTTACACGCAAAGACAACATGAAGCAACACGAGCGCACCCACAAGGGTATGTCAGCGTCGGGCAGCACGAGTGATGAGTCGACGCGTAAAAGTAAGGCTGCCATCACCAAAGACGCGCAGAAAGCCAAACAACACCACAAGCTGGACAAGATCAACACCGAAGCCAGCCGGCGGTCCAGTTTGATCCATTCGCCATTATCCGAGGTTACTTCCCTTGCTCCTACAGCTATTGACACTCCGCTCAATGTCGATGAGTCTGCTTTTTATCACGACCCGCCTCAGGTCCTGATGCCCATTCAGACCATCCCAGAGAGTGTGTCCCCCGGCTCCCTCTATCCTCCTCTGGGCGATGACCCTCTCCTGAACAGCACTCCCCTCGGGCAACTCCCTACCTTGGGCAAAACCCATGATTCCACCTTGGTGGGCACTGGCTTGTTGCCGCCCATGCCACCCACTCTGACGCGGGGGTTCTCAGATCTCGACACCCTTGCGCAGGCTGCCGAGAGTTTCGACACGTCCTTCTATCACCCATCCTTGTAATTGTACGACACAACATTTTCCGATCATCGGATTTTCCTCTGATATTGTGATGCCTCCTCGTGAATGAGGATGTGTATCGCTTGTTTTAATCAATACCTTTGCACAGCGCTGGCGTTTAGGATATGACTACAAGCAATGACGGGGTTTGCCAGATCAAGCGATTCTTCTGTTGCGCTACCAGGGTCGAGCGAATTACGAAGAATGGATTTGGCTTGGACAGGGTATTAGTCCACTGACTTGGGAGGACAAAACATGGGTGTCTTTATTACATGCGTTGATTTGGACCAAGAACACGACAAGGTCACTAGGCAACAAAAATACCCCGGCATATGAAAGGGGTGGGCAGGCGTTTTGTTTTGACAGCATCATTGTTTCAAGCGGTAATCATACTGCCACCGCATCACCATCGAACAACGCATTATGATATCCCGACTTTTACGGTTTGTCTTTTTGGTCTGCGCCCGACGATCGGGCAAAGGCAAGGAAGTTGAGGAGGGTATCGAAACCCGCGATGGTGTTATTATTGGGGGTCTTGTTGCCAACTGCCTGGCTATTTTGCCCAGAGGCTACAATGAGCACATGTATTGAGTACTATTTGAAGATATCCTTCAGATTTGGGGTCCCTATGGCTCCAGGTATGTACCACGATGTGACCCCTGAACAATTCTGTGCCGTATTCTCTCTTTTGCTCTAGACGCATGCTCAACAACTTGTCGTTATCTGTGCGCTGAAGTTGATTCCCATCAGGAGAAGAGCGTGAAGAGATCATTGCCCCCTTTCGACGCTCCGATCAGCATATTTATAGTTTAGACATCGTGCCGTCCCAAAGGTCGGAGGGGGGTTTGTCGCTCGCGCACATGGTAGACTTGATTTGATTCGATATTGCCTTGACCTGAACCCCTTTTCTATTCTATTCTGATCGATCGATTGAACAACCCGTGCGTGGTCCTGGTGCATGCTGTGCTGCCGTGTTGCCGCGCTGTCGTGCTGCCCCTATTCTCCTTCTGCCCTGTCAATCGAATGTGCCCAATGTACCCACCCGATGCGATGTACCGTGCGTACCTAATGTAGAGGTATATATCTGTGTGTGTGTGTGTGTGTGTGTGTGTGTGTGTGTGAACGCAAAATATAGAAAACATGTATGTCCATTCCGGGCGAATAGATTCTTCGCAAGTTCTCACCCCCCCCTTTTTCGTGCCTATCCCTATCCCTATCCCTATACTCGGTACATCGTCCTATCCACTCGGTATATGTACGAGGTACACACTCTCATGCGCGACTCGGCGGATACCCTTGACTGCGATATCCACACACGATATTTGCAAGACCGGTCGTTTGTCCCGAATGAGTGCGATCGACATATGCCACCCTTTCGATTTCCACATGATAGAGGAAGACGAGACCCTTTGGCCTCAGAAGGGCAAAGGAGGCCGGGTAGACGGACATACGTGCCTTGTCTTGTCCTGCCTTGTTCTTACTTTCGTCTCCTCTCGGCCATCATCAGGAACTTTAGATACCTACCTACCTACCTACCTACCTACGTCCCTACCCCTTTCGGACCCGACGACGTACTTGTACAAGTTGTAGCGAATGCGAAGAGGACATGAATCGACAGAATTTGTCCCCGAGCTGGAAGCAAATACCCATGTACCATGTACCAAGAAAGCCCCCCACCCCCCCTCTCCTGAATCCCGACTACGGTGGAAAAATCCTCCTCCCATGTTTCTGGTCTGAAAAAGCCGGTCTGACCACTTTAGTGACAAAACCAATGAAAAATGCCATTGATAGGATTGATATTTTGACAATCCTCCCGAAAAAGTCGTCCTGTTTGGTTGGTATCTGGTGTATTCAAAACCGACTCCTCTACCCCCTATCTCTATCTCTACCGCTACCTACTCCTGCCGATCTATGTTACTGGTACTTGTAGAGAAATCCCTGGCCATGTATATGCGATGCATGCAGAGGTGACCAGGAACTCCCTCCCACCCAAAAATGAGCCACGGCCGAGCTGGGTTATAGCTTCGCGCTCGTTGGTCCCACGTATCTCCGTCGCTCCAACTTCTTCAACTCGGCCCTCCGGATCTTGCCGCTGATGGTCTTTGGCAAGAAGGCCGCGGGGACAAACTCCATCTTGCGCGGGTACTTGTACGGGGCGGCGTTCCTCTTGCAAAACTCCTGGAGTTCCTTGCGCAGTGCGCCCGCCTTGCTCGGCGAGTGGGCAATCTCCCCCGCGGCCGCCTCGGTGAGCACGACAAAGGCCTTGACGACCTCGTCGCGTTCCGGGTCCGGCGAGGCCACGGCCGCGGACTCGACGACGGCGGGGTGCAGCTTGAGCGTCGATTCGACTTCGAATGGTCCTGTGCCCGGTTGCGACAAGTCAGATGCAGCTCCCGATCTGCAGAATACACAAAAACTCTGGAGAAAAGTTTCACAGGATTGCTGGGTAAACGAATGAATGGCAACAGGGTACAGGAATGCAAATGTAGCGGTGTAGTTAGTGAGTGGTCGTAGGGACACGTACCAATTCGATATCCGGCCGAGTTGATCACGTCGTCCCCGCGGCCCACAAACCAGAAATATCCGTCGTCGTCGCGAGTGGCGCGGTCGCCGCACAGGTAGAAACGTTTGCCGTTCGCAAACGTCTTCAGCCGCTGGTCGAGCGCACCGGTCTCCATGTCGACGTAGCCCTTGAAGATGCCGAAGAAGCCCCCACGGTGCGAATCCACCTGGACGGCCATGTCGCCTTCGACGCCGGCATCGACCTCTTCGCCGTGCGGGTCGATCAGTTTCAGCGGCACGCCCGGCAGAGGTTTCCCCATACTCCCAAACCGGACGGGATTGACGGCCTGGTTGGCGCAGAGGACGATGGTCTCGGTCTGACCGAACCCGTCGTAGATGGTCATACCGAGAACCTCGCGCCATTTCTCTATCACGTGGGCATTGAGCGGCTCCCCTGCGCCCGTCGCGTGTCTCAACGTCCTCAACCGCTCGAGCAGGGGCCGGTACTCGTCCAAAACGAGTTTCCGATACACGGTGGGCGGCGCACACAGGGTCGTGATGGGGTACTTGTCCAGCACCGTCAGCGTCCGGACCGGGTCAAAGGCCTCGCGGTCGTCGTGGACGAACAATGTCGCTCCCAGGTTCCAGGCCGAGAAGAACGAGTACGCGGCCTTGGCCCACCCTTGTTCCGAGAGGTTCCAGTACGTGCACGACGTGTCGAGCTCTAGCCAGTGGGCACCCGTGAGGGCGTGGGCGAGCGGGTACGAGATGTGGCTGTGGAGCACCATCTTGGGCGGGCCCGTCGTGCCCGACGTGAAGTAGATCATTGCCGGTGACGTGGGTTGTAGCGATTGAGGGACGGCGAAGTGCGTCGTTTCGGGGACCTTGGACAGCGCGTCGGTGAAACGAACGACATCGTCGCTGACTGGGGGAGCTCGTCCGACTTGCAAAATCGTCTTCAGACGCGGACAATTCTTCCGAACCGAGAGAGCTTTTGCCACGGAAACCTCGTCCCCGATGAAGGCGGTCGCATGGCTCGCCTGGATGCGGTACTCGATGTCCTTGTCCACCAGCAGCGTCGTGCAGGGGCACACGATGACGCCCGAGCGCAGACACGCCGTCACAATCTCCCACCAGACGGGGAGTCGCGGTATGATCAGGACGCACACGTCGCCCGCCCGGATGCCCAGCGACTCAAACAACGAGGCGATCCGGTGCGACTGCCGCGCGAAGTGGCGGTACGTGAACTTTTTCTCGACGCTGAGATCTTGGTTGACCCAGTGCAGGGCATTTTGCGACGGCGCCACGCGCGCCCAGTGGTCGACGACGTGTGTCGCGAAGTTGAATGATTGGGGTTGCGTGGAAGGATCCACGGGGCAGGATGGCGATGGCGAGGGCGATGGCTGGGACATTGCAGAGAAAGAAGTACCCTCGGAGGTACTTTGCTTGATGGAGTTTGGGGGAGGGAAGAAGCTGGCTAAGTCGGTGCCTGGCAGTCTGGGAGAATACGTCGCTATTAGAGTCTTAGAACCCAAACACACAGCCACAGCAAGCACTTCAGTGCATGCCAGATACTGTACCCTCGTGCATGTTCTTTTCTTTTCTCCTTTTCAAGTGCGATTTCGGCGGACTTCTCTCCCCTCTCCTCCCTCACTCCCTCGAGGGGGCTCTCCCGTCAATAGTCAGACCATGTCTCCCTACCGATAGATCAAGAAAACCACAGGCCACGATGGCGTGAATTCTCCCCCCAAAGCAGAGTGTTTTGTACAAAGTACAAAGTAAAGTTCCAAGACCGTGCCCATGTGGATCTCGGTATCCACATGTTAGTAGCGACACGGAATGTGATTGGCGAATCGTCCGCAATGGGGACGGCCTTCACGCGGCTCTCGAGGCCATGCCCCGGCTCTGTCTGGGGACCTGAGAAACGGAATCTCCATGCTCCGCAAATTACGCTGTCGGAGGCACGAGTACTGCTATGCCTAGCGAAGCTGTCGATGAAACATTCGTGGAGATGCTCCAGAATTGCGGGGGCCACATCCTACACCTTGCACTATGGACGAACGAGGACTCTCGACTGGAGAATGGGAACTCTAACCCTGTGGTATCATACATAGTGTGTGAACGCGGGTCCAGAACATGAATCTGCACTTGCACGGCTGTGGGACAACGTCGCGTAGGAGATGGCACATTCGTCCGGGGATCAAGGGCTCGGCGTTGGTCGAATATAAGATGAGGAGGGAGGCCTGGCAACCCGGTGAGCCACAGTATCATCCTCAACCACTCCCACATCTCTTTCTCTCTCTCTTCGTGTGACTTCTCGAGTCGAAGACTGGCTTATTTCCCTCCCCCGTTCCACGTTCCGGTCGTATAGTAGGAGTGAATAGTCCTCGAGCATTCGCCCAGCTACAACAACACCATGGACGCCAAAGAGATCAACCCCAGCCCTGTCCCCCTGGGCCGGACAGACACGATCCAAAGCATCAACCTCAGCATGGAGATGTTTGAGAAGCTCTACCTCTCCCCCCAGAACAGGGTCAAGGGCGACCTTCGCAAGACGTTTGCCAACCCGACTCCATTGTGAGAAAACCTTCCTAGTGTCTGACCCCCGTAAGTCCCTCGCTGACCAACGTTTATCTATATCTAGGCCTCTTCTCGGCTTTCTCGTCGCGTCCTTCCCTCTGGCGTGTGCGTTGATGGGCTGGCGTGGCGCTGGCGGCGGCGGCGCAGCCTCCATCGGAGCATCCTACTTCTTCGGAGGCTTGCTCCAGCTCATAGGCAGCTTCCTCGAGTGGATCCTGGGGAATACCTTTCCCTTTGTGGTCTTTGGCTCCTTTGGTAAGTCCCAGTATCATATCCCTGGAGATTATTCGGGGTCTCTTTTGACAACAAACATCGTCCTACTGTAGGTGCTTTCTGGCTGGCCTTTGGCGCCACACTGACGCCGTACTTCAATGCCGAGGGCGCATTCACCGCCGGTGCCACGACTGTGGCGGAGAAGGCAGCGGGAGCGGCGTCCTTTGAATCGAGCTTGGGTGAGTCTGTTCCTATCGCGTACATATGCCCGGTCGGCCCAGCTAATACTAGTGGGGTCCAGCCTTCTTCCTCCTCGCCATCGGCATCCTGGTCTTTCTGTACCTGATCTGCTCCCTCCGCACCAACGTTGCCTTTTTCCTTATTTTCTTCCTGCTGGATCTCGCCCTCTTCCTCCTCACGGGGGCTTACTGGAGAGCCGCGGCCGGCGATGGCCAGGGCTTTGAAAATCTCGCAAAGGTACGTCCGTCGTCAGACTTTTCCACACAGCGACACAAGCCCACACATTGGCGATTCGCTTGGTTCGAGAGAACAAACACAAAGTCTGACATGATGGACGCGAAAATTTTTAGGCCTCGGGCGCGTGTGTGTTTGCCATGTGCATCGTCGGCTTCTACCTCCTCTTTGCCCAACTTTTGGAGGCGGTGCAGTTCCCCCTTCACCTGCCCGTCGGGGACTTGAGTCACCTCGTCCGTGCCAGGGCGCCACAGTCCGCAGCCACGGATGTAGAGAAGGGCGAGTAAGCGACAAGGGCGTCAGTTCCCATGCATGTGGCGACAAGGCAGGGGCTCAAGAAATGGCCTGTGAACCTCCCCAAGAGGCAGAGGCATATTGGCACGTTGGGAGGATGGAGAGGGATCACCCGTGAAAATCCACAACGCTGGAGTCAGGCCGCGCTTTCTTCGATCGATCAAGAAAGATGCTCAGATTTGGGCCCCCAACACAAGAGACTGCAGGTATGGTCAGGGGGAGATGTGAATGGGCCTTCTTCCTCAGGATATCATTACACTTGTGTGAAAAGATGAAAAGTCGTGTAGATTGGATTTTGGGCTCTTCCATCAGCTCTCACTTTTGGGCTCCTCCAAACAAAACAAGAGCTATATAACATTGAATTGCCATAACTCAGCCCTGGGGGCACGCTATACACACTTGCCGATGAGGCCGGGGATAGACTGGGTCTAGCTCCACGGTGTAGTGAAATGATTAGAGTTTCTTCGACAGGTCGTGACAGCAGCAGCAGCCTTCTTGAGCGAGGCGAGCTATCAACTATCTCGAAAAGGCTGCACAACACACATACCTCTGACCACGGGCCAACACTTGTCCGGCTAACTTCACAGAACCGCTAGAGGTCCCAGAGACTGCCAAAACCCAGTGAACAGAGGCTGGCCTCGTGGTCAGAGATCGCGCCGACTAGATACAGATCCTGAGCCGTGCTGTCGAGGTGCGACATGGAATTCCGCAAAGTCATTGGCGATCCGCCGAGCTCGGATTGGACGAGACTGTGGGACAGGCTGGGAGACCACGGAGCTCCCAAATGCGTTCCGGATGACATAGTCCCGTAGTCGACGAGTCGGTAGAGGAGCTCCAGATCCTGTTGGGTGAGCGGGACGTGATAGCACGACGGGTCAATGAGATCCCGGAACGAGCTCGCCTTGGGGCCAAAGGCGTCGAGTTCATTCGCCATCGAGGTGGAATTGTGCCACATCAGCGCGTGGCTCTTGAGAAAAGCCACATTTTGTCGACTCATCAGGAACGCGGCCACGCGGTCAGGTCCCGAGTCCGAATGCACGTGTAGGAAGTTGATGGATCCCGCCACCAGGGCGCAGTACCCGAGGAAGGAGGCGATGGTGCTGTACCCAGCCTCCCGAGCTTTCTGGAGGGTTTCGGTCAAGATTTTGGCGTGCTTGAAGGAGGCGTCGACACTGGCGGCGAAGAAGTTGGTCCGGAATTTGGTGTTGCTCAGCTCAAACCGTCGCCGGAGTAGAAAGGGGTGGTGCAGCAGGCACTGACACAGGTGATAGAGCGCGTAGGAGAAAATTAATGGGGCGACCGAATGGAGCTCTCTTGCATTCGCGCTGGGGTGCATGGCCGAGTAGTCCGCCAGAACCTCCTGGATCGGTCGATCATATTCAGATTGGACTTCCAGCGACGACAGTCGGGCTCGGATAGCCGAGAAATCAGACTGAGATGCCCACGGCGGCTTCTGATCGTCCTGGTCGTACCCTTGCACGATATAGACGGATGTCCGATGCAGCTCGGCGGCGAGCACGATCACACGTCCCAAGGGCGAGAGGCTGGATGCTGAGACTTCGCTGGTGGCGCCTTGGCTGCTGACTTGGGCCAACGTCAGCGTCGTCTGGGGGTTGGACGAGATGAAGTCCTCCTCATGGCACGGAAGCTGGAGCTGACAGGAGTAATCCTGTAGGCTGGCCGGTCTTCCACGCGAACAAGTGGCGAGTCTGTCGAGCAGGTAGACCGACCAGTACGTTCGCCGCAGCTCCTCCTGTGCGGCGAACGGCAGGGAAGGGTGTGGCTCGAACATCATGCCGAGGACCTGAGCGACCCTAGCGGCCAGGCCGATTTTGATCCAGGCCGATCCGCGGCAAGCTACGCCCGTTAGTTCGGTCGCATTCAGTGGCTGACCAGCGAACGGGGGGCGACGACTAAGGCAAAGGAAGGAGAAGCAGGTGTGTAGTTCGACTTACCGGTAAAGTCGCAGATGGAAAGGAGAGTGAGAGCCTGAACGTGCCGGTAGTCGGCGAGTTCGTCGTCCAAACATTGCGAGGCGATCAATCTCCAGCAAGCGCGGGCGTAGGACTGTGAGGCGCGGACTTGTTGACCAGCAAAGAAGGGATGATGGACGAAGCGGACGGACATTGCCAGGACGGCGAGCAGGACGAAGGGGGGCAACGAGCCATCAGAAACACTTTGCCGAAAGGATGGTTCGTGGAAGAACGAGTATGGCTGATTGTGTGAATAGTTGAAGTAGCTGTCAATGGCGGCCCAGACGACCTCTGGTGATGGCAAGGTGTCAAAGACACTGCTTGGGGGGGAAGCGATGAGTTGGATAAGCAAGGCAGTTTGTCCATGGGAGGGAGATGTTTTGCTCACTCGGTTGTCTCTGAGTCGACAGGACTAGCCCCGTATCTCCTGTATATGACCCTATGGTTAGCCCCCGTGTCCACTAGGCTCAACCATGGTCAAGGCAGTGGTGAGCCGGGTGTGCGTGTTCCTTACTCATTTCCACCAGGAGCAGCTTTGGCCAGGCGAGACTCAATTGAAGTGATCCGGGAGAGGAGGGTTTCCTAAAGGGCCCATCAGCGAGAGCACCACTCCGTTGGTTACTTGCTATCACTCACATATCCAGGGCTAGCTATCTTGGAAGGAGTCTCGGCCGCCGGCTGGTCATCATCCCAGAGAGGCCTGCATCGAAAGGTGTGCGGATACTGACACGTTTGACCCAGACGGGTGCAGAAACTGCAGGCTGGTTGTTCCCCATGGCAGCGGACCTTTTTGCGTCTTGATTTGGGTCATTTTCAGTCAAAGAGCTTTTTTCTTGGTGGCAACTTGGGAGACAAAAGGTGGCACATGCCACGGCCTTTTGTCGGCAGGGTCGTTGGGCTTGCTGGACTTACCGGCAGTTCAGGCAGGCTCGTTTGATGCGTTTAGTGGGACGGAAGTCAATGTCGTTCAGGTCCATTCTCTATCAGACTTCGAGCTGGGATTTAGTTCGTGCGGTTCATCGTGTAATGAGCGTCAAGGAAGGTGGGTTGAAAGCCGGGACTGGAAAGAGATAAAAGACAAGGCGGGGACGGGAGCCACTGGGGTGGGAATCGTGGATCTGAGGAGCCAACTCGACCCCGTACGGAGTATGTATGTACATGGTAGAAAGAAGCGAGAAGCAGGGGACCAGGTTAGCTGGGGGAAAGTCGAGATCAATGTTTATCACGAGAGGTGTTGCTACAGATAATGAACCAACACAAAATGTGACGCGCATAGACGGTCTGACTTGTACCGAGTAGGGAGTAGGCAGGCACGCAGGTAGGTTGTCTGGGTGTTCAGCCGGCAGGAGCCCGCCTCGCTTGCCTAAAAGGGTCTTGGACAGAGAGCCTGGACAACAGATAGACACGGCAAGCCACCTGGAAGGCTTAGGAATGCTTTAGGTTCACCCCCGCCAATTCTTCCAGGGGCTCCCAGGGGACTTGACCTTAACTAAGCACTCCAACCAAGCACTCAGCTAAGCATTCCTCTCCCTAACTCTCCCCCTTCGATGCGGATTACGGCTACACGCTCGCTCTGGTGATATCCATCCCCCCATCTTCCGTGCTCCATGCTGAATGGCCCTGGACCAAGGGATCTACCTGGATGAGATGATATTTACAACCCTCTGGTAAACGTACAAGTCGAGGTATAGTATGGTATTTTGTAGGGTAACTGTGTGAACGAGTTGTCCGTAAAGCCGCATGATGCAACTGAAAGCCTCGGCGCAAAAGTCCCTGACTGTGTGCCAAGGCCGTCCCCACCCATGCCTTCACTTTCACTCTCTCTACAGGTACAAGGACCCCGTTGTCACAGCGTGGAGTGATCTGGCTGTCTGGTATGCTCTGGCCAAGAGCTACAGAGTACAGTAGAACAAAGTACTGTAGAGTGACAAAGTTCCTTCTTTCTACTGGCATAACACACCCAGACTCCTGCTCATAGTTTCATTTCCTTCGTCGTCGATTTACTTCACCAATAATCGAGTCTCTCTTGATTTATACGTTTTGCGTATAGTTCTGCATACTGTATATACTTCTTAGTTTCCAGTCTCAGCTACTTCGTCTCCCACTGCTGCTACATCAACCAAGTAAACCACCATAGGTAAGCAAGGAGTAGATCTCAACTTCGAGCAAACGACCCAGTTCCCAAGGTCCGGTGTCCATGTCGTCGACGCAGAACTCCCAACCTCTCATTGTGATGCCCTGTCTCTCCTCCTCTTACACCTTATCAATGTCGACGGCGACGACAGTGTTGTCCTCCGTGATGGCCAAGGTGCGAGACTGGGTAGAGTACTTGACGGGATTCTTGGCTTCGAAGATCTTGTCCAATTCCTCGAGCTGTAGACAGGTCAGAAAATGTGATTAGCATTCCATACTTTTCCCAAGGTATCAAGCACAGTGAATGGGGAAGGAAATTAAAAAAAAGAAGGGAGGGGCAGGTGGGGGGGG